AATCTATTTGGTTATTTTAAACATTAAAACGATCCTCAACATTTTCAGTTCCTTTTGAATTTATATGGTTTTATTCCCGAATAAGTGATGTGCAAATGGCGAATTGTAGTCGTCTTTTTTCTTTCACTATTTTTTTATTTTCAAATAGAAAGTTTAAAAGTAAAGAATAATTAGAATTTGGCATGGGTCGGTCAAACAGGTTGAATTTCAAGTTTTGGCCCATTTGTTTTATGCATTGCAAATTTATTAGCATGTTGATGGAAATGGCTTGGAAAAAAGACATATAAGTTGTATCTTTGCAGAAATGTCCTCAAATGTTTGAATGCTTTGTGAATCAGGTTCTGTGACTTTTGTGATGGTGTATGTGCTTGACGATTGCTCGATGTTGTAACTACTTAATTTAAGAGTAAATCTTTTGACTTTCCCTATGAGTTGTGATACCAGTTCTGGTGGTTGCAGCATGTTGTCGTTGTTGGCCTGTAAAAGTTGTTCCGTCGTGATGCTATATACCTTTTTTTCTTTTTTAACAAATTGTGTAGTAGTGCTATGAAACAGACCACCCATGAACGCTACGCTTATTATGTTCTGTTCTTACTTCCGGTGGTGAGAAATTGTGAATTGAGAATCATATTCGCCTACCGCACTGTGTCTGGTTGGTGGCTGCTTACTGTGCTCTCTAGAGTTATGAAACAGACTACCCATGAACTTTACCCTTAAGAGTCCACAACTTTGCGAAAAACCAAATATAGGCAATCAAAGGTGGTGGATGTGTGATGATTTTTTATGGCTTAATTGTTTGTGAATTAGATATCTGATCTTTGTATGATTAGAGGGGATGTTTGCTTAATAGAATAATCCATTTTAATTCATGTTTATTTTTAACATGAACTTTAGTAACTCAAAACCTTTGAGACACATATCACCTACTGCATTGTATCATTTTGCCTGGGTGCTTGCTGTGTTGTCAAACCTCTTTGCTGCTGATGCATTTACACTAACAGGGGAGTTAAGAACCCATGAATGTTTCCGTTTGACACAAACAAGAGGACTTACTTCTAAATCGTGCACTAAAGATGATTGGAGGAAACATCTCTGTTGCAGTTGATACACTGGAGACCATAACAAAAGCAACGTATAACATCAAAACCAACCATCTGAACTATTAGCATTGTTGCTTTACTCTTTTTTCGTGGTTGAGTCTCCTTCAAAAATTTAGTTTGATTTTAGAAAATTTTGCTTCTGCAATCCTGTCTTGCCACCAACGCGTTCAATAGATGGAGATGGCAGAGGCGAAGGCTATTTTGTGTTGTTGTTGCTGGTTTAGGGATCGGTTTGTGAAGAAGAGGGAGAAGAGAGGGGGAAAGGGAAATGCATGAGAGGGGGATAACTCTTTTCTCCGACAAAAATGGAGTGAAGAAAGGATTTATGATCAGTAAGGATATGGTTATCTTACATAACTGTGTCTATTCTGTTTGAATTGAGCTTGGGAGGTAGTGATAAGGACGAGCTGCAACCAATTCATAGTGATAAGAGTGCTATGAACTGTGATCATGTCTTATTTCAAGTTAGAAGGTAGTTTCAGTATAAGGATTATTTAATTTGACAAGTTGTTTCGTCCATGATTCTTGGTAGTTTCAGTGCCATTCTAGCCATTGTTTAGTCTGTAATGTTTGAGAATTGATGTGCGAGTAATGACTTTCACTTAGCTTCAACTATTATGTGTGTATTTATTGGCATGTGATAGAATTCTCTTTTCCTTTTCTTTGAATTCAGTTTCATACTCTAATTGTATCATTTGTACATAGGCAAACCATGCTCGAGATGACAACTCGCTGATATGGCTGGTGCAAGGAATGAATCCATCATTAAAATTCAGACCGACAACGGGGAGGGATGCCCAGGACTAATTCAATGATGATTGATGATGGTATGATAAAAACTGCAGTCTGCATCAGCACCAATTTCTAGGCCTAAGTAAAGTTATTCAACCCAGAACTCTGCTTAGCGCTAAAAATTGCCCTCACCCAACCTTTATCATGTTTGACCCACTTCTGAAGAGTCAAGATATATTACTAATTCTCTCCGTTCGTATTTTCTTATTGGCTCTTTCTGACCCTTTAGGTTGGGGCAGGTCGGGAAGAATCGGATTAGTGGGCCGGTCCTAATCAAGTGGAATCCCAATCCCTTCACTCTCACTTGCTTTCTCTCCCATTCCACAAGTGGGTAACATACAGTAATCCGGCCAACGGGCCGGGTAATAACTAGTAAGTGATTAGATACGAACACAGAAAGAGCCAAGGAGGCATACCCGTTCTTCAAAACTCATATCACGTATGAAACTTAACCATTTTTTTACACGTCTTCTTAAACAAAAGCCAGCTCTTGACCTTTAAGTTTGTAAGGGTCCGCCAGACCATGTGCTTTAAAAACAATTGTTAATATTTGGGGTCGTGAAGGTTCGAACACACAATCACTTGGTCAAACTAGCTCTGATACCATGTCATAAACCAATTGATTCAATTAACTCGATTGTTTGAAAATACTCATATATCATACTTAACCACTTCCTTACAAGTTACAACTATAATAAATAAATAAAACTAAAAGTACCTCCATTACGTGCTTGTCATGCAAAATTTTCAGTTCTGACCTACTAACGCATTACCCTTTAGTCCAAGGAAATAAAATTACAGAAATATGAAAAGAATTTTTTTTTTAAAACAGCCTCAAATAGGAAATAATATTCATATTGATCCATTGATTGGTGGATTCATGGATTAGATCAAGTGGATTGGTGGATTATCCATGAATCCAAATGACATCCTCAACTAAGGACCAATATGTAAAATGTGAAAAGTTTAGGTACTAAAATGTCATAATGAAAAATTTTAGGTACCAAAACGTAATTTTCCAATGATGTTTTTCGTATAAAAAAATAAAATTTGGGTACCAAATGTAAAATATAAAAAGTATAGGTACAAAACCGTAATTTATCATTTGGATCCATGAATCCACCAATCTAATAGGATTTGGATCAAATGGATTGGATTTAAATGAATTGGATTAGATGGATATTTTTAAAGGGTTGGTGGATTGGATTGAGGATGAACACCTCTATATCCATATTATTTATTTCTTACCAAAAGTTAATATAATTTTATTTAATGCATGTTAAGTTATCATGGATTTTCCACTATATAATAGTGAGGAGAGGGACGGACATATAACTCTAAAGAACGCCTCTAAGTTGTGGTCCTATATACACAACTTGAACTAGGGACAAGATCGAGGTTTCTTGGCAGAAGCTCCGATGGCAAGAACTTTCGTTGCAATGGTGAGGTGGTGCTGTTGGTGGTGGCTAATCGGCCGGATGCTGCTTCGACAAATGATTTTATCAGCTGCTATGCCTATAATGACTGCATAGATCACTGATCATCGATATGCAGAAACTTGTGAAATGATGTGCACGACCCAATGCGAAGGCAAACAATCACGAAGTACACATCCTTCTTCTAAAAAAGATTCAAGGTACAGACCACACAAAAACAACCAGTTATGTTGGGGAATCCCATGGGTAGATTCTTTGCTAGATGTTATATTTACTTGTTCTCAAAAGTGCAATATTAATAATGACACAATAAGGGGTTTAATAATTATAATGTGTGCAATTTTTGTTAGATCTTCTGTTGTTTTGATTGAAATAATACGGTTTTTTTATATGCTTTGTTATTGTAAAATTAAGTGATTACGAAGATGAGACAACAATTTAACGTGGAATTTCCAACGAATCGGAACTAATACACAGAAGAGTTGGAACTTTGAACCTCTCCGATTACAACGTAAGTATGGACCATAAATCGTAAAAGATTTTCAGACAAATTTCCTAGCAAAAGAATTGGTATCAAGGCGCCGTTCAAATATTAATTCAATACGATTTGGTTTGATATTAATCGTTATAATATATGCAATTAGGGCTAGCTCTCCTGTTTATGTTAATTCAATAATATGATCTTAACAAGCCATCATCATAGCTAGCACATTATTATACTCAAAGATTAAAGAACCGTACCGGCGGTTTGACTAGAAAAACCTTCTACCGAAAGTAAAATCGGTAGGTGATATGAAATGATAGAATCACGACTAAACTACAATTTCAGCATAAAATATTATACCACTGGCTTTTCCGATATAACTTCCTGTACGATATTTAATTTCAATCCTTGATCAGACTCAATCGTGGCAGCCATGCAGCTGTACGATCTACTTCCATTCCAATGGGAAGGAGGAGTGGCGGCCAGCGTACCGATGGGGTAATAGTACTATGAGCAAAATTTCAAATAAAAATATAATGAAAAATGATTGTACAGTGATACAATAATATATAGCTGCTGCAATTCATATCGTTACAACCATAATCTAGATAAATTTGTTGCAGGGTGACATAATTTCTTGAATGATTTTGTAAAAAAAAAATAAGTCTTTCTTCTTGGGCATGAATCCTAAAACCGACTTTTTCATTTTTCTATCCCACCCACATTGGATAAATCTTACTGATCGATAGGTAGTTGATAATTATATTCAGTTTTGACCATTACTAGTCAGATTATTAATGGTAGTTTTGTAGTAAAAACTCAATGTCTATGTATCTGTCTACTTATTATTAAAGTGCAAAAGAGGAAAAATCTTCCTCATTTCAATTTATCGCCATATGAGTAATTTTATGAAGGTTTTTTTGGAATTGCATTTTTTGTACCGCTGTTAAAATCATACCAGTCCGTTTGACTGAAAAATGATGGTCCAAGCCACACATATTCAGATAAGACTTCAGACATCCTATCGGATTAGTCATGATGACAAATAACAGACTTTATTAACACGATCTTTACCGTCTACAATCGATGATGCTTGACTTCAGCTGTTGGGTTTCATCATCTTTCATCTCAAACCACGACATTTAGAAACCAACGACCGATCACCCTCCGTCAAAATATCACTAATACTTAAAATTCTCTATTCTATTATAATTTGCAAATGTTCTTGCAAGTTGATAAAAAAAACTCTAGGGGCAACATTTTGTTTACACCCTAGAGTCAAATCAAATTGATATTTGAATTACTTTACACGTACGCGCGCGTTCTATAAATTCGATCTTCTTTTATTCCATGAAAGCTTTAATTATAAACGACAAACAAAATTAACCTCAGCCAGCCACATATAAAAATAGGAATCAAAGAAGGTTCTTATTGCTCCTTAATTATAAGCATATATGTATATTCTCCGATATTGTTTTCTAATGAAAACATGGAGATCGAGCCAGCTTAATAATACTAATATTAACAAGAGTGTAGACCACTCCATAGAAATTAGACGATACATTGAGGGCACACGTACGTACACATGCAACTATTTTCTTTCAGTCCTTCCTCGCACACGGACGATCGACCTACCCAATTCCATTCAAGGACAAAAAATAACCCTATAATCAGTCCCCGAAGGACAGGTAAAAGTGCTGGTCTGGTCATCTTTTGGGTAACTATAAGCATCGGGGCACCTTTCCTTGAAAAACCTGGAAAGAGGCGTGGGCCCACAATTCGCACCCGAGTTATTGCAACAGAACTCCTCCCTCTTCAGCTGCGGGCATGCCCCGTTGCAGCCTCCTTGCACCTTCAGCTCGTTGGGGCACTGCTCCACAATATTCCCTCCGCACTTTATCACGCGCCCGCAGTTCCCCGACGCCGAGCTGAACTCCATCGGCACGTTGAACCCGTCGATGACCGACACGTCGATGAAGTCGAGGTCCTGGAACTGCTTCAGCGCGTACTCGGCCAGCGTGTTGGGGGCCGCGCCGTGTTAGCGGACTATAGTGCATCGTACAGGCCCATGATCAGGCCTTCTTTTCTTTATTTCCGTTCCAGTTTGTGCAGCCCATTTATTGTGCCCATGAAGCCCATGCAAGGGCTGCTCATGTACGTGGTGAGAGTAGCTCTAGGGTTTGTTGGGGGATCCTCTCTCGTTGTATATAGGCAGAAGGAGAGTTGTGAGTGTTGTACAGAAAACCTACACAATAATATCAGTTGCTCGAAGAGTTTCACTCTTCCGTGGATTAGTCCTGGATTCTCCAGGGATACCATGTAAATCCGGTGTTCATTTCTTGCTTTCTTTGCATTCTCATCTAGTTCAGTTCATCATCAAATCCGGATAATCAAACACGCCGTAGCCCTTGCAGTCGAGGACCCCGCCGCAGTCGCCCGTCTGGCACGTGCCACGTCCGGCCCCGTCGAACTGGCAGTTGGTCCGGGCCCATATGCGGGCCGCGGAGGTGCCAGGTGGGGCGTCGATGGTCCATGTCTCGCCCGAGTTGAGCTGGCGGCCTCCGCCCACGGGGACGGAGGCGGCCCAGACTGTGTCCGAGCACTTGTTCGTTATGTCGAATTTTGCAGCGTCGGCATGACCAACAAGTGCGAGAGCTAGGAGGAGGAGGAGGAGGGAGATGGGTTTGATCAGGGAAGCAGCCATTGTGGGAATGGAGTTGTTGATGAATGGAGGATTTGTTGGTGTTTTTTGTAGATGGGAAGTGAAGTGAATATAGGAAGGGTTTATGTAGTAGTTTGGAGCGACGAGAAATGCAATTTGGTCGTGTGGAAATTTTTGGGATGTGGAAAACAATCAAGCTATCTAGAGATATGAAGAGCTCTCGATCGAGTCTCTGTTTCAAGTTAATTTCTCGCAATATTTATGACTAACAGCAGGGATGCATGGCATGTTACGTGTGTAGAAAAGTATTAGGGGACACGTTGTAGGGCCTGCAGGTTTAATATGTAACTGGTCATTGAATTATTGTTATTGGAACGGATTATCACCGAAGTAATGAGTTTTAACAAAAAGATAAATATTCATACAAAGAGTACAGTTTTATTATTTCGTGGAATTTATTATTGGATTTGTTGGATTATCATGTGTGACCAATTTGTTCTGATATTGTCACAGAAAAAAAAATATTTAGTTTTACCTTATGTACGCCAACGTTAATTCACTTCCTCATAGTTTGGGAAGTCGCATTCGCAGGTTAACTACATCACAAGTCGGGAACTAATTAAGGTAATGTATGTGTTAACTTGGAAATGATTTGATCCTATAGACCATGTAGTTGAATCTGTTGCATGGATATCGCATAATTGTGTTGCATTCTTGATTATAAAGTTGTAATTTTAGTTAAGTGACCATGTTGTGATGAATTTTATAGTCTGTTAACCTTTTAGATATTTAACCCATGTTAGGCAGTTCTGAGTCGTGACTGGACTTGACTGGCTGGCTATATATAGGTCCAAAGAAATGAATGAAATGGGGCGGCTTTGGAAAATTTTCTACCGGAGGTTAGACGTTTTTTTCGTTTTTAAAGTCTTGGGTCTTGCAAATGGTGAATATAGGGAGATATAGCAGATCTAGAACATCAACATGGTTGGAAAAGCATATTCCGCAGATATCGGAGTGGACTAGTAAACTTTACTCCAAACCAAGCAATAAGTTGTCATCAGGGCCGGCCAAGAGGGTGTGCTGGCCCGCCCTCCGGCACAGGGCCTCTGAATAAGGAGCCTCCACTCAGATTCGTTAGTTACCGATCGAATATTGCAGGTTATTTTTTTAGTGTATGATTGATAGATTATAAATATGATGACGAATTTAATAGATAATTTTAGCTATAATAACAATTGAAAAGGATCTCATGGAGAATACGAAAATCAGAGAGATAATAGATAATTTTAATTTAAACAATAAAGAAAGATATTACATTTTGAACAATGATATTATAATCATTTTAATTTTATTATAGTTAAAAGTCAATTTGGATAATGTCTCAATTTTAGAATAGGACCTACACGATCCATTAGATAGACCCGCACCCACCTCTCGATCAATTTATATTATTTTCATTTCTCCATTCAATTTTTGTTCTATATCTATTTTCTGTTCCCTCCAGATTTACTTTTCTCCCTTCATGCTAGGAGTGAGAATTTGGTCTTGGTTTCTTGGTCAAACAGCAAGTGAGATTGTTTATTCATTTTGAAATCATTTTCTGAACTTATGTACTTTATAATTATTTAATAAATTTTTTTAATAAGTTTATTGAGAAAAAAATTAGGGGCCACATGTTAAATTTTCGAACAGGGCCTCCAAATATCATGGGACGGCTCTGGTTGCCATTTGAAGCAGACACCTACATGTGGAAGACGAGTAATATTGGAAAAATGTGTCGGTGAATGATATTGGCCAAAGTTTGTTTTGTTTTGGCTTATGCACTTTTTTTAGCTTCGGTAAAAATGTGATAAAACGGTTTTTTGGATGTAAAATGGTAGCAATACATGGAGGAGAAGATGGGTAATGTAATTTGCTTGATAACTAATAAAAGATTGGGGTTTTCAAAATTATTATGAGTATAAGTTTGAGAAGGGATCCTTATTTTTAAATGATAAAGATGAAAATAATTATATTTGAATGACCTTTAGCTTTTAAGAATTCATGGTATCGATGCATCGTTAATATTTTGTTCTAATAGAGTGAACTTATGATTTGAAAATTGTGTTGGATTTAGACCTGGCAATCGGGTCGGGTTGGGAACTTTGGTTACGGGTCGGGTCATGTTTGGTTGGCTTATTTCGGATCAAATATTGACCCAACCCATTCGATTTCAGGTCGGGTTACAGGTCATTTCGGGTTATGAGCGTTCTCAGAAATAATATCAAACATGCTTTATATTTTCTTAAAGAACACAAATTTTCACATATGCATGACAATAGTTTACCTGACACATGTCAATTAACATATTCTCAAATCCTCCCACACTAATGAAATGAAATATAAATTGCGCAAATTGTCAAAAAACAATCACAAGAGTAATACTACTACAAGAAACACATGATATTTGATTATCTTTAAACTCCAAACATGTCATTCAAATCCTTGTGATTTTTTTAAACATCTCAGCAATTTATGAGTGATTTTATCATATTTTGGGAGTAATATATTAAATGGAACATGTGTAACGGGTCGACCCGCTAACCCAGCCAACCCGACCCAAAAAATTACGAGTTATCGGGTTCGGGTCATTCGGATTTCGGGTTACAAAAATTCCTAATTTTTGCGCGGTTTCGGGTCGGGTTGTAATTTGCCAGGTCTAGTTGGATTCGACTTTTAAGAGACTCACATATGCTTGTTCTAGCTTCACTTTCTTAGCCGTCTGTTCGTTACCTCCTAAGAAACAAACTATTGGAATATTTCCAATTCTGTTACTTAAAAATAAATAATTCTGTCACACTTTGACCTGCTTGGATCTAGGGTAAACAAACACACCCGCAATCCGACCCATCCGTCCAATCCGATCCAACCCACCCGTATTTATCGTTAAAGCGAAGGTTTTGGGTTGGGTGAGGGTTTTCTTTTGTTCAACTCGCCTCTATTGGGTTGGGTTTGGATTTTGGATTACACAACCCGTAGAATCCGACCCAACCCTTGTTCCAATTATCGGTATGAGTTCATATCCAAAAAAATATTTATGTCATATATAGTCATACTTATGAGAAAATTAAGATATTTTGCCATATTTTTCTCTTAAGGTCTCACTAATCTAATGCATTTTTCGACTTAAAGTTTAGACATAGATTTAATATACCTATGATTCACGTAATTCTTTTTCTTGTGTATAATTTTAATAGAATAACATATTATGGATGCGTTCATTTGTAACCTTTTTAGCCTATTTCAACAAATGTCGTGAAAAAAAACAAGACATAATTTGAAGTAAATAAAATTTTATTAAAATTCAAACAATATTTGTGAATTTTGATACCTTTCTCCTCGTTTTATTCGTTTGAATTTTTAATTTGTTATAAAATATTTTATGATGTAGAATAATTACATATTTTGTGTTGAGTTGGGTTTTTACTTAAAAATATCGCCAACCTGACCCAACCCTATTAGAAACAAACCGTAGGGTTTAAATTTTTTTGGGTGAGTTTGGGTTTAATATTTGTCAAACCGTAGTGCATGAGTCGGATGATTAAAATGCCTAAACCCGGACCACCCGACCCATGTACACCCCTACTTGGATCTAGCTTGCCTAATGATGGGTCACCCGTTACCTTTCCTTGTTTTATTTTAAGGCCCAATGGGCTGGACTGCCTGAACGTTCCCAAATTCGTTGTCTAAGCCCAGTTAAGGAAACACGGCCCGGCCAACAGAACGTCCTTGGCCCGCGGAGTTTTTGGTCAAACAGTCAAAACCAATTTAGCGTCGACGGGAAGCTTCATTTCTTCATAACTTCCCCAGGAAGCCAACTTCCAACGGACGCTTAAAAGTTGAAACGAAACCCAGGCGGTTACTCTAATGCTCTAGCTCTTCACTCATTTCCTTTTCCCGCTCCCACAGCAACGAATTCCACAATCCCATCCGGATTCCCTGAACACAGCGCTTGGATTTGTTCGTTCAGCTGTTTCCTGTTTGTGGAGAGGTACTTTACCTTTTCGTCTGCTTGCGATCTGGAAGTCAGTAATACTAACTACACTGAAATGGATTCATCGCTTATTTTGATTGATGGAATGATGGATCGGATGTTTTATTGTGATAACGGATCCTTTGAGTTTATTTGTGTCTCTGTTTTGTAACTGTTTGCTTGGATTTTTTTTGTTGAATTTAAGTTCCGTAATTTTCATTTCACCCCTGTTTGGTTCCGTGAAAATCATAATGTGATGTTTGTTGCTTGATAATCTGACCATACTACATTTGCAAAGTAGTTATTGCATTTCGATCATGGGTTTGAAATTCGACCACATGACCACTTGGTCAAACCAGCTTTGATATCATGTCATAAACCAGTTGCTCCGAATAATTCGAATTGTTGAGAAAAGGTTATGCTGAATCTTATACCACTCTCTAACACCAACTACATGTCCTTGCGCAGCAGAAAGCCCGAGTCTTGACATAGCACAGTCTCATTTTCAGAAGAAACTTGTTTCCGTAGCTAAGACTAGGAAAAGGATAGCTTTCAGTTCTGTTGTAGTTGCAATGGAGAACAGTTCAAGAGAATTGTTCTCCTTCAGAGTTCCCCTTCAGAGTATGTTCTTCCTTCAACTGAATCTCGACCAAGCCACATCGAAAGCCATGTGCTTGGTTTTCTAGATATGAACATACCAGTACCTACAACACCACATTTGACTGCGTTAGCCGAAGAACTCAGTAAGAAGAATGGTGGAGAAGGTGAACAGGTAAATGAACAAATTCCAAGTGTGGCTGGTTTTGCCCCAAGAAGCCATCCCCAGGGAAGCTCTGTTGTTCTTAGCCCGGAAACCATATTGAGGAATTCAGCAAAGACATTCAGAAACCTGCCTTCCATCATAAGGAAGAGAAGCTCGATGACAAGGGATGAGAGTACTTCTGCTGCAATGGCCACAAGTAGTGGTTCAGGTGTCACCAGCTGCAGCAACAGCAGCTTGATGTAAGGGCAGCAAGGAATCTTTTCCTTGTTTCACAAGTCATATCCTGTATTTGCCACTGAATCCCTTAGAAGGAACCTGGACAGTGCATTCGGTCAATAATAATGTCTAATCTTGCTAGTTCTTGGCCAAGTTGATCATTGTTGTGTGGCTGTTGATTGTTGATTTTGTCGTCAGGAAATTTGTTTGTAAGCTTTTTGTCTGTGGTGGAGGGATGTGTGTACACTAACACTACAGAAGTGATGTTGTCAGAATCGAACCGTCATATGAACCGGTATTATAAGCGGCTCGCATTTTATTGGTTTAACCGCTATCAAGTCGTTATAAACCCGTTATCGAACCGGTGTCTAAGAAATAGAATTATTATAAATAGAAACCATTAATGTTATTATAATTATATATTTATTCTAATATATTCAAACAAAAATTATATATAACAAGTAAAGAATATTATTGTACAGAAATATAAATTATTTAAGTATAATACGAGTGATTTTTAATAGTTATGAACATTATTTAATGGTTAGTTTCAAAACTAAACACTGCGAAAGTGTATAATAATGAGACTTGTAGCTTCTATTACACAAGTTGGCAGTAGTGCAACTGGATAAACGTTTGACTTTGCACCAAGAGCTGTAGGGGGCGAATCCTAGTTCTCTCCACCTAGCTGGAGATTTTTGTCACCAAGATTCTGACCGGTAAAATCGATGAAGCGGTTCGAACGGTTCGGCGGTTGAACCGGTCGGTTCGCTTGTAAATAGGATGTTCAGAACAGAAACGTGTAGGAGTACAAAATAGCTTTCTGTGGTGGGAATGAGTTAGGCCTGTCAGGTGAGGTTCACATACGATTTCCAGATGAAGGATAATGGGAATCATAATTGCACGGAATCGATGGAGTCACTTTCATTTCAGGGGATGCAAGAGCCATAAAGGGGACAAGATGTCTGAACTGTTCTGGATTTGGACATGAGTCCGATTCTTGCTTATCATGTAATCTCCAGTACATAATTTTCCGTGTCTGATGATCCCAATCTTTCTTCATGAATCATTTTCCTAATCTTGTATTTTATGATTTGAAATAATGGTAAAGAATAATTTTGTATATTCGAAACAACTTAACACAAAGGTTTCAAATCGGAACTTATGCGGTAAAACCGTAAAAGCATTTTTTACCTTTTTCGAAAAACCAGACTTGTAAATGTGTTGGGGCAAGTTTCAACTTTTGAAAGAAAAAACACTTTTAAAGGTCAAACTAAACCTAGGCTATCTATGATGCATTAACATGAAAACTCATGTATGTCTATTCAAACCAAGGTTGTTAAACCCCTATCGAACCCCCGGTTGAACACTGTCCGATCCGAGTTGAGCTTTAAAACGACCTCAAAAAAGTCCCCCGGTCTGACCCCTAAAACGAGAGAAGAAGAGAAGGAAAGAGAGGAAGAAGAACAAAGGAAGGGAGATGTGGGTGGGTCATGAATGTTGGGTAGATTTATTTTGTGGAAAATAAATTTTTAATAGATATATGTAAGATAAATTTTATTTTAGTCATTAAATCTTTAATTACTACCTTATTTGTACATATATTTAGAAAATGTCTAAAACGACTCAACCGACCAGACCTCGATTAGACCATTAAAGCTCAAACCTCTTGGTTAACAGGCTCAATCACTTAAACCGATTTGACAACCTTGATTCAAACCTATCTATATATTATCAGGGCTAAGCCTTCAGACATCATGTATGTCTATTCAAACCGACAACTCATGGTATCATATCATTTCGTATCTTGGTGGAGGTGGAGGATCGGCAAAAATTGGTGCAAAAATGGATATGGTGGCGGGAAATGGGAATGGGTCGTTACCTCCTCCATTCATTTCACCATATTGGGGTAGCACATCACATGTGTGTTGGGTATACAAATCAGCCCCATCAATGATCAATCCATTCCGAAGATCATTATATATATAATTATATATGGTGGCGTATTCGGTGCACCCACTTTTTTGGATGCACTCAATGCACCCGTCTCATAATTGTCATTCTGAGCATGTGATTCATGTCAAAACGTTATCAATTGTTGCTTATGATGTTATGAACAAGAAGTACATGAATTTGAAAAAAAAATCATTCAAAATTTACGTTAATTCAAAGGATTTATGATTTAGGGATTTAGAGTTAGGTTTTAGGTTTACAATTTGGGATTTTGGGTTGGGATTCAAAATTGAAGGTTAAGGAGTTAGGGTAATAGAGTGATTTGTTATCCACTATTTTTACTTTTGAATCTTCCAAATCATTCCCGCAGGAGATCCGGACCCATTTTTTTCTGATCCTTCGATAAAAAGATTCATTCTCTTTTGATTTCCTAGATTTTATGTCATATCATCATATTAGATTGAGAGTACTAATTAAAATTGAAAATTTGAAGTATTATGGACACTTTTAGAGTAGTGCACCCAAAAAAGTGAGTGCGCCGAAGTAGCTAGCCACCATATATATATATTAGGGCATTGATTAACGATAATAAAAAAAGTCACAAAAATTGGTCATAAGTAACTCCTTACCCATGAAAAATCAGTTTGTACCACATCGATTAATTATCAAAAAATTTATTGATTTATAAGGTTAACTCAACATTAGTAATTAAATGAGTTAGTTGGGCCTTAGACTAACTCCAACCCAAAAGGTTATATTTAGCCTCTCAAGCTCTCAAATGTGCATTTTTACCTTCCAAAAACACATTTTTGCTCCAACCCTAAACCTTCTAAATTTGCATTCCCAACTCATAACCAACCAATCAAAAATTAAGAAAGTAAAAATAAAAATAAAAAAAAGATGTTGGAAAGTGGAGGGCCCCAGCGTGTGGGCTTAGGTTCCATGGTTGGTCCCCCCACCTTCTCCTTGCATTTTTTCATATGAGCTTCTATCTATCCACCTCCACCCCTAGGTATGCAATATAACATCTAAAAACAAATAAAATTTGGAAGCAAGGCAGGCTTGGTAGCTAGCCAACAAGGTACCAAGGGGCCAAACGTACCAAGTTGGGAGGTCGGGTTTCGTATCAAGACATGAAATTGGCTAAGTATAGAGCCAAGAGGGTACCAAGCCTAGTGGTTGGCCGTAGGGGTGGGCAAACGGTTCGGCAAATCCGAACCGAACCGAAACTGAATTAAACCGAACCGAAACCGAATTAATGCTATTCGGTTCGGAATTCGGAAGAAAATATGAATAGTTCGGAAATCAGGGTTATTTCAACCGAACCGAATTTCCGACCGAAAAACCAAAATGCTATAATTGCAAGCTCCAAAAGATGGATTTTTATGTTTGTAGTTGTTTTTAGACTTAAATATTTGAAATGTTCTAAGACTTATGTGTTGAAAAGCTTGGTTTTATCATTGATGATGCATATAATTGAGATTTATTGTTTATATTTATGGGTGAAAAATAATTTAAAAGTGAGAAAATACAAGTAGCTTCACAAATTCGGTTTTGTGTGAAAAACCGAATCGAACCGAATTATAATTCGGTTTAAACGGACCAAACCGAATTATAATTCGGTTCGAATTCGGTTTGAGGTTTGGGAGAATTCGGGGACCTAGTATTCATAATTTCGGTTCGGTCGAAACCGAACCGATCGAATGCCCACCCCTAGTTGGCCGCCCCAAGCTGGGAGGCAAGGTTTGGTACCAAGGCATGAAATTGGTTAAGTATAAAACCAAGAGGGTGCCAAGGCAGCAAGGCAGACCTAGTACCCAAGCATGAAATTTGGCTAAGTATGGAGCTAACAAGGTACCAAGCAGGCAAGACAGACTTGGTATCAAGTTATCAAACCTTCCAAAAGCTAAGTATAGTGATCAAATTGGCAGGGTACCAACCCTATGAGGTGATGACAAGGTGGTCAGATGAGATGGGCACTTGATTGGGCACTAAGTAGCCATGGACCATCCTCACAGCCTCAAGATTAAGAATGAAATCTTAGGACTTGATGAGGACTTGTTGTAGAGCCCCTTTGGGGGGCATATGGAGACTACGTCCTAAGACGGGACTCCAAGGCAATGGGGGTGAAGACCAAGACAACGATTACCAATTGGCCATCAAGGTGGCGACAAGGGGTCCCTAAGGTGGGTAGAGCAACAAGCCGGCTAGCAGTTACCCCGGCAGCTACCAAGGCGAGGCGGGATTCTTTTCTCGAGCGGCGGCTGATGGCTGAGCATAGGAAAATTAGGGTTTAGTTTTCGTAGCTCTCAGTGAAACTCCATAGGAGTAGGTGTAATTAACGTAGCTTGTTCCCAAAAACCCATCAAACACTCTCGTTCGAACATTGTTCGGAGTAATGTGAACCGTGTTTAGAATCGTTGTTTAAGAAGTCAATGTGCATTAATTGAGTTCAAACACCAGATTTTTCGCGCCAGAAAACAGTAACAATATTTTGGAGGCAAAACTATTGGGAAATTTATTTTAAAAAAATGATGTCAACCTATAAATAATAAAGGAAAAATTATCAATTAGTATGCATAGCAGTATTTGAGGAGCTCTTTAGGGAGTACCCTTTTATAATGTTTGATTTGTTGACACGCAAAGCAATAGGCTAGTTCATTTCATTGTTAAGAAGATTTTTTATTTGTTTCCTGTACCAAATTGATTTGATCTTTTGTAAGTAGCCCAAATTGGTGAATAGTGTATGTACATGGGCGAGGGCCGTGCTTGGGCCGGCACGTCATGGGCACGCTTTCGAGCCATTTATTTCGTGCCATGCTTGGTACGGCCCGTCAGTTTTCGTGCCGTGCCATGCAAGCCTATTTGTTAATTTTGCTAGGCCCGCCCCGAGCCCGGGCACTGTTCGAATCATGCCGTGCCTATTCGTGCTCGTGCCATGCTCGTATTCGTGTTTAATGAAAATGACGAAAACAAAAGAGCGAATGAAAAAGAAGGTGAAAATTGGACGGGGGAAGATAGTATTAACCGATAATGTTTGAGAAAAGTAACAAATAAGCGGGAAATTTTTTTTGGAAGTATAGCGAGTGTGATTTGGCTTTATTTAATTCTTTGTCCATTTTTACTTATGTTAGTAATTACGTATATATCTTTATGACACTTCTAACAACAACAAATAATTATTTTTCTACTTGTGTTTTGTAATATTTGAACCTATAATTCTTTTCATATTTATTTTCTATCAAATAAATATTATTTTGGTACCATGTCCGTTCTTTTACTCAATAAAGTCTCAAAAATATTAGGCCCGACACGGTCCACTTATATACCGTGCCGTGCCCATGCTCGTGCCCGTGTCCATAAAATTTAGGCCCGGCACAGACCATAAATTATTTGTGCTCGTGCCGGGCTGACCCATTTATTACGTGCCCGTGTTCGTGGGCGGCACGGCCTGGTGCCCACGTACAATAGTGTACCTATAATTCCTTGATAATTTCATTGAACTTTCGGTTTTAAGAAAGTACTGACTTATGTCGCCAAATTTAAGAGTATGTAGGATTGGAGGGGAAAAAAGTATATAGAAAAGATTTAAAAAATGCCTATTTGGTTCTCAAATAGACTAAATTTGTTCCTGTGAATTGAAGATGGTCTTAAAGGAAGGGAAAGAAAGTTAATCACTCCCTAATCCCTATCAGACACCCGTCCAATCCGAGCATAAATCCGGGCTGCTCCACAAAATTCTCGGTTTAGCCACTAAGATATACTAAAAAGCCACCCAAGTCAGCAAATGGATAATTGGCAAAAAAAAAAAAAAAAGATAATTGGCAAAAGAAAAAGGAACAAAGCAACTGAATCAAGCAAACCGGTCACATGATGCAAGCAGGATGGATCCTTATCTCCATTTCCAAACAATCTCTTGTTGTTCCAATTGCTCCAAAGGAAAAGGCAAAAACGGCCTCATTATTTTGGAGACATTAATAGGATTACTTGTTTGAGTCAAGTTTGATCAACCATATCATCAATACTGAACATTATCGATGAATTTGATTATTTTATCGAATTATAACTATTATTTTTGAATTTGGTCGATTATTCACCGAAGAACCGAATTACTGTATTGTATGTTTGAGTCGTAAAAAATATTAGTTGTCATGTTATTGAACCCAAGCATATTATAGCTTAGTTTGGTCCTGCTGTAGCTTTAGCAGAAGCAGCTTCTAGCTGGAGCTTTTAGATAAGTACTTTTAAAAAAAAAAGCAGTTGAGTGTTTGTCTGTAAAACTATTAAAAGTGCTTTTTAATATGAGAGATTGTGTAAAATGACTATAAAGGACTTATAATATAAAATATGAATAAAAATTCTAAACAATATAAAATATGATATAAATGAAATAAAATTATATTTTCAGAAATAAAATTAAAATATGGTAAGGATAATCTTGTATTTTCAAAACAGCTTTTCGCAGAAGCTCCAAATCGGAGCTTCTGTTTTTATGTTATACAAAAGCGCTTTTCGGCTTTCCAAAAGCCGAGCTTTTACAGGTGTTTGGCCCTGCTTCAGCTTTTGAAATCGAAAAACACTTCTAAAAGCTGGGCCAAACATAGGATATAGTTGTTTAATATGCAATTTGACAATAAAAAATGTCTAAACAATATCAAACAAGAAATAAAAAATGAGTGGTATTGAATATTGAAATTATTAAATTAGAAATCCATTTATTTTGTCAAAAGATAAACAAAAATCGTTAGACCGTTCTTAGATGAACTTTATTATAGTTAACTAACAAGCAAAACAACTATGCTATTCCAAAAGCATGGGAAACGAGTCATTAAAATAGCATTATTTTTCTTTGATAATATCTCCAGTTTACTCTCAACCAATTTTATGCAATCTTTATGAGCTGGCTGTGGATAATGAAAAGAACGATTTTAAAAAAGATAATGAACAAACAAAATAAAAATTGAAAACCATAACAAAAACTGGAAAATAAAGAAAAACAAAGGAAAATCGCGCCAAAGTTAACAGACAAGATTTACCCGATGGCCGAAACCTCTACAAAATCCAAACCATCTCGTCCCCTTGATTTCCTCGAGAAGCGAATCACTGATTGATTCTCAGTTTCACCCCAACAAAATCCAGAATCCGTACTGGAAACCAAAAATTGATTCTTTTTCCTCGTCCTCTGTATTACGACTCTTCCATTCCCACACACATGACACATCACTCTCAACCGCCTGCGTCAGCTTCAGTTCTTTCTCCCATCATTTCTTGATTCGCTCCCTATATCTGATATCTTCCCACCGTCACTATTATATCTCTCTGCGCTCTCCTTTCTCTTCATCTTCATTCTTGGGCTCGCTGAATTCTCTTTACAATCTTCCATTCCTTTTGGGGTTTTTTTTTATTTTTTTGGTTCTGATGAAGATGGAGGAGAAATTGGTTCTAGTCACCGGCGGCGCGGGATTCATCGGCACCCACACAGTGGTACAGCTGCTCAAAGAAGGTTTCCGAGTTTCCATCATCGACAATTTTGATAACTCCGTCAAAGAGGCTCTAGACAGGGTCAAAGAAGTCGTGGGTCCTGCCCTAGCTGCCAAAATCGAGTTCCATTTCGTGAGTTTTTCTTTCTTTTGGGTGATTCTTGTTTTAAGTATTTCTTCCCTTTGTTTGGTTCCCTGGAATCTGGCGGAAAAAAAGAAATCTGGGTTTTGGTTCGATGCAGTAATGCATGTGCGCATAAGGTGTTTGTTCATTTTCCCTCCGCTGTTCTTTTGTTGTCTGTGTAGCTGAATTTTGATTTGTTTATGGTGGGGTCTATTTTTTCTTTTTTTCTTTTTTACAGGTTGATCTGAGAAACAAGGATGATCTGGATAAGGTATTTGCCAAGTCAAAGTAAGTCAATTACTTTCTAAAATAGCTCCAGTGGTTTTTTTCTGATCCTGCCCATTGCAGTGAAGAGCTCTTCATTGCGCAAAAAATGGAGTTTCTTTTGTTCTCAATCCTTTCAAATGCTTTGCAGATTTGATGGCGTGATCCATTTTGCGGGCAGAAAGGCCGTAGGGGAGAGTGTTGAATATCCTCGACGTTACTTTGACAACAATCTAATTGGAACTATTAACTTGTATGAGGTCATGGCAAAGTATAACTGCAAAAAGGTAGATCGCCCAACTTCTGCATTTTGAATCTTCACAATTACTTGCCCTGATGAAGTGAATAACTTTGTGGATAATTTTCTTGCCTAGATGGTGTTCTCCTCATCATCCACGGTTTATGGCCAACCTGAGAAGGTACCTTGTCTGGAAGACACCGAGTTGAAGGCAATGAACCCTTATGGTAGAACTAAGGTTAGCATTCATCCATTCCTATTTTTACCGGTCATGTTAATACAAAAAAAGCGGGATTGGGTTTTGCATGCGCTTCTTTCAAGTTGATATCTTTCGTTTTGGAAATGTCTAGCTTTTCCTGGAGGAGATTGCTCGAGATATCTCCCAAGCGGAACCAGACTGGCAGATCATATTGCTGAGGTACTTCAATCCTGTGGCAGCTCATGAAAGTGGCAAAATAGGTGAAGATCCAAAGGGCATTCCAAACAATCTTATGCCCTACATTCAGCAAGTGGCTGTTGGTAGGCTGCCCGAGCTTAATGTGTATGGCCATGATTATCCCACCCGGGATGGTACAGCGGTAAGGTTTTTTGGCTTGTAAAACCTTACCCATCGGATTGTAGATCGGCATTGTTTTTAGGCTTAGTGGATTACCCTTTTTTTTCAACAGATACGGGACTATATACATGTGATGGACTTGGCAGATGGTCATATTGCTGCTCTTAAAAAGCTATTTACTCCCGATTTCAAAGGTGATCATATCAGTAGATCATATTTACATTCAAAACGTTGATCATCTGATTCAGATCTTGAGAAGAAGAAACTTGTGTCCTCTTTCTACTTAGGTTGTGTTCCTTACAACTTGGGGACAGGGCGAGGAACATCAGTGCTTGAAATGGTTGCTGCATTTGAGAAGGCTTCTGGAAAGGTTATTGTTTCTTTCACTTTTAGTTTGTCCATTTGCTCCTAAGTTTCCTCACGGTGAAGCAAGGACTGAGCATAAAGTAATTCTGGTGTGAAATTTTGCTTTTTCAGAAAATCCCAATGAAGCTATGCCCAAGAAGAGCTGGAGATGCTACAGCTGTTTATGCTGCTGTTGACAAAGCTGCGAAAGAGCTCGGTTGGAAGTATGTTCTTTGGACATCTTAAGCTAACTACCTTTTCATGCTATCTTCAGATGGTTTAAGTATTGCTAGTTGAGAAACAGTTCAACATTGGATTTAGGGCTCTTTGAGCTATAATTGATGTGCTAATGGGACCTTACGTTTGTATCTCTTTTCAGGGCAAAATATGGTATTGAGGAGATGTGCAGAGACCAATGGAATTGGGCCAGCAAGAACCCATGGGGTTACCAGGGAAAGAAAGCCTAGCTCCTCGAGCACCTGCAACCTTTACTTGCAAGTCAAAACTCCACCCAAGTATACTTTTAGACATCATATATCAAGGGCCATAAACAACTGCAAAGGAAGAGAAAAGCTCTGTTTTTATTTTGTTTCCCTAGAGGATAGCCATTTCTTTATTTTCCAATAAATGTAGAAACTCGTGAATTTTATATTACAGTTTGTAATTGTGATTAATACAAAATCGAAATTGTTCATCCATGCCTGTGTTGCATAGCCTCTTCTCATCAAGCACATATGAACTACCAGCAGTCACGCATAGCAAACATTAGTTGACTCACAGGTTTTCTGGTCTGCAACGTAAAGTCTTTCTGTTATTGTTAAGGGTTAAGCTCTTAGAAATTTGTTAACAGCTGCTGCTTGTGGACCATAGTTTATTGCATAGAAATTTCTATGATGGAGTAGTACAGAAGTGTTGACCTAAGCATCTCACCTTCCCCTTATCTTCCCGTGGATTTATTTAATAAACTCATCTTTAGATAATGAAAGGAGGGTTTGAAATTGATAACTTAACCATCAGTGTCATTATCATCAATGTTTATGCCTTCCCTTCCAGCAGGAGTGCGCTTTCTGTAAAACTGTAACTCCGTGAACATACCAAGAAGGTTTTGGTAGTTGCAGGGAGAATAAAATGAAGCAGGAAGAAACAAGAGGAGACCATCTGCCATCTGTTGGTAGCCCAGGTAGTAGACCAGCGATGGCCGCCCGGTTTTCCCCCAACTCTGTAACTCAGCAACCATCTCCATTTCCAACTCCTTCACCATTCTCTGTCCCACCATCCACCAGGTGGAGCTCTGCAGGGCCTCCAATCCACCTCTCGGTTCTCGTCCTAAGGTTCTTGGCGCTCCTATTCTCTTTCATCTCTGCAGTAGCACTGGCTTCTCCATCAGCAACCAAGGCTCATGATCATCATCATCTTCATCAGAATCTACCTTTGAATTCAGAACTGGTGTAAGTCAAAATAAAAAACAGGTTGCACAACTTAGAAAGCTAGATGCTTTTCTCTGTTAGTCATGGTGAGTTCTTTTGTTCTCTGTGTGTTTAACTCAGGTACTGCTTGATTGTGTCGGTTCTGGTCTTCGTCTACTCGGCTCTCCAACTGTTCAAAGGCGTTTGTGACATGGTGCACAGCGGGATGCTCATCTCAGACAAGGTCTCGGATTACATGAACTTTCTTCTTGATCAAGTAAGATCAGTTTTTAGGTTTCTGTTTTGGTTTGTTGAAGAAGTTTTGAATGGTGTGCCCTACCCAAATTGACTTGGATGGGCAAACATCATGCAGCTGGCAGTGTACCTTGTGATATCTTGTTTATCAGTTGGGGTAATAGGGACCAAAAGAATGGAGGCATGGTCAACATCACAGTGGAGTAAGGCTGTCATTTCGGTATCAATGTCTGCTGCAACTTTCATTGTGATTGCAGCTTGTGGGCTTCTGTCAGGATACAAGCTCTGTAAGAGGATCATCTGGTGAACCTCTCACCCTTCACTAGTAATCTGTATCGGAGAGCTACTCGTAAATTAACAATCTCATCCTGAATCTCATCTGGCTTCATAAGTCCCCCTTTTTTTCAAGTCCAAGCTCAAATATTAACTGTGACTTTGGTGAACTAATCTGGCCTATTTTATCCTATGATTCAATATATTTTGCCATATGATTTGTTATGATATGTATCTTTACGTGACCTGAACTCATTTTTATGCACCACGGAGCTCATTCAATATCTATGATATGCGGGTTGGATCCGGTCCTTAAGCCTCTGTTAGCGAACTAACCACTTGGCCCCAATAACTCGAGTTGTTGGGAAAGTGATAGTTAAGCCTTTTTAGCCTCTTATATACGCCCCCTCAAACGAAAGCCTACCTTTGTCGGGGTTTTTTATACGGTTTGCACAGGTGAACGTATCATTCCTAGTGCTGCCAAACCCATTAGGCTTTCAGTTTGTACAGGTTGGACATACCATTCCTTGTACTAAACCATTGTTTGCTTAAATTGGGGGTCGTCATGAGGATTCAAAACCATGACCTTTCGGTTCTAGGCTCTGATACCATGTTAGCGAACTAACCACTTGGCTCCAATAACTCGAGTTGTTGGGAAAGTGATAGTTAAGCCTTTTTAGCCTCTTATAGCCTCCTTGTTTAAGGAGGTTCTTAAACCATTTTTATTGGCTGATACTAGATTAGGTAGTTAACAGGGGTTAGTAGTTAATAGTTAGTTAGAACAAATAAGATATTATGAAAATATAATTAATATTACTCATTAATGATTCTCTTTCTCTCTCCCCCTTGGTCTTCTCCATAACCCTCTCTCTCCACTACAATTAAAAGGAAATTCAAAATTAATTTAATTAATTATTATTATCTAATATTTAATAAATTCGAACTTAATATTTTTTATTTTTTAAAATGAAAATTGAAAATTAAAATATATGCTCTCTCACTTTGTGACAACTTGCAATACCGTATTAACATTTTGCAATGACATTATCAACATTTATGAAATGAATCGTTATTATTATACCCAGGGTTCAAGAAGGCGCGCCTAGGCGCACGCCTAGGCTCAACTAGGCGCTAGGCGGTGGAGGATCGCCTTGACTTGGTCATAGGCGTTGTAAAAGGCGCTGGTAGCGCTTAGTAGGTAGGAATAGTGCTTAGTTTGCGCCTAGTGGAGAGAAGGCGTGCCTGGGCGTTCTGGGCGAGCTTAAGCGGTTAAACCCAATACTCTTCGTTTTGTCCTAGAAAATCAGAAACTTGCCTCTTGCCCTAGAAAATCAGAAACACGGGAAGTAACATCTGCTGCCGCCTGCCGCCCTAGCTGTCGCCCCATCTGCTACCGCCTGCCGCCCTAGCTCTCGCTCCATTTGCTGCTCTCTGCCACCGCAGGAGAAAGTCATCGATCACTCTTCTCGCCTTCACACCGCTCCGCTGCTATAGTGGGAAATAAAGTCGAAACTCGTCAATTGCTGCTCCTTCCTTCTCCTCGGTACGTAGCACAAGCTTCTTGCCTCTATAAGCACCTATTAGCAGATGATTGGTCACTATTTACTTGTTATTTGTTATGTTAAGTGTTTACGGTTAAGAACTAGGCATTGCTAATTTTATATGCACTTGGATTATATGAATTATTCCAGAAAACAATAAATATTTGAGAATTTTTCCATTTATGCTCTGAACGCCTAAAAATCATAAACCTAAAAATCATAACCTAAAAATTCAATAGCCACCACTCTCCGTTATACAATCAAAGTTTTATCCACTCTATCTTAAATTTCAAGAGACATATGTTTCTACCAAAAATTCAATTTCCAATCCTCCTTCTGCAACTTTATTTATTAAACTCCATTCTATTCTCCATGGATTGATATCGGAGTTGAAATCTTCTACTTGCCACTAATAAAACCGTAGTGCCAAGTGATACCGGAAGTTTGATTTTCAAAGGGTGGCTTGTACTAGGAAGTGAAAATGGCGCAAACTATTGCACGATGTAGGAAATTTCGGAGGAAGTAATAAAGAGATAAGAACAAAGATAAAAATATATAAATTTTATATTTAAAATTAAAATTAAATATAATAGACTTTGTGGGTTTGCCAATCATGATGGAAAAGTTCTCACATTGTCAAAGTTTAACTTCGTGTAGTTTTTGTATTAAAAAAATACAACAAATTCATTTAGTGTAATTGGTTGTGATTGTTGTCTTTGTTTGAAGAGACTCGGGTTCAAATACTGATATTGATATTTATTTTTTTTGATGAAGCTGATATTGATATTTTTTATATGAAATAATTAATGAATTGTAAAGACCAAATTGTCTTTACTAGTTTCACTCTGAAATTTGAAATGGAAAAAATTACACAAAACTCTACCATATATTATTGGAGGATGTGTCCGTCCTTGACAGGTTTCTCTTACATAACTAGTCTATATGAAATTGTGAATATTTCAATTTGCAAACATCAATTGTGTCAAGTGTAGGAATAATTTGGTCCAAATCGAGATAAATAATCAATATAATTCGAAGAAAAAATAATATAATTCAACTTTATTTTGATTCTATAATTCAAAACAATTCATTTTGGATATATTATGTGGCTCCTCTTACACATAAAGAAAAGATAGTTAACTAAACGTAAATACCTTAATACGACCCCAACTTTGAATAAACAAGCAGTTATGACCCCAACTTACACAAATGACCCTAACTTAGAAAATAAAAGACAATCTTGGATTCTTGGTTGCATTGCCCAATTGACCGTCAATACTAATGGTCAACTCATTTAATTATTAGTGACTCAGCTTGAGCTGTTGGCAATCGACATGGCTGTCACATATAGTCCACATTAGTCAAATACTTTTTATCTAAATTCTCAAAAATAAATTTCATAAAAAACCAAAACTAATTCATTCCATAGAAAATAAATCGACTTCCTCTTTCGAAATTTGTCACTTTTCAAGCCGCTCCTTCTCTCCTTTCCTCAGTGCCCCTTTGATGACAACCATCAGCTCGTGGTCAACGGTTCTTGACTCGTCACCATCTCTGTGATTCATCTCCCTCAAGCTATCACATCTCTCCTTTTTTCCTAGCCATGATTATCGCGTTGTTGCCGCCTTGGACAAGATGCAACACCATCATCAAGAGTTGGATCTTGCATTCTGTTGGGCCATTAAACATGGCTTAGCCCCGCCCAAACCACAACTACAATCCATCAAGTATGTATGGGCCCAAACCCACAAAATATATTCATGATCCTACAACTAAAGCCCACATGAAGAAGGCAAGCTTGGCCTATAAATACACTACTAAGCACTCCAAGTAAGGGATCGCTTCTCTCCTTCTCATTTGGGATATGTCACTTATCTCTCTATACAATCTCTCTCTATCTTTGCTCTTCCTATTCCCTTACAAGTTCACTAATGTTGATCGTCGGAGTGTAGATAATCGGGGCCAACCCCGCACTTTCACAGGTTTGGCGCCTCCCTTGTTTCTTGGCTGAAACAATTGGCGCGCCAGGTAGGGGCGGGCGCCTGCCTACTCACCTGCCAGGCTTCTTTTCCGAGCAGTAACCAATAAGAAAAAAAAAATCCAGATCTACTTTTTCGAGCCTTTGGTTTATTTGAGGGGCGACTATTTTCGAGCAGAGAGATATTTCTGAGTAGCAACCTACCCTTTCTTTGCTATCGTCCTTATTCTGTTCGTCCCAAAGAAAGTTCGGGCTTCGCACACAGCGCTCGAAACAATATGTTGTTGGTCGATTGAGTAGTTGTCGGAGCTCCGTTGAAAAAGCGATAAAACCCTACAGTGGCCAGAGTTGTGGGATAGTCAGGCGCCATTCTCCGGGAGCTCGTCGAGCTAGGACGATACAAGAGTGCAAGAAAAATAGGGAATAAGCGCCTGCTATGAAAATAGATTAGGCGCCGACGCATCAAAGGTATGATCCTAGTTGCAGTGATACCAAAAGGATGAAAAGGGTGGGGATTCCGAGTTTAGCCATGGAAGGCGTCAACAGGAAATTCCGTCGATCATCCTCCTAGTTAGCTATCCTTGGCGCCGCCGCAAGTGATTAAGTCATCGCCATCTTGGGCGTCCGAGTTCCCAAATTATAAAAGATAATCAAAAGGGGGAAGGGAGCAGGGCATTACGAATGAAAAGAGAAAGGGGAAAAGGAGCACATTTAATTCAGTACGGCATGGTAGGTAGGTTGAAAATTGTGGGAGGCGAAATGCAAGGTGGAAGGGAAAGAAAGTGAAGAGAGGCGCCCCGGGAAAGTTAAAGATAATAGTAGGAGGAGAAGATGCTGAGCCCAATCGACGAGTGTGATTATTCCAGGCGTATTTTACATTGGGCACACAAGGAATGCGCCCAAAACTACTAGAAGCCTGTGATTCGGACAGGCGCCCTGCTCTTCAACATCTTAGTGGCGCAAGCCCAAAGGCCCATCTGAAGAAGAAACAAAAATATCATATATTGGAATCGAACCAGGCACCTCATGAACGAGATGTCTTCAACCTTCACCACTAGACTACAAACCGAGCTTGCCACACTAGGCTTCTACCACGTTGGAAATTATAATAACACAGAAAGCAGGCCCAGACGTCTTCCAAGTTCCAACATTACAAGAAGACAGGAACTTCAACCACTATGCTACAACCACAAATCTGTGAACTCATAGCAAGCGCCTCTTATTCAATAGTGTCACCATGGGCTTCGAAACACACTTCAAGCTAAGTACTCAATTTATATTCTTTTGTAGAATTTAATTTTATCTGCGTAAATTATCTTGATTGTTATGAAATACTCTCGTGTCCCGGTGTTGGTCAAAAATACTCTCTGCGCCCAAATTTAGCGCCCGTGGTTAGAAATACTCTATGTGCATTAATATTGTGCCTATGATTTAGAAATACTCTCCGCGCCCGAGTATAGCGCCTATAGTTGAAAATATTCTCCAAACCCAAATTTATCGCAATGGTTAGAAATACTCTCCGCGCCCGATGGAAGCGCCCTCGGTTAAAATACTTTTCGCCCCAATTCTAGCGCCATTGGATATGCGTACTCTCTGCACCTAAGTGTGGCAATCTTGGTGGGCACCCAATCATCCGCTTTTATTACCTCGTCTTCAAGGGATATGGGGAGCACTCGCAATATCTAAGAGAACTCAAAGTGAGGCATGAGGCGTCCATAACGCCAAAGTACTCACAAATCATCAGAGATGGAGAGTAGGTGCATACCACCAAGCTATGGGGCAACCTTGTGATACATATAGAGTGCTCCAGGAAAGAGCTTTCACGGGTCTCCAAGTGAGATGCAAAGCGCCCATAATACCTAAAGCGCCCGAAATACTTGAAAGGTCTCCAAGGGAGATGCAAAGTGCCCGGAATACTTGAAAGGTCTCCAAGTGAGATGCAAAGCGCCCATAATACCGAAAGCGCCCGAAATACTTGAAAGGTCTCCAAGGGAGATGCAAAGCACCCGAAATACGTGAAAGGTCTCCAAGGGGTATTTAAAGCGCACATAATACCCAAAGCACCCGAAGTACTTAAAAGCGCCCATGATACTCGCAAGTTCTCTATGGGAATGTAAGGTGTTCACAGTACCTAACAGGGGTTCAAGGGAGAAGCGGGGCGCTTGCAATATCTCGGAAAACTCATAGCAAAGTGTTAGGCACCGGCAACACCAAAGTCAATAAAGACGTTATAATAGAGGCGCATAAAGGAAGCCCTTCGAGGTTAAGGCGCTTCCTTTCTAGCCTCCAATAATACATCTCCAGGAATAAGCTAAGTGTTTTCTGTCTCTACTCGAGTTATATTCCTAGTTATTGTATGAACCAAATTTTGTTGCATTCTTTAGTATAGTTGTGTTCATTATTCTGTGTAATTGATATGGTAATGGGGGACATGAATTGGGGGACAAAACACCAAATGATCTTACGTAAAACTTGACAAGTCATGGGATTTTAGTTAGTCGTCCAGTGCATCACTGGGCGCCTAACTGGGGGACAGTTGGGGGTAACATGTGCATACACATTCGGGATTTTTTCTAAGGCAAACAAATCTTTAATTATGTGCCGAAAAATGTCATAGCCTTGTGCAATAAATAGTTTTATCTCATTGCTTGAGTTATATCGTTAACTATGTTATGAGTCACATCATGTTACATTGATAATTCTCTACATAGTTTTTCTCGGAATTCCTAAGCTATTATGATCTTGGGGATAATTGGAGGGACACCATGCAACTTCAAAATCTTGTCTAGAGAAAATGAATCTCCAGTTAGGTGCATAGGGCGCCATAACCTTGTTAGACGTTGAAAGAGAAGTAAGTTTATGTGTAAGGCAAATAAGTCCTCAAGTGGGAGCCTAAAATGTCGTGATTTTGTAGACGTCTTGGGTACAATACGTTACTTGCCACAATTTGAGTTAATTCTTCTATGAGTCATATCATGTTTTATTGTCGATTCTTTGCAAAGTTCTTATTTCGAGATTGTTCGACAAACATGATGTTGGGGGACATGAGTCAGCTAAGCCAGGAGACAAGATGGCGCTTAAACAATCAAGCATTCAACTCTAAGTTCGTAGTAAAGCTTGCAAGGCAAAGACTTCTAGTTAGGCATCTAGTACACTACTGGATACCTAACTGGGGGACAATTGTTGGGCCATTAAACATGGCTTAGCCCAGCCCAAACCACAACTACAATCCATCAAGTATGTATGGGCCCAAACCCACAAAATATATTCATGATCCTACAACTAAAGCCCACATGAAGAAGGCAAGCTTGGCCTATAAATACACTACTAAGCACTCCAAGTAAGGGATCGCTTCTCTCCTTCTCATTTGGGATATGTCACTTATCTCTCTAGACAATCTCTCTCTATCTTTGCTCTTCCTATTCCCTTACAAGTTCACTAATGTTGACCGTCGGAGTGTAGATAATCGGGGCCAACCCCGCACTTTCACAGGTTTGGCGCCTCCCTTGTTTCTTGGCTGAAACACATTCCATTAACGATCTAATGAGCAAGAGTATCCAGAGCTTGAAAATAGTTGCTGATGTGAAGACTCTTACACAAAGGTACTACCAAGGTGACTTAATTAGAATAATATAACTTTAACAACATCTATCCAATCTGAAATAGAGAATTAGAAGCTTCTCTGAATATCATACTGACTTTTCCACTGTTTTAGAAGATCTCAAAACTTATCAAACAACTCCTCCTTGCACTTGCTCACCTACCAATCACAGGATTGTGATGCTACTAATACTGTTAAGAGTCATCAAGGGTACCATGGAATCCCCCAATGTATATACAAAACATTGTTTGCTAAATTTAAGGATTATCCAATGACGTTTAGCTCATTGACCAATGATATTTAGTCTTTCACTTCTATTTTTATGATTCTCAACCCTTTGAACAATTATTAGTTAGTGATATTTGGTCATTCGCTTCTAGCATTGAAAATGTTTCGTTACAAAAATCACTGCATTCTGTTATACTACTCGTTGAATCGATTTGCGATCATAGTTATTTGTTATATGATTCTGTGTTGAAGACTTGGAGGACTTATTGTTGTGGTGATTTAGTCATATGATTTTGAGATGTTTACTAATTGTATAACTTTGACTTAAAAATACAACAACCTTTTTTGATAAGTGGGACCATATTTATTAAAGGTTCAAAACAGTACACAAGGGCATGGATAACAAGCTCTGATCAAGGTCACATAAAATCAAACAGAAATGGACGAGACAAAAAAAAGCAGGTAATGACAACAATAAGAATCGGTGCTGAAAAATGAAACTAAAAATTACACAAAAAAAGACTGCTACTAAGTGAACCATGTCACTTGTGCAAATGCTACACAAAATCAAATAAACATAACGTGGCTTGCAAAGGAAAACAAAACTCTAGGCAATAGCTTTTAATCGCCTTAAGATCTAAGCTATTGATCCACTCCTGCTCAATGTGAAGCCCCTCCCCATTTTCCGTTATTGTATTTCATAGGATTAATTGTATGGTTGGTCACTCAGATGATAAAAAACGTTCATGTTTGGTCACTCAAAATATTTAATTCCATTCGTGGTCACTAAAATTAATTAAAGAGTTCAATTTTGGTCACTCTCCGTCCATCTCCGTTAACTTTTGCTTATGTGGCAGTCAACTCTTACAATTGATCGTTAAATGTGCCACGTGGCAATTTAAAAATAATATTTTAAATTTCCAACTCATTATTCCAACTAATAAAAAATAAAAATTTTAAAATACCTAATTTCTTTTCTTCTAATTTCCATGTTCGGATGAACCTCAACCGTCCCTTCTCCTTCTTCCTTACGCCACCGCCGCCAGCAGCACCACCGTTATCTCCGCCGCAGCCACCTCCACCACCACTGCCGGCAGCTCTCCCTCTTAGATCGGATCCCTTCACATCAACCCATGAGAAATTGAAAGCCCCAACTTCACAAATCTCTCTTTCCCTCTCTCAAATGCCATTAATTAAACATTTCATTGTCATCCCCGCCATAAATTTTCAAATGGGTTCCAAGAAGAAGGAGGAAAGGTTCCAGCTTTGAGCTGAATTTCGGTTTTTGGTTTTTTTCCCCCTCTGGCTTTGTTGGAGAAAGAGAAATGGGGAATGTGACGTCGAACGTGGCGGCGAAATTCGCCTTCTTCCCGCCGGACCCGCCGACGTATGACGTGCTGGAGGACGAAGAAGGGAGGCTGGTGGTGCCAGGTGTCACGGCGGACAAGAACATGGATGTCCATACGTTGGATAGCAAAGCTGGGAACAAGGTTGTGGCCATGTTCTGGAAGCACCCTTTTGCCAGATTCACCCCTTCTCTATTCCCATGGCAACGCCGCCGACCTCGGCCAAATGCATGAGCTCTTCATTGAGCTCAGGGCTCATCTCCGAGTCAACATCATGTGGTTAGAAACTCCGGCTTTTGTTTTAATGCTCTGTTTTCATTTGTGCAAATTCACCGTACTTTGAACTTTAAATCAACCATTAATGTTGATTGAGAGATGTTCAAGACTGGATTTGATGAAAGTTTCTGGCTTTTCGATGAATTCTTGTCGAAATTAGAGTTGTTTCTGGTTTTGGGTTTTGGGATGCTTGATTGTATTCCTTGTTGTTCAAAGATTGGAGCTTTATTGTGATGACCTTTGTTCTCTGTTGTTTCTCTATGCAGCTATGACTATTCAGGCTATGGAGCATCTTCTGGAAACGCGCCGGTCACCAGCGTCGTGAAGCTGAAGGTGGTTGACACATCAATTTGGTCGATGGCGAGCTCTGTCAGTGTCAGCTTCACGTTGTGAACTGCGGCAACGACGAACTGCGCGTCGGCGTCGTCGCCAACATAGACGACGGAAACTCGCGTGCGGGGATAGAACGACACTACGTTGTGCCAAAGCCACTCTGCTGCGGAAGACGGAGATTTCGCCATTTCTTGAACCAGATGGTTCGGAACGGAGAGCAGCACGCTGGCCTCGGTGAAAGACAAGGCCCGCGTCAGGCTTGGTGTTGGATCCAGAATCCGCACCGAGCGGAATCCGAGAGCCACCACCGCTGAGGCGATGGTCTCCGGGAGGCGAGAGGTGCTGCGAGGACGGAGATGAACTGCGATTGGAATTCGCTGGGCGGCGGCGGTGGTAGTGCGGCGGCGGAGTAGGTAACTCCAACAGCATCAGGGTTTGGTCGGTAGGGTATGGAGATTAGAAGAAATTAGTTTTAATATTTTTATTTTTTTAAAAATTGTGATAATGAGGTGGAAATTTAAAAAATTAAATTTTTTATTTTTAATTGCCACGTCACACACTTAACGGTCAACTCTAATAGTTGACTGCCACATCAGACAAAATTAACAGAATTGAACGGAGAGTGACCAAATTTGAAATGTTTAAGTAATTTTAGTGACCATGAACGGAATTAAATATTTTTAGTGACCAAATTTGAACCTTTTTAGTAAATACGATGACCAACTATGCAATTAACCCGTATTTCATATAACAACTTTGTTATAGTTTAGCTGATTAGCAAATTTGACTCTCACCTGATAAATCTCAGTCCAAGTCCTAATAATTGTGATTATTTTTTTAAAATATATTTAAGAACTAAATTAAAAATTGCAAATTTACCTCTAACTAAAATATGTAGAAACAAGAATTTGGAAATGGAAAAAAGTAGATAAAAATCTATTATATACTGTTAGGAAAGGAATATATAGTTATAATTTGGTCTCCTCCAACATCTCATAAACTAAAAACTTTGATTGCATTCCATATCTAAATTAATTTGCTTGGGCTCGAGAATTTCTAACTGTCTGGCAAGGGTTGGCTTACTATTGTTAACAAAGGCTTATTATATTCTCACCCCTCATGCTTAAAACACTTCTTTGGTGAAAGGGACTATATTTGACCCACACTATACTCATGTACTAGTGATTAGTTATTCTTCATAGCTCATTTATTTTGTTTCTAATCACAATTTATCTATTTTTCTTTAAAAAAACATTCAATTCTTTTCTTTTCTTTTTGAGTTATATATTGACCTGACAATTAAATATAATTTGTACTTGCTCCATACAATTAACTCCTTATCGTTATTATTATTTATTTATTTTTTGAATCGGTGGATTCTTATTCATCAAAAGAAGCACTAGCAACAAACCCTCCTAGTTGGGTAGGGTGTCCACAAAGAGAGAACAAAACAGTGTAAACAAATACCAATTACCTACTATAATACGTACTTAAGGAAGAGATAACCATCGATTAAGAAGTATCCCAAAAGAGTTGCGCTTTTGTAGAAACCAGAAGACTCTCGACTTGTGCTTTAATGTGTTTCAGCAGCTCCTCATAGCTTCTCGCCTTACTCGCATACATTTTGCAGCAGCACTCTCTCCAAAGATGACTTAACCTTGCTTGCCAGATAACCCTGTCAGTTTCAGCTATATAAATTAGAGTAAATACAATATAATAACCAAATCTTTCGTTTTAAACAAAATAATAGCCAAACCTTTTCGAAAACAATTTAATAGCCAAACAGTTAACTTTCCGTCCGGTCAACTGTTAGTTGACTATGATGTGGCAGACTCTTTGATGAGATGGAATGTTTCTAATGATGTGGCAAGAAATCAAACTTGGTTGCATCCTCTTCTCCTCTGCAACCCTTTCTCTGCCTCTACCGCTGCCAAACTACCGCCCCTGTGTTCAGCTCACAACCCACCTTTGTCTCCCAACTGGCAATCACTGCCAAACCGCTGCCCTTGTATTAAGATCACAACCCACCTCTTTCCCAATCTCCTCCATCTGTAGCGAGTATTCACAATGACAATACCCATGGGGCAACTTCCCTTTCTTCTTCCGCAAACTGACCAAGAGAGAGAGAAACTCTACAAGGGGAAAAATATCCACCAGGAAGAAATACTAAAGCGACATCCAGTCATCTCCAAATCCCTTAGTCTATTAGTCAGGGGTCGCCCGCATAGAAAATATGCGTCCGATCTTCAACTTCCGAAAGCATTGCCCCGTATCTGAGGACGTTGACTACGAGTTCAGGTTGGTGAAAGGCAATTAAGCCTAGATCTGGCCAAACAAAGACCACGCTACAAAATTGAATGAGGGACGACGACTCTGATCTGATGCTCTGAGGTATTAAACAAATATTCCACTCTCAACAGCAGCGACGGTGAGATCCGCCAACTATTCCTTCTTTGCTTGAATGTTTTAATCCGGAGTTCTTCTGCTCGGACTTCCATCCGCGATGCAACTCCCCGCTGATGAACCGGCACCAATCGGCGAGGACTCTGCACCCTTCCAATTGGAGAATCAAAAGCTCTCATCCTGGCTCTACTTCTCCATCATCCTCGGCGTCAACATCTTATTCCTCCTCAACCTCCTCTAGATCGACTATTCCACCAACTACGACAAGGCCTCTGGATCGACAATTCCACACAACGTCGACGGCTACGGGAGCGCGGTTTCGGACACGAGGAGGAAGACGAAGGTCGAAAGGTTGGGTGATTTCTATTTTTATTGACAAATATTTTCCATGTCATTAAAAAGGCTCAAGATAGGGTGCATAACCATGCACCCATCAATAACCAAATCTGAACCCTTTATTTAGAAAATTCAGAATTAAGGAAGAAGAATTAAAGATCATTTTTATTTTTTCTAACTTTCTTAATTGACTCATATCTTTTTCGTTTTAACTCGGATTTTAATTTTTTTTGCACGGATGGAACGTGTTCATCGTGCTCTACAAAATGAGATCAATTTTCAATATTTTTTGAGAAAAAAAAATTATGGCCTATCGGTACCAACTGCATACCATATGGTATCTTCTTCGTTTTTAATTCGTTTTTGAAAAAGTTTGCACAGAAGGGACGAGTTCATCATGATCTATTGGATCTACAAATTTATGGGTGAACAATTACAGAACCAAAAAATACCACACAATACTATACAATACCACTCTGGTACGGGGTGGTATTGTATGGTATCTTATTCGTTTTTAATTCGTTTTTGAAAACGTTTGCACAGAAGGGACGAGTTCATCATGATCTATTGGATCTACAAATTTCTGGGTGAACAAATTACAGGACCAAAAAATACCACACAATACCATACAATACCACCGGTACGGGGTGGTATTGTGTGGTATAGAATGTTAAAAGTCGTAAATGACAATTAACATACTTCTACTATCATGTATTCAACCATCCTACAGTCTTGGTTTGTTCATACCACCATGGTACGTTTTTCAAACCATAGGTATGCTTTTATTTCAATACCAGTCAATACCATATGGTATAGACTGGTAAAAAATGGCTCAATTTTTTTTTTGTTCGAAAAATATATTAAAGTGGATATCATTTTGAAGAGCACAATTAATCTGATCTAACTGTGCAAAAAAAAATTAAATTTCGACTTAAAATGAGTGAGAAATCGTCCGTCAAAGATTAAAGAGGGGAAAATTAAAGGCTTTCCAAGAGAGAGAGGATGCTGATGTCATGCTGATGTGGACGGGTTACTCATGGTTACTCACCATAAGGTTACTGACCTGATCCATTCCCCATTAAAAACATTCCATCTCTACAAAGAGTTTGCCACGTTAGAGTCAACTAACAGTTGACCGGACGGAAAGTTACCGGTTTGGTTATTAAATTATTTTTGAAAATGTTTGACTATTATTTTATTTCAAACGAAAGATTTGGCTATTATATTGTATTTACCCTATAAATTATTATATAGACGGAGTTACCATTATTCTATTCAATTATTACTGTATAAATTATTATATAAATGTTAATTAAAAATAGAAGTTGCAACCATCCTGTTTTACACCTAACTAATCCTACTTAGTCGATATTTGGACCAAAATAGATACATACATGCCTCCAAATAAAGAACTTTACAATTAGCCACACTCTAGATACCAATCCTACTTGGCCGATATTTGGACCAAATACATACTAAAGAACTGTATTATAATGGTTGTCTAAAAAGATTTTCAATCCGTATCTAACTATTTCATTTTGAGAATATTTTGACAAAAAAAAAAAAACCACACGCTGTTTCCTTTTAGGAATATCTTTGACAAAAAAAAAAAAAAATCTAACCACACAATTTTAAGTCGATCAAATTTCACAATCTCATGGTATGTTCATACCACTATGGTCCGCTGTTAATATCATATGATATGCTCTTATTTTAATATCAATCAATATCATCATTGCATAGACTAGTAAAAAATGTCACAATTTTTTTGTTTAAAAAATTTATCAAAGTGGATATATTTTTTTTAAAGATAAATTGATATCATTTTGAAGAGCACAATTAATTTGATTTATGTGTGTAAAAAATTAAATTCCAACTTAAAACAAGAAAGAAATCGTCGATTAAAAAATAAAAGAAAAATATTAAAAACTAAAAAAAAAATGATGATGTGACAAATTCTGGTTGGTTACTCATGTTACGCACATGATTTCTGATGGGATCCGCTTAGGGGTGGGCATCCGGTTCGGTAAACCCGAACCGAACCGGACCGAACCGAGTTTCAACCGAACTGAAACCGAAAAAGTGTTGTTCGGTTCGGAAATCGGAAGAGGAATTGACCTAATCCGGAAATCAAGGTTGTAACGACCGAATCGAGTTCCCGAATTTCGACCGACCAACCGAAATTCTACTCACAATCTCCCCAACCCAGACACCAAAGCCCAACCAAAACCCAACCCAGTCCATACACAGCCCAGTTCATACACAAATACAAAGCCCAAACTCTCCCCCAACCCTAACTCTCTTAGCCTAAATCTAACCAACCAACAAAAGATACTCAGCCGCCGCCGCCGCCGCCGGTAGCCTTCTTCCATGGATGAACTCCCTGACCTGAAACTTGATACCAAAAACCCAAATCCAAACCTAAAACCCACATACATCAAAATCAGCACTGATAATCAAACGAGGAACCCACATGCATGTCGAAAAGATCTTACCCAATTCTAGATCTGACTCCCTCCATTGCCTCCGCCGTCGACGGGATTGGACCATCGCCTCCCCTGCCGCCAGTTATGCCCGCCCCGTCTCCACACGCCGAGCGATCTCTTCTTCCTCTTGCCGCCGCCGCTCATTGGCGTCACCCCACCAAGGAAAAATGAGACGAACAGATTTGGGGCTAGAGAGAAGGTAAAGAAGAAGTGTTGTTATAGATGGGGGAGCTGGGCGTCAATTGGAGCGGAGAGCGACCTCCGGGGGAGCCGTCGACGTTTGATGGAGCTAGATACCCAGATCTCATGTTGCGGCGGAAGAGGGGAGAAGGATGTAGGGGAGAGGTTGGAGGAGTCGTAGATAGGTTTTAGTTTTGTAGAATAGATTGAGTTTTTTTTTTTTTGTCAAAGAGAAAAAGAAATAGCGTCAGGAGGAGGATTTCGGATTTCGGTTTGCCCATTCCGAACCGAATTATATTTCGGTTCGGCCAGACCTAACCAAATTATATTTCGGTTCGAAATCGATTTGCTCTTTGTCTGGTTCGGAGTTATCGGTAATTAGCTTTTCGGTTCGGTTCAAACCGAACCGACCGAATGCCCACCCCTAGATCCGCTCCTAGAAGAAGACCCCGATGCCGTCGTCAATTGGCAACTCTTCCGCCGCCGAAATCCAGTCACAGTAACCTAACACCCCACTGATTCTCGGCAACCCATCTCCATTTTTTCTCCAGGTTCGTGCTTCTTTTCCCTCTTGGAATGAGGGAATCGAGGTTTACATTCCTTCAGTTACGGTTCTGATTCTCTCCAATTGTTTGTGCTTGTGTTCCGCTAATCTAGGGTTTCCAATTGGCAGCGAGAGTTGAAAGGAGGAAAGATGGACATAATCTCGCAATTACAAGAGCAAGTAGACACAATCGCTTCTCACGCATTCAACACGATCGGGACGCTGCAGAGAGATGCTCCCCCGGTGCGCCTGTCGTCCAATTATCCCGAGCCACCACCGCCGCCGCCGGCCAACCCTGCGGAGGATATGGCGGAGCAGTCTAAGCAAATGAGTGTGGCTCTCGTCAAGGCTGCTAAGCGGGTAAAAAGACTCTTTCCCGTCATGTTGTTGATGCTGTTTAGCTTAGCTGCAACGAGTTTGAAACTATGTTCATTTCTTCGTGTTGGGTTATGGCTGAAACTTTTGGGTTTGTGATTTAGTTTGATGCTCTGGTGACTGCACTTCCATTGTCAGAGGGTGGTGAAGAAGCTCAACTGAGAAGGATTGCCGAACTCCAGGTTTTGCAATGCTGCTTTGCTTTTTGGCCTTTTCCTTTTCCCTAATTGTTGTTTGTGCTTATTCGATTCGATTTTGACTCTTAGGCTGAGAATGATGCTGTAGGCCAAGAACTCCAGAAGCAACTGGAAGCGGCTGGTGAGTTTCACCTTGACTTGGTTGTCTTTTCACGCCGCAATCTTGCATATTTTCCTCTTGGCATTTTTCCTAGTCCTCTTCTCTTTCGGATGGATAACCCATCTCCGGTGATTGATGTGAATGCAGAGAAAGCGCTGAAACAGGTGGTTGAGCTGTTTGCTCAGGCGACAGACAACTGCCTTAACTTGAAGAAACCAGATTAGCGAAATGTTGAGCCCACGAATGAGGGAATTCGTTTGGTTAGAAAAGGTTATGCTCTTGAGTTAGCAATTGGGTTGCGGACTCGCTGTACAGTTTAGCAAACGGCATGGGAGGTTGGTTTCAGAACCTCGTTCCAAAAAATTTGTCCCAAGTCTCGTATTTCTTCGCTGGTATCCAATAATCCATGTCTAATATAAGTTCTAAGGCATGTTTGTGGTTGTAGTAGTAGTACATGTAATCTTCAAGCAAACAGCAGCTGGTCAGATGAAGGCAGAATCTAACCCAGATGTAGTTGCTTCTTCTTCTGCTGCTACTATCTGCACTAGAATTTAGTGGTACGAGTATTAACCCATGCCCTTTGTACTCCTTGATGCTAGTTAGTGTCAAAATGTACTGATTGAATTGTTTGTAAGCAATGTTGCAGCTTGCTTATTGGATTGGATGGCGAAGATAACACAAGTTACGAAACAACGGTATCAGTCACTTGCTTTCACACGCCGCTCAACACCATAGCTGAACCTCGTTGAATCAGTTCAATCATCAATGTCGAAGGTGTGCAAAACAATGATGGCAGTACTAGAAATCTCCTTCAACATTTTGCCTGTGAGATCAAGAATAAGTAAATTACTAACGTTCAAGTACCTGCACGAGTCAGCAACTAGATTCCTTCCAACATCCAAGTATGAATGGAAGAAAAACACTGTAAAAAATTGTGTACATCTTGTAAAATAAGTCAAAACTCACCACTAAAGTTTGACAAAAGTGGCGGAAAAAGCTCAACTTCCAACGGTGTCGTTTAATCGTTTGAACCTTGGATTCCTGATAACCGAGAAGTGAAGCTTCGAGAAAGGTAACAAGAAAAGGCTATGCCGCACCGCCCACTCACAGACGCACACGTGACCCTCTCCCCCCCTTCTTTCTCGCCCATTCTTATTCTCTCCCTCTCTCTAACTTATGCTGTGTGGGCCCCGTTTTCCTGCTCTTTTCCTCCTTTTTTTTTTCCCCCAAAATTTCATTTCCATTTCCCCTTCTTCTCTTCTCGAACCCACCAATTCTGCGCTCTCTCTCTTTCCCCACCTTATCATTTACTCCACCCCGAAACTTCTAGAAACAACAAAACAAACCCGACCCTCTCTCCTTCCTTCCTTCTCTCTGTCTGAAATTTGGCAAGTGATTCATCACCTTGTCTATACTTTCCCCCAACTGTTGCTTCTTCTTCTGGTTTCGATCTCCTCTTCCTGTTTGGTCGCCGAGAAAATTCCATGGTCAATTTGTTATTGCCGCACCAGCAAGGCTCCTCCTCTTTCTGCCTATTAAACGCAGCTGCGATTCGAAGATCTGAAGGATTAGGAAACCGACCTCCCCTGCCGCTCTTTTCCCTGCAAGAAAACTGCAATCAGTTCAATCTCTTGAGTTCTTATTTGGTAAAAGTATTTTCAATTTCAATTTTCTTTTATGCAGTATCGTTTTTCTATTTTTATTTTTAACCAGTGAACGTTTTCCTTGATGTTTTTAGGAATCCAGACGTTAATCGCTGCTCTTTCAAATAAGAAAGTCGGTTTTAATTATATCCGATTCGTGGATCTGAGGCTCTGAAACTAATGCCGCCGTCGCCGGTCGAACCAATCGGGGAACCTGCTGCTGTTGCTGTTCCCGGCGGGGCAGCAAGTGGCAGCGGCGGTAGCGGTGGAGGCGCTGGTGGAGGAACAGGAGGGACTGCAGATTCGCAGAGATCGCTTCCCACTCCTTTTCTCACCAAAACTTACCAGCTCGTGGACGATCCGGCCGTTGATGATATGATTTCGTGGAGCGATGATGGATCCGCGTTCATCGTCTGGCGCCCCGCCGAGTTCGCCAGAGACCTGCTGCCTAAATACTTCAAACACAACAATTTCTCAAGCTTCGTTCGCCAGCTGAATACATACGTAAGCTCGCTCTCCCTTTCTTCCTCTGGAGCAGTTTTCTCCTTCTGTTTAAATACCTATGAGAGTAGCAAAATTCTGAATTGGCTTTTAGATTTGTAGGGATTCAGGAAAGTGGTGCCGGACCGATGGGAATTCGCCAACGATTGCTTCAAGAGAGGGGAGAAAGCTCTTCTTCGAGACATCCAGCGCCGTAAAATAGCCGTCGCTGCTGCTGCCTCCCCGACCGCCGCTGTGACGGTGGCCGCGGTTCCGGTTAGGATGATCTCCCCTTCCAATTCCGGAGAGGAGCAGGTGATTTCATCCACTTCCTCGCCTGCGGCGAACGCTATCCTGCGGACGACGAGCTGCACGACTACGCCGGAGCTTCTAGAGGAGAACGAACGATTGAGGAAGGAGAACGCGCAGCTGAACCAGGAGCTGACCCAATTGAGAGGCCTCTGCAACAATATTGTCTCGCTGATGACGAATTACGCCTCCTCCGGCCAGGCCAACGGCAGTGTGAGCGACAACAATCAAATCCCATCGGAAGGGAAGCCTCTGGATTTAATGCCCGCAACGGCCGCGACGATGCCAGAGAAGCCTGCTGTTGGTGGCGTGTCGAAGCTGGCAGATCCGAGCCCGATGCTGTTTGGAGTGTCGATCGGCGTCAAGCGGATGAGGAGAGACGAGGAAGACACTGTGGCAGCGGCGGAGGACGAGGGTTTGGCAGAGGTGGAGGAAGGAGAAGACGACGAACGACGGGGGAAGAATCCGATGCGGCGAGAGGATAAGGAGGGAGGATCGGACGTGAAATCGGAGCCGTTGGATAGGAATAACACGGGAAGCTCTGATCATCATCAGGATTCGTCGTGGTTGGAGCTGGGGAAATGAATCTCAATCATGGATTTTGGAGTTTGTTTCTCTGACTCTCCCTTCCAGACGGCGCCGTTTCGGGATCGTCGTGGTGGAACGAACGAGGCTTCGAGCTGGTGAGGGGAGGGCACGTGTTACAGATGGTCGACGCGTGTGAGGGGAAGATGATGGAAGGCCGCACTCAGATCCGTTGTGGGTTTACTTCGAGAAGTTGCAGTTTGTCCGTTCTGGGGGAAAGTGGGGAAGGAAAGGGAAGTCGCCATCTGTGAACTGTGGAAGTGAGAATCACAGCTCGGTTAAAAGTTGGGGGGGGGGACAAGATCGAGATTCAAAGGAGAAAGAATCTTTGTGGGGCTGCGGCCTGGGAAGAACATAATAGAGAAGCGTCGGCGCCGTTGCATGACAGCAATTGTAAAGTTTTCCTCGGTGGCCGTTGCCGGCCGGCGGGTGGTAAATTTTGTTTGTTTAGATGAGGCGTGATTGTGGGAATTAAGGGTGGTCAATTACGTGCTTAGAGCGGAAAGAACAGGGGAATGGGCTAGAAGGCTCGGAGTGGGTTACCATGAAGTTATTATTGGTCAAGACTGCCTAATTGGAGAAAATTAAGTCTGTATTTTAATAATAACTCAAGGTTATAATAACATATAAATGTTATAAAAAGAACGGCATCGTCTGACACGGTTTAAAGTCCGAAATCGAGGGTTCCAGCCCTGGGTGGCAATCGTTTGGCAAACCTCCTCCCTCAGGTGGGAGTAGGATCGATGTGTGCTATAGTAGTTTGACCCTAATCTAATTATTCTGCAGCAAACAAGAGTTATCTTTTAGCTGCGGGTGTTCCGTTCTAGCTAACCCAAGAGAATGCTCCTATTTTCTCTTCGTCAATCGGTGGATCCTCTGAAAAGCATTCGTTATCGCTCACAACTCTATTGTGTTGAGTCCTGCGATCCACTTCATACTATCGTCCCTCATATCTTTCCAAATAGTCGTTGTATTTGGTTTGACCAACCTGCTACGGTCAACATTAATTTTGATCAGACCCGACTTTAAAGTTGTTTCATGGTACCCTTCTAGGGACTGCTATTCGTCGCCCTAAAAATTTTTATTTGTCGCCCTAACTATGTTAAATTACTTTAATGTCCTTTGTGATTTCAATCTCAAATGAACCATGGAATCCCGTTGTTGTCGCCGGCAGGCTTTCAGTTTAGTCATCTTCTCACAACCTCGCCGCCTCTTCGCTTTGGACCTCGGATCAATTGGTTGCCTTTTGCTCTGAATAAAAAAAAATGAAAATCTTCCTTGCTACTGTCACCACTACCAATACTACATGATCTCGATCCATGTTGTGGATTCCGGCCTGAGATGTTCACAGAGTGAATTAAACATTAATTAGCTTGTTCTCCCATTAAGTTTTGTTTCGATTTTGGTACTTTTGATGTCTGTGGGTGCATATCAACCCGGGATCCGATCAATAATGCGGCGGAGATCATTGTTCGACTGTCCGAGCTTCTTCCTCGCGGACTCCCAATCACTCCAAATCGGCCGCTGATTCTTGCCGCTCCCCGCCGACAAGGAGCTGGAGCTGGGTATGTGTACCTCACGTTCCCCATGAGGAGGACGAACTCCGTCGTCACCGCGCCGACATGGCGGTCTTCTTCGTTGCGGCGCCGCCTGATGATTGAAATTGGAAATAAGGGCGGGTGGGAACTGAGGGGTTAGGGCTATGAACGTCAATATAAGATGATTTAGGGTGAAAAAATTCAATTTTTAGGGCGACGAATAACAATTAAGTTCTCTTTTCGCAACTATTAGATAGGCACATTCTTCCAAGTCTCCTAATGGTCGTTTGGCAGTGAAAATTTGGAAGCATAAGAATTAACTTAAATTTTCACGTTGTAGAGAATTTTAGAATTGTTAAGTGAAAATTGGCTAAATTTCATGTAAGGGATGGATTTAATGTGGAAATTGATGATGTGGGAGCTTATTAAAATACCAACATACCCTTTTCTTTGTGATAGAAGAGGAAAATGATGGAAAGGAAAGAAAAGGAATTAGATGAGAAAAAAATGTGAGAATGACAGAGTATACGAGGTGGTTGTAATTATAATTTCTATATCTGTGGGATGTGACCCAAATTATCACGTCTCAATTATCATATTACTTTTGTCTAGTTAAATATGAGATTCTTCACAATTATCATATCTTGTAGCGAATAACAAACGACACGGTATTTTACGTAGTTTCGTCATTCAGTTTTTCATGGCCTAAGCAGCCGAAGGTTAGGGTTATACTTATATTACTAGCCTAATTACAAACTAATTACGAGTCCATTTATTATCAGGAAGTAGAACAATCTCCGGTATATTTACAAATCCATCCATGCAAAACTGGATTCGGAATCTACACCAATATATAAAGCATTACGCCGCTCACCCTACAGTATCCAACTAGTTAGCACAGCAACTTGGGAAGACGCAAAATACGACGGGCAGATAAAAGGAAGGGGAAATATATATGTCGAAATTCAGCGGTACTCCACGTCGTAGCAGCGGTGGCGGTTCTTCCGCGAAAATATTATGGACCGTCGTCGTTATTGCGGCGGTAATTCTCTGCTTCATGTCGACATCCGCGGCCGCGAGATCCTTCGGCTGGGGGTGGGGCAGCAGCAGGGGAAGTAGCATAGGCGGCAGGGGAGGATTTAGAGGAGCGGCGGGCGGCGGTGGTGGTCTCCTAGCTCTCCCTTTATTAATGGCAACTCTGGTCTTTTTGTTTCTGCTATGTGGGATGTGATACTAATTGTTTGAACCTAGAATATACTAGGCGGTTATGAGACTCTGATCTGGACTCCCTCGTCTGATCTTCTCGGGAGTGGAAGAACCTGTGAGGCGGGGGGCGACCCCCGGGATCTACGCTCCGACGCCCAAGTTAGTACGATATAGGGTGAGGTTTATGGTATGTAGAGAGAGAGTTTAGAGAGAGACCTTAGGGTTAGAGTGTGAGAAGGGAAGAGAGGATCTCCAGCTTGGAGGGTTAGGCCTCCTTATATAGGGTTTGGGCTTCCTTGAGTGGGCTTGGGCCCAAGACGCTTTGCGGTGGGCTTGGGCCCGTTTATAGTCGTGAAGGCCTATTAATCCATATCCCAACAATTGCCCCTTTACTTCTTGTATTCTGTAAGAATGGGAGGAGTAACATAATGCGTTAATCGTGCATTAATATGCCTTACTTACGAATCCGGATGATGCGGTTTGCCCCTAGTGCGATTTGCGTGATCATTTCCTTTGCCCCTTGATTGGCTTTCGATGTCTTGAACCAAAACTCTCGAGTCGTTAAGAGTTCCTTCGCTAGTCCATTGTTGTTAGCGCCAGTAGACCATAATTGCGACCTAGGTAGGGTGGCCCCCACGGCTTGAGAGTTTTAACTCAAAACGCTCTTGTTTCGTGTCTCACCAATGTCGCGTCCATGTTGTCGGGAATTCATGTGTCTTGTTAATATCTTGTGTGAGACAAGATTAATTGCTCTCTTCTAGGAAGCTTAGTACTTCGCCCTTTTGAGAAGCTCATTAGTCTTTCACCTTTCTGGAAAGCTTAGTGCTTCTTCGGCTTCCTGGGGTGTGCTTCTCCTTCGGCTTCCTGGTAAGCGCCTCGCTCCTTTGCTTCTTGAGTAGCGCATCGCTCCCTCGGCTTCCTGATAAGCGTATCGCTCCTCGGCTTCCTGGGAAGCGCCTCGCGCCTTCGGCTTCTTGAGAAACGCATCACTCCTCCGCTTCCTTGGAAGTGCTTTGCTCTCGGCTTCCTGAGAAGCGCATCGCTCCTCGACTTCTTGTGAAGCGCATCGCTCCTCGGCTTCCTGTGAAGCGCATCGCTCCTTGGCTTCCTGGGAAGCGCGTCCCTCCTCGGCTTCCGGGGAAGCGCACCGCTCCTTCGCTTCCTGGGAAGCGCGTTGCTCCCTTGGCTTCTTCCGAAGCGCATCGCGCCTTCAGCTTCCTGGGAAGTGCATCGCTCCTCCGCTTCCTGGGAAGCGCGTCGCTTCTCGGCTTCCTGTGAAGCGCGTCGCTCCTCGGATTCTTGTGAAGCGCATCGCTCCTTCGCTTCCTGGGAAACGCGTTGCTCCCTTGGCTTTCTCGGAAGTGCATTGCTCCTTCGCTTCCTGGGAAGGAAGCGTTCTCACTTAGAGGGAGCATCGCTCGGAAGCGGGAAGCATTCCCCAGGGGGAACCTCGCTCGGAGGCGTTTACGAGCCTTACTCGGAGGTGGAAGGCATGAATCCATCCCCGAACGGTGCATCACTTGGAGGTAGTTTTTTAGCCTTGCCCGGAGGTGGAAGGGCATGAATCAATCCCCGAAGGGTGCGTCGCTCGGGAGCGGGAGTCATTCCTCAGAAGAAGCATCGCTCGGAGGCGGGAATCTTCGAGCCTAGCCCGGAGGCAGGAGGCGTGAGTCCTCCCTGGAGAGTGCATCACTCGGAGGCGGGAAGCATTCTCCGGAGAGAACATCGCTCCGGGGGCGGGAATCTTCGAGCCTAGCCCGGAGGCAGGAGGCGTGAGTCCTCCCTGGAGAGTGCATCGTTCGGAGGCGGGAAGCATTCTCCGGAGAGAGCATCGCTCGGGGGCGGGAATCTTCGAGCCTAGCCCAGAGGCCGGAGGCGTGAGTCCTCCCTGGAGAGTGCATCGCTCGGAGGCGGGAAGCATTCTCCAGAGAGAGCATCGCTCGGGGGCGGGAATCTTTGAGCCTAGCCCGGAGGCAGGAGGCGCGAGTCCTCCCTGGAGAGTGCATCGCTCGGAGGCGGGAAGCATTCTCTTGAGAGAGCATCGCTCGGTGGCGGGAATCTTCGAGCCTAGCCCGGAGGCAGGGGGCGTGAGTCTTCAACTTTTCCATGGAGGCGGGCTTTGATAAATATGGCATGAGGTGGTAGTGTCCAATATTCCATAGCATAAATAAGCATAGAATTTTATGACAAGTATCCTAGCACGGTGGTAATGCCTCTTCATGGCGTGGAATTGAAGATATATATTTTTGAAGAAATTACTTATCTTGTGAAAAAATAGTAGAGGAAGCAGCTAGTCAATGGATAAACCTCGGACGTTGCAAATTGTAACTCAAACCGTTCATGTAGCATATTGGGCGGTTCCCTTCCTTTCCACTGGTAGAAGCTGGGTTCGAATCCCAGCTCAAGCGGTTGACATTGCTTTTTAATTGAGCCTGGATTGAGCTGACCGAAGCTGGGCCGAGCGGTTGCTGAACTTGACTTTGCGAAGCGGGCTTGAGGCGGCCCATTTAAGGCGAAGGCGAGACCTCCTTGTGAGACAAAATGTGAAGCGGGCCAAATGGATGCGGGCCGCTTTGGAAGCGAATGGGAGGCGGTCTTGGGCCTGATGGGAGGGGCTTTACACTGGAACTGATGGGTCGAGGACAGACACATGGCGGTTTGCCTCCTTTGGTGGCCCATTGAGGTGGGAGGCGGTCCTGTGCCTGATGGGCCTGCAATTGGAGAACGAAATATTGTCTGTTGCTTCTTTGATCAACAAAGCGGCCCTGTATTCCACTGGTTGAAGCACTTCAATGCTAAAATGAGGTCCTTGGTTCGACACTTGATGGAGGCGGTTCTTCAATATTTTTTAGAGTGAGGCTTGATAAGGGCGTGGGCTGCTGAAGCTTCGTCCGAGAGGTTGATGTGTGGGCCGTGCTCTGACTTTTGGGAGTCCCTTGTCGGCAGGGTAGCTGGGCCACATTGTGGACTTTGAGGGCGAAGCGGTCCTTTCAGATGCGGATGGCGGTCCTAACATAGTTGGGCTGAAAGCGAGCCGGTTGGTTGGAGAGGATTAAGTATCAACTGTTGCGTTATTCATCAGCAATTCGTTCTTGTAACGCACTGGTTTGCGTGTTGACTAATGAACCAGACGTCTGCGGTTCGAAGGTAGGTGGAGGCGTGTTGCTTTCTTTTTGGATAAACTCCAGGAGATTGGAGGTGGGCCGCATTGTAGCCTGATGGGAGGCGAACGTTGGATTTGTTGAGTTGGGCTGCATTGTAGCCTGATGGGAGGCGAACGTTGGAGGGAGTGACGGGCTTGCAGATTTGGAGTGCGATCCGTGGCGGGCCTGCGTTGTGCGATTGGTGGGTCGAGGTGCAAAATAGGCTTTGGTGGTGGAGCGGGCTTTGACAGTGAAAGCGGGCTGCGTGGTAGGTGCTCTGGAGAGACAGAGACTTACGGTTGCAAGTTTCTTGGCGGGCTGGAAGTGGAAGGCAGGCCCAGTGTTGAGCGGGCTTGATTCCTTGGCGGGCATCGTCGAAAGAGTCGGGACAGCTGGAGGTGAACCGCATGGGGAGATGGGCTGAAGGCGGTCTGGGTTAAGACTTGAGAGTGGCTGGATGGTGAAGACTGAAGACCGCTCACTAGATCTAGTGGGCCGCGTTTGGTGGGTCTTTCAAAGGCGAGTCTGCTTAGCGGCTGGAGCTGGGGTCGTCTTGATGCACGGTTTGCTGATAGCCTGCTGGAGAAATCTTGTTGGCGGTTCTTTGACGACGGGCCGGATTGGATCTGTGTTGAATGCCTGTAGATGGCAGCTTAGGAGTTGAATTTATAGTAGAGAGTCACATTTGATCACAAACTTTCTTCTAGTGCAGTGGTATCCGCACATGCATATGAGATGAAAGTCGTCTGTTCGAACGGTGGCGGGGCGCTTCGAATTTCTTTTTTGTTGAATGTGGATCGTCTTCCTTTGGGCAGTCCAAATGTGAGAGGAGACGTGGGCCGCGGGCCGCTGAAGCTTGATGGATACAGAGCTGGCCTGAGGCGGTTTGGATTGGACTTTTGGAGGCAGGCTATGCGGGTCGCGGTCCGACACAAAGGATGGACTGATTTGGGCTCATGGCAAGGCGGGCCGGCTTGATTGAGGTGGGCTGCACTGATTTAAGGCTCAGGCGTTTCCTTTCCCATAGGCGTCTCATTTATTGGGTGTTTCTTTGGGAAACTCGTCCACCAGCTGTACCTAGGGGGGAGAGAAAGTGTGACTGTGACATAGCAATCTGCTTTTTCATGATGTGACTCCACTGTAGAATAATAGTTTGATTTTTTAGAACTAAAAGTCAAAGAAGTGTGGGTAAACGTGAGAGAAAGTGACCGGACTAGAGCAACCGAATGATGACTGCAGCGGCCCCTTGTTCTTTTTTGTCGTCGGAGCTCCGACATCGCCATCGCCGGCGGTCTCTTCTCTCTCTCTCTTTTTTCTTTTCTTCCTTCCAGCTGCTGCTACTTGTTGTTCACAGAGGAAGGCTCTTTTGTGAGGAAGAGGTCGGCGGTGAGTGTATTGGGGTGCCGCCGGCAGCCACCCCAAAATTTCCAATACTGTTCTTCGGTCCAGAGCTAGAGAGAAATAGATCCGGTTTTCTTCCTGGCTATCTGTTGCTCTTTTAGCTTCTCTTCTTCTTTCGCAGGAGTTCTCCGGTGGGTTGTGTTAGATGCTTTTGACCTTCCTTTATTGTCGACGATTAATTGAGTCGCCAGAATCCGAGCTTTCTCAAAGCTGCCATGGCTGCCGTGGCTTGTGGTGGTGGAGGAAGTACAAATTTCCTCCCTCCTTCAGAAACCAAACATCAGAATATCCAAATCATTGCCCCACGGTGGGCGCCAATTGTTTGAACCTAGAATATACTAGGCGGTTATGAGATTCTGATCTGGACTCCCTCGTCTGATCTCCTCGGGAGTGAAAGAACCTGTGAGGCGGGGGGCGGCCCCCGGGATCTACGCTCCGACGCCCAAGTTAGTACGATATAGGGTGAGGTTTATGGTATGTAGAGAGAGAGTTTAGAGAGAGACCTTAGGGTTAGAGTGTGAGAAGGGAAGAGAGGATCTCCAGCTTGGAGGGTTAGGCCTCCTTATATAGGGTTTGGGCTTCCTTGAGTGGGCTTGGGCCCAGGACGCCTTGCGGTGGGCTTGGGCCCGTTTATAGTCGTGAAGGCCTATTAATCCATATCCCAACACTAATTATAGCGGATTAATTGAATAGCTTGTTTAATTCCCCCTTCTGCTGATTATTATGATTATCCATCAATTGCGTATTTGCGTACAACAAAAATGTAAGACTTGCTATCTCCCGGCGGACCGTATAACGGTATAAAGTAGGCACGCTGGTGCACAAACTTCAGCTAGATGGTCGGGCCTTGTGTAGAGGAACGAGTAGTGAGGCCCATCTAGTTCGCTAGGCCTGTCCATTGGATTGTTTTTGACGAATGCGATGGCTTGACTGGGCTGAAAGGTCAAACAAAGCAGTAGGTAAATCAGGACAGCGTAAGGTTGTACGCACCACACCATGGGCAGTCTGACTCGCTTCTCGAGGTGTGTTAACTAAATTCACACGGGTAAATGAGAAAGGAGCGAGCACATTTCTCGGAGAAGAGCCCGCAAATGAACATTATTATTGAGCGAGTGAAAGTTGTTTTAACTCACCCAATCAACATGTAATCATGAAATGTAAGGCACATATCTTGAGTTTTGTATTCAATCATTTTGATTTAGCGACATTTGGATCATCATGGGCTTTAGCACACAAACTCTGGATCTTTGGCTTTGACAATGTCGAGTTACTTTAGCTTCTAGCACATCCATTATTTATTGTGTTCTTTGAAATTTGGTGATTTTTTATATTCAACGCTTTAATTTGTTAGCAAATTGGGTTGCTCGTAATATGCATTTCGAAAAGATCGAGAGAATAGATTGGTGTTGGTGATCTTTCATCTCAGTTGCTGTATGGAGATATGGAATAAGAGATTCAATCTTCTTGTGGAAGAAGAAAAAAAAATAGCTAGGCTTTAGCACTATAGCAACTAATATGTCAATCTTGGCTTGATATATTTCATGTATTGGTGGCAACTGCCAACACCAAATGCGGGTCAGGACGGATAATACATATACCTCGGGTGGGGTAGGTCTATACATCCTTATATATCATTTGAAAAAACTGTGTATTTTTTGTGATAAAATTAGAGAAATTCATAAATGAAAGAAGAAGATAATAATGATGATGATGATAGGTAAATTAAATGAGACCAATTGGTTGCAAGATGATGTCTTACACTTGTCTAAAGTAACTAGCTTTATACCCGACTCGTTGGCCGGAGAGATTTATTTTATAATTTGTATTAATTAACTTATTTATATGTTTAAATTATTTTGGATCTTCTAAATTTTTAGTATGTCTATATTGAAAATTTCCAATATTTAGCACACTCACTTCTGATGTTTCGGTTTTCTAATCATAAATTATGCCGTTGTCACGTCCCACTTATAACTTATGTCAAAATTTGTCAACCACACACACACTACCATACGACCATTGAGTTTTACTATTTAGACTCCGGAGTTTTTTGGGGCATGATACTATACCCTAACCTCTAATAGGTGAACTCTAATCCCTAATTTTCTAACCTCTAATTTATGCAAATACTTTGTCATACCTATCTTCTATCGTATCTTGAGTAAAATGAAAAGATAGTATACCTTGATATTTTATATATATATATATATATATATATATATATAAAAGTGCTACTCGCCTATCCCCCACCCTCGGGATAGAGATCCCGCTTTTACCCATAACGTCAGACAACCATTGAGGTTGTCTATCGTTTGATATGTAATATATAAAGAGGGAAATTCTAAGATGATGCTATTTATTTCTTATCCTCATCCTCTCCCGCCGCCCCCTTTATGGAGAATAAAAGGGTAGGGATGAAAGGATCATAGCTCGATATGGTTTTATTCTGTTCATCGTATCGGAGGTTATGTTTTTTTTTTTTGCTTCTTTTCATTCTTCTTTGACACCTATGGTTGTGATCATAGGTATTTAGTCCCCGAAAGGGATTGAGATTTTAGGTCCTTTGGAAATCCAATACACATTGATGATCCTCAAGTTTGGACGAACTCTTGACCAATGTTGTAAAAATTAGGACTTTTTAATGAGACATTCTTAGTAAAGATACTTCATTATTGGATCAATTTATTCATCCATACTGAAACTTGACACACACCGTAGCCCTCGTGATGATTAAATTCTATAATCTCGACTCATTTCCATTTTGGATGTTAGTTTTTTTTCTATCAAGACACTTAAATTTATTATATTATACAATATGTATCAATTGTTAATTTTTGAAGTTCAACCCGTGGTCATTGTTTATATGTTGGCTTAGAATCTCAATCTAAGACACTCGCACACACAATCGAGGATTTTGGTCTTAACATGGTCGTTGAATGTGTACTTTTCAAAGATTTTGACCCTTATATATTAGTATTTGATAAAGAGTGTCTACAATACACACATATTTCAACTGCATTTAAAATGTCTTATCATTTGAACAATATCGGTGGATTTCATTTGATTATTTGCATTAACTTATTATCTATACAACATATATCAATTCGTGTTTCTCGAGTTTGGACGAACTGGCAACCAATTTTGAGAGTTGAGATTACTGGATAAAGATACTTGATTGTTGGATAAATATGTTTATCCCAATTGACTATTTTACTAAAAATTGCCAACCTTTATTTTCTAAATGTCTAGGTTAGTAGTTGATGAAACGCGATGTTTATCATAGATTCTCAACAAAGATTCTCTAACATTCCTTTATGTTTTTTAAGGAATCTTGTGTCTCGCCTAGGGTATGAAGTCAAAATTCATCAACAATCATACTTAAGTCATTTTGAAAATTTTTATTTATAATCGTTGACGATAAGTCCAAGTCTGAAAGAAAATTTCTTAGCATACGACTTATGACCTCAATAGAGCTTGCTCAATCAACATGATATAGAACAAATATTATTAATGTGAACTTAGGACACATTATAAAATTATTGCACATGCGATTTCTCTTCATTTGAGGAGTTTAAGGTAGAACATGATGTGAGGAATAATAAGTCTTTTTTAAATAAATAATTATAACCTCTCGATCAATATTATACTCTGACATTTTGCTAAATAATACTTATTTTATTTTATTTTATAGACATATAATTTACTAATAAGAGAGTGTTTCATTGCAACAAAATATAAAGTAATATAGTTTATTTTTCATAGGTAATTGAATGTCAAATGTTTATTTTCTCTATTTTCATATAAAATTTTTTTAATCGAAAAAAATTATTTTTTATGTGTATGTTTGTCTAATTTCCATAAAAAAAGTAACTTATCATTCAATTTTAGTAAAATTGAGTAAAAAAATTACTTCATAAGGTTTAACCAGATATTTTTTATTAAACAAATGTGGTATATGTTACTTTCTGTTTTCTTATTTATATTTTTTTTACTGGACACAAAAATTATTATTTATGTGTGTTGGGTTAAGTTTATCAACATGTAACCCACTATTAAAGCAAAAAAAAGGTTAAAAAAATGGAAATATTAAAGAAGAGAGAGGTAGCTTCATAAATACATTAATAACTAATTTTTTGTTTGTAAAAAAGTTGTACAACTTGGCAAATTGTGGATCCTCCAAGTGCTTATGTGGCAAGAGATTGCTTTTGAATTGCCATAATATACATTCGGTGAAAATGTGAGTTAAGATAAATCTAAATAAGAAAATATAAGAATAGTTATTAAGACAAAACGAGTTAGGATAAGTTAAAACAAAGCGAGACCAATCAATAATAATTCCCATATCCCATCTTTTTCTAATGTTGATCGAATATTATCTACTAAACACAGGACATGTCGGATAATACTAGACGAACGAGTGCAAATTGTGGTCAATAATTTCACGCCCTCGCAATGCATATGGAAAATGTGCATCATCCACACTATATAAAAGTGGATTTCTTTGTTGACACCTGAATATTCAATGACATTTAAATTTCATGCCCGGATATTGCCGATTGGCGATTGGCGATTGGCGAACAATGGCTCCTCCGCTGGGGGATTTGGAGAAAAGAGAGCGTAAATTATTTGAATAAGAGGCTGCAGTTTTTTCGACTTTCAATTCACCGGCCGGACGGAAACGGATTTCAGGCCCACAGCGCCATCGCAAAAGTTCCCAAGTGACAGCCCAAGAGAGGGCCCAGGTCAAGAGAGATTCCCGCTGTAGCTCCCTCTCAACCCAATTCAGAATCCATAAATTGGCGCCGATTGGATTGGTCCACAAATTTGGCATGGTGTAAAGCGTAAAAGAAAGAATATTACACTAAACTACTAAAGTAACCAAAAAATAAGGTTAGAATTTCGTGTTTTACGGGGAAAAAGCGGTGCATAAAAGAAAGCAAATCGAGCCACAAAACGGAGAAATTCAAGAAGGGAGAGCACTGCACAACAAAGGTGCAAGTGAAGGCTGCTATCTTTGGTATCATATGAGAAAGTTTGGTTCATTGGCATCATTGCTAGAAAATTGGTGAATTTTATAGAATGGATTTTCAACTTGATCCTTTTGCTACAATTTATTTTAATATAAGCATGTCATAGATTTATTATAATCATTGATACTTAATTGATTCAAATATGGACTCTCTAGATTGAAGGGCTTGGAGGATAAAGTTGAGTCATTGCTCTTCTCCTTCATTTTCGATACTAAGATTTAGACTAGTTCATTTCCTCCCACAATCCGCCATTTCAATATAACCTCATACACCTTTTAAATTATCTGTATGCTTTAAATGAGAATCTTTATATGTGTCCCCATATTTCAACGACCTAAAGTTACAAAAAAAAAAAAACAAGAACATCAACACGTTCGATGAGGATGAGAAACTCTAACCAACAAATATACATGATAGTGAGGAAAAAAATTCCTCAAATATACCTTATTCGCTCCACACTGTAACGAAACTGCTCCAAACCCTTGTATTTTGTGATTTTTTTTGCAAAATGTTATATTAAGAGAATTTATTTAATTAGCCCTTCTATTTTGGGATTTTTCCCCATGATAGTGTGATCCTAACTTCCCAAGGTTGTAGAATGTAGATGGGTAAAACCGCCAATTCACTTATATGTAGGAAATTTTGTCTGTCTTAATTACAACAGTGCAGGGATCATAATTCATAACAACAAATTAATTTGATGAAAAAAGGCTTGGCCTCTATAATTAAGTAACTAATCATACGTCATACATACATATCTCTCTCTCCATATAAACAAAGCAAAAACAAAAAGGTAGAGACGAACGAAGAAGCTAGATCTCGGTCGTTATAGCTCGCGGTTGACCAGCCGCTACCAGCAATCGTTACCGGACTTCATTAATTATTAATTCTCTCCTGATGATGATCGTCCTCATCTCATCTGGCAAGCAAAGGGAACCATCGTTCTTGAAGGGAAGACTGGTAAGAGATCATGTAGAGAAGGAAGACGAGCAGCAGTGCAACTCCCCACGGTGACCCGCCGGCGCGGTGGAGGGAGTCCCTCTCCGGCAAGGGGATGTACAGAGAGAAACCCCCGCCACCACCACCGTTGTTGTTGTTGTTATCATTATTAGCGCCGGCGGAGAGGCAGTGGACGAGGAGCAGCAAGAGGAGCGGGGAGAGGATGAGGAAAAGCTTGAGCTGGCTCATGAGGTCCTCGAAAGCAGACTCATAGTTGATGTACCAGGAGAAGCCCAGGACGAAGAAGAGGATGGCGATGAAGAAGAAGAGGTGGAGCGGCATGGAGAAGTTGGAGAGGCACTCCCAGTAGTAGTTGTTGTTGTGGTTGTTGTAGTATGTCGCCATGGCAGCTGTGGGATGATGATGATTTGGTGTTCGGTTTTGGGTTTATGGGTTGGTTTGGTTTGGTAAATTAGGGGGAGATGGGTTTGATGTGATGATGGAGAGAGGGGATTTTGTGGGTTGGTTTTAGAGAGAAGATGCTATGTTTTGTGGTTGAGAATGGAGGTGGAGGTGTTTTTATAGAGAGGAAGTTTACTGTTTAAGACAGGTAGGGAAATGTCATTGATTGTTTAATTAAGGATTCTAGTACCATCTTTGGGGCAAAGTGGGGTGGGTCCCATATATTGTATGTATTTTGTACAAATATTATGAAGATTTCAATTGGGTTTATTAATTAGCAGCATTGAAAATTTGAATGAGGGAGGTGATCTAAGAAGGGATATTATCTCCTAGTTTCAACCTAATTTCATCATTGATTACAGACACTTTATTAAAAAGTGATAAGTTACATATTCATTGCAACAATCAATAGTGGAGTCACCTTAAATTCAGGGAAGACTATAGTCCTCTTCAACTTTGAAATGTAGATAAATTTACATGTAAAATGTGGAACTAAGTCTAAAAATTAACTAGTAAGTAATGTACATGATTCAAATCACTCATTCAAATTTCTGGTTTAGTCATTGACAACAACCAATTAAGTGGGCAAGAGTTGGGTTCCGTGTGATTGTGAAATAAGTGAGTTAATGGAGTCCCACATCCACTGACGGTGGAAAGGCAGCTAAAGCCAAAAGCATATTATGATCAATGGATCAAGATTTCTGACCAAGCTTGATGCGGCTCTCTCTCTCTCTAATTAAAGTAATAAGTCTCTTCCTTCCATTTCATAAAAATACAAAGGAAGGTAGGGTGGGAGAAAAGCTAAAGTGGATATCCAATTCACAATTAGGTAATTTGTTTCGTGTAAAGTACATGTAATTCGGTGTGTTATGTATTAGGCGAAGATGTTGATCGTCAGTGAGCCGAAGTTTAGATGTAGTTAATTTAGCTTACTTAACTTAGGTATCCATTTCGGAGTCTACTTGGAAAAACTGTGTTGAAGAGTGAATACTACCAGAAGTTGGTAAAAGCCAGAAAATTTGGCGAAAAAATGAATGGCTGGGAGAAAACGAGGCGGAAAAGTGAGTGAAATTATTTGAAGAAAAGGACAAAAGAGGAGACTGGGGTTTTCTCGACTGTCCACTCACCGGCCAAAGGGAAGACGCCACGCCATCTGCGCCGGTTACTGCCCCTGGGCCGCACTTCCCAAACCCAATCACAGTCCGCCAAGTGGCGCCGACCATTGCACCCCAACCAAAATGGGATTATGCAAACACCAAATAAAATAACACGACACAAGGACAGAATAATATGTGTTTATTAAACCAGAATTTCGTGCTTTGGGCAGAAAGTGAAGCAGAAAAAAAAAAAAAAGGAGGAAGGAAGGAAGGAACCCTCTAAAATTTATAAACAATTTGGGGAATAATATACAACAACCGGCGCCGGCGCCGGGAGGAATAATGCGGGGGAGTAAATTAAGGACGTGAAGCAAAGGAAAGCAAGCAGTACAGTGGTGCAGACTGTCGAAACTTGTCTACACGCTTTCAACCTTTCTTCAACCGATCGTTTGATTCGAAAGATCAAAAAAGCACAGCCAACCAAAAGCAAAAGTGGAGAAAGAAAGGCAAGAAAGAGGGAGGGAAAAAGAGGAAATGGCAGCAAGCAACCCAACTGTTTTTCCTTCTTGCTTAAGCTCTGCTAGCTCGCCATATTTCAAGTCTGGGAATCCGGCCATGTTAGCAACACATATAGTCGAATTGCAGGCCTGAATTTTCATTTTATTATGTGATTTTTTTACAATAATTTTTTTTTATTTTATGAATGGCTACGATTTATTTCATCAAAATGAGTTTACTGTAGACAACATCCTTTGCCACTAGATGGGTATACACTATAACGTCAAAATCAAGATCTACTATACCCTATCCTTAGCCAAAAACAGAGAAAACTTCAAACAACCAGATCACAGCAAGAATATTTCCAGCTCTTCAAGACTACATATATAACACTTCCAGGTCTTTCCTCAGCTGCCTGCCGCTTTACTTATGTAGCTCAAAACCACTTTGCAATGCTTAGCACCGCACCCACCTCTCCAGATATATATGGCTAAGAAGAGCCTGCCAATTGCCAAATAAGGCGACCCGCCCTGCAATGTAGTTCAGACCCAGAGAAAGAAACCACTGCCCAATGAAACTCTTCTTCCCAAGTATCAGATGGCTATCTAGAAGAGAACTTTGAGAATAAAACTTGGAAGAATTTCCCTTTTCTTCCGGTTATTATGGTTGAAGGAAAAATAGAACTAATGTAATGAAGAAAACAATATTTTCATTGTGGAATTGTCTCGCAGATTGATCGCGAGACTAAATTTTTTCCAAAGACCGTAAAAAATTCTGTGTAAGAATCATAATAAAATTACATTCTCATGATCATGAATAATATGTAGTAGAAACTATAACCAGATCTGCTCATATGATACCGTATACAAAAAATAAAAGTCTAACTAGTTCAAACATATTGCTAATTATATATACTGTATGAGATGTCTTACAAAACCGTAAAACCTCGATAATTTAAATCCCGAATTGAGAAGAAGATTGATTAGTTTCATTTCACTCCTGAAATTATTATTAATTTAGAAGGAAATTCAAAAAAGTAGGATCATCACTTAAGCACTTAGTCCCCCTTATTGTTCTATGAACAAACGCTTTCAAATAAAAATAATAATAACAAGTTTGTATCATCGCACAATCGTCAAGGAGTCAATGACTAAACAATTTCAAGTTAAATCCAAAGGAAGAAAAATCATTAAATAACAAGTTACAATATGGACTAATCCCTTTATTTTGTTCAGTGGAAATCATTCTCTCTATAGGATTAAGAGGTAGGAAAACTTGTCAGATGAATCTGTAAGAACAGGAGAAAATTAGCTCTAACATTAATTTTTTTGATGAAACTAATAAATAACTGTTGTGTCGATTTAATCGTCAAAAAGAAAAGGAAAAAAAAAAACTGTTGTGTCGATTTATCACTCATTCAAAATATAACAAATAAGAGAGTGAAACTGGGCCGGATGTTACAATTTTGTTTATGGAATAAGGTCGGATGGCATTGGTGTTCTCTTGGGTCAGTGATGATGATGGGCTTGAAAGTCAGGAAGCCCATTGATAGGAAACCGAATTACGTCTGAGCTACGATGGGCATAAGAAACATTAACAAGGGTCTACTTCTAACTTCTAAGCTGATTAATGCACTTAATCGATCTGAACGATGATAGGATAGTAATATTGAAAAAACTAGTCATTAGAGTCATTTGAGAGTTTTGTTGGAACTAAATGATTCACTTTTTTTTGTATCGTTAGACAGTTATTTGAAATAAATTTATTTATGAAAATTACTCATGCAACCGACCCACGAATCTCAAAATCCATCAATCATAAGGTGCTAAGGTACTGCGTCGATGATAAGACTGTCCATAGGGCTGCAAATGAGTCGAGTTGAGCAGAGTTTTACCCCAGTTTGAACTTGACTCGTTAACAAATGAGCTGAGCCGAGTTTTACCCCAGCTTGAGCTTGACTCGTTAACAAATGAGCTGAGCTCGAGCCCGAGTCATTTATTAACGAGCCGAGTCGAGTCGAGTTCGAGCTAGGCTAGTTTACTAAATTCTTAGATCGTATTTGATACATTCATTTTGTATGTCGTGCATGGTACATGTGATTGATGTAGCGATAAAAAAAGAATCAAATTTTTAACATTAATTAATCTTATTTTATAATTTTTAGGTGTCATATTGTTTAGTTAATAAATTTTAACTAGTTCAAATCATGTTATTTCATAGTATCGAAACAATTTTGTACATAATTTCTTTATAGAATTAAAAATAAGGCATATTTTCTTACATGTTCAACATGTTAACTTCACATGATGTGAGATATATAATTTAACAATCCTATAAATTATGAAAGTCCAAATTAGATCGATTAGTCCATAAGTCGGTAATCAAGTTGGCCCTCAAACCCCAATGTTGAGACATCTCATGAGTTTTAAATGAGCCAACTCACGAGTTGAGCACAACAAGCCACCGAGTGGAGCTAGCTCGCGAGCTTCACGAGTTGAACAAAGCTAAGCTCAAGCTTGGCTCGTTAGTAAACGAATCGAGTTTCGAACGAGTTTTTCCCAATTCGAGCCTCGAGTTGCTTGCGAGTAGCTTGACTCATTTGCAGCCCTAGCTGTCCAACTGATCATGAATGCCGTCTTCCAGGATTGAGATATTCGATTTTCTAAGTATAACAGTGATCATACATCATGATTTAAAAACAAATATGTTTCTAGCATTATTGAAATAAAATGATTTTGTAGCTCTTCATTTTTGGTATTCTCCATTGAGATCATTTTAGTACATTAAGGTTGTCTTGTATCATTTTAGTACATAAATAAGACTTTAACCATCAATATACTTGCATCATATATAGATATATGTTTAAGCTAATCTTATCATATCACTAGCGAGTTTCGCTATCTATAAATCATGAATTAAACGAACTTTAAAAATATGAGAACTATACCATTACCTCTAGTGGGGTAAACCACATACCTTGATTCTCCAAACACAAACTAAAACATAATAACCGATCCAAAGGACCTTCCTTTGAATAATGTATCTTCTTATTTCTTGTCGATTTTGTCGTTTGGTAAGCATGTAATCTACCCACGGATTTCAAGATTACATGATATCTGAGATTCCACTGTTTTTCTTGTTTCATTTTTGGACAGATATCATGATATTGGTGCACCATGTAATTCTAGAATTCGTGTGACCATGATACCTCAAATGCTTTGGGTTTACCCAAAGTATTTGAGATTTCATGCCAAATTATGTGGGTTCTACCATAAACTCATGCAAGCCAAACAATGCATTCTAATATTACACAAGTTCTCATAACTCAACCTACAATATACATGAATTCTTCAAATACATGAATTATACATTACGTGTAGGGGTGGGATTCGGTCGGTAAACAATTTACCGGTTTCGGTATATCGAAGTTGGCCAAACTGGTTACCGATTACCGATACCGGTTTGTAACCGGTTTACCGATTATCGAATTACTGGTAAACTGTTACAAACCGGTATTACCGAAATACCGTGAGAAGCGATTTCGGGCGGTTTTTCGGTCGGTTTACCAAATATTTACCGAACCGAATTTCTGGAAGTGGGGTGATGTAATATTTTGATATTTTTGAGTTTTTTTCATCATTTTTATAATTAATAATTTATTATTAACTCTTATTTACAATATTTTTGAGGCCTATACTTACATTCATGTATGTAATATTTTATATTTTTGGGGGTAAAGCAACAAAACGCAGCGCAGCACTAGGGAGTAGGGAGGGGGGATTCGGTATCGGTAATACCGATTTACCGTCGGTATTTACCGATACCGTGTCCGGTAAACCGTCTCCCCCAACTTCCCGCTCGGCTGCCGATACCACCGGTAAACGATTTACCGTTTACCATCGATTACCGGTTCGATAAAACGGTAAACCGTTTACCGGATTACGGTTTACCACCCCTAATTACGTGCTTACCAAACGACCCCTTAGGGTATGTGGTTTAGTTGACCTGTGACGCCATGGATTGGCCACTATTCGAGAGTGAAGTGGCTGCCAGAAGTTGTTGCATGGCATGCTCCGTCTCAAAATGCACAAATCAAGACTCAGACTACAACTGTTTGTTCATTGGATATACAGAGATTGACGTGGACGTTATGCATATTTGGTGGAACCAATCCAATCCAATCCTCTTCAGCTGTGCTAATTGTTATGTTAGTGTTGTCGCCAGTCAATCACGTGTTCTTTATTTACTCCCCATATCTATGCTTATGCTCTGGACTGGATCTATGGCTTTTACTTTTTATTTTTTTTTAGGGTTATGTGGATTCCCTTGCCCTCTAGACTTTAAATAAACAGAGCATCATTGTTGTTATGCAGACATGGTCCAACCGCAGATGCTTTCACTGTTGGCAATTAGTATAACTCTCTGAAACTACTAAAGATTTAGAAAAGTAACTATGAATGGCCGGCATGCTATAGAGAAGAGAAAAAAAAAAAAACCTACGTTGACGTTTCTACTTTATTATCAAGTCACGTTTCTAGAATTTAGTTTGTATGCGCACCCAAATCCAGTTTTGAGTAATCCATCTTATCCTTAGCCATTTAAAACAAGGACGAATACCACTGGGAAACCCACTATTAACTTTGTGTCATTTGTGTTATAAAGTATTCGATATGATATTTGTGTCCTAAACTATTTTTCCGTTAGAGTTGACTAGCATTGACCGTTAGTTTTTAACAGAAAGTCTAGTCAGCGCTGATGTGGCATTTAAGTGGAATTTATAATATTAATTTATAATTATTTTCCAAGAAAAGAAATGAAAATTAAAAAAAAACATATACACCCTTCCCTCTCCCGTCTCGCAACCTTCGCCTCTGCGAGAGTAAACCACCATTACTAAGCAAAAGGGAACTATGGGAAAATCGCAAACTAATTCACCGACTGGAACTTGTTCTAGAGCAGTAGCAGGATCTAAGCGAACCAAAAATCGTAAATGAAGTGATTTAAAGCTTAACAGCGATGAAAAAAATCGAGAATATTACTGAGGGGAAGCGTACAACAATGTGGGACTATTAGCTCTAATTCTTAGCTTTCGATGACAATTCTCCTCGGCTGTGTGCCCGCCACTACGCGAGCGGGTGGCACTCCGTCGAATCGGACCGACCGAGTCTGAGCAGCAACAAGAGATGGTGCTAACAGGACAAGGCGACTGGTAGCCTTTTACGCAGACTTTGTTGCTCTTCTTCTTCACCATCTTCCTCCTGGAGCTGCCATCGAGGAACGGAGAAATGCCGAGTAGGTGTTGGGCTGTTGGCTGAGCTCAAAATCCAGCTAAGCAGTGTGAGCCGTGAAACCTCTGGAAGTGGTCGCCGTCATTGGGGAAAAGCTAGGCGGAAAACAATCAAGATGAATCCATTGGAGGAAAACGGAAAGCAGAAACCCAGATCCAATGAAACCCAGAAACCCAGATCTAATGAAACCCAGAAACAACAACGTTGAAATTAGAGTTGCAGCGATGAAGAGCAATTCAAATACGGCAAAGTCAGAGATGGTTTTGGCTATATAGGTCTCCATCGACGATTTGGTAAGGGTTCAAGCTTCCCTCCGCCTCCTTGTCGGCAACTGGTACACACGACATCTGGAGCTGGAACGTCGTTGGAGAAGATATCGATTGGAGCTGGGAGCTCTGCCTGAGAAGACGACGTCGATTGGAACGAGGTAGCCGGAGATTAGAGAGGAAGCTAGAGGCCACCAGAGAAGATCCGCAAAATTCAAAACCCAGGGTTAGAGTTGCAGGGGGTGCTCTGGCGAAGATGCAGGGGGTGCTATGATTTATTTTTTTAATTTTAGTTTTACTTTGTATTTTGTATTTTAATTGTTAATTTTAATTTGAAAATAACAACATGATGTGGCAGCTGACGTGGCGCATACGTGGCTGCCACATATGTGTCATGTAATCAACAGTCAACATTTTATGGTTGACCGTTTGGTCAACCGTTATCTATAACGGTCAACGAAATTGTCAGGACGTAAATGACACACAACTATCATACGTCATGACACAAATGTCATATCGAATACTTTAGGACACAAATAACACAAAGTTAATAGTTCGGGTTTCCTAGTAGTATTAGCCCTTAAAACGAACTACTAACATTTTTCTATTGGTAGTTGAATACAATAACGAGAAATTGAACTCAGGATCTCGATGATGTAAGTGTGGCTGCTTAAAGCGAAAAAGGATTGATCTAGTTGTTTTACCGTTTATCTTTAATGTGGAACTTGCCAGTTTAAATCATTTAAGTAGCATGTAAGTACGTAACAACAAAACAAACTAATACCATCTTTATAGATGAAAGAAAAATGTGTGACTGCTTAACCCTAAACGTATAGGAAGCATCAACCAATAGAGTTAAAGTAATTTAGTCTTTTCTTTTTTACTTTATCATGGCCTCACATAAAAAAAAAAAAATCTACGTTTTCCATTACCTATGTGAATAAGACCTATATATAGTATCTAACTTCTCATTCGTAACTTCAGTTGAAGAGTTGTGATTATAACTACTTAATAATCAATCAATAAATTTGAATGAGTAAGCCTAACAACCCACCAAAATTTCCCCAACTATCAATACTTCTCTATCAAACTTGACTTCACAAAACACACACAAAAGACAGATTTATCCACCCTAAACCACAAGCAAGTAGATGAAAGAAAATTCCTTTGTCCATTCATTCCAACTCTTGTCTCTGTACTGTTCCATTTCCACTTGCAGAGAAGCATCCTGTCTCTCATAAATTTCTATATATATTTTCCACACAAACAACTCATCCAAAGGACCTTCCTCCTTACCTCTCAAGAAACTCCCAAGAACCCACTTTGTTTTCCTCCCAAAATACCCACTACACATATATATAAATAAATCCAAATCATGCCCCAATTTAGCCATTCTCGAAATCCCCTGCTTTTTGTTCAAAAACAAATACCCTGTTTTTTAACCCATGGAAATCACAATCATATCTGCACAAGGCCTGAAGAACATGTCCAAAACTCTACTCCCATTCTCCAACCACTGCCGCCTCCGGCCATTCGTCGCGATCTCCACTTACCCCAAAATGGCGCCGCCGGTTGGGGAAGATTCTTCTACTAGCAAGAGTCACATAACGAGGATTGACGACAGGGGAGGAGTGAATCCCACGTGGGGGGACAAATTTTATATCCCAGTGGACGCAGCATTTTTGGGGAATCGATGCTCTTGTATTTACCTTGAACTCTACACCAAACGGCTGTTCTCCGGCAGAGCTCAACTGGGTTGGTGTCAGATCCCGGTCGCCGATTTCGGATTCTCGCCGTCGCCAGGAGGTATGGTCCGGTACCTGAGTTACAGGGTGATGGATCATAGAGATGGGACCAGAGGGCAGGGGGTTTTGAACATTGCTGTTAGGTTGACGGGTGGAGGATTAACGGCGCAGCGGCCGCCGCCGCCAGGGGAATCGGTGGAATCCGATCAGAAAGTTGCGAGGAGTTGTCAAGGAACGGTGATTGGGATTCCGGTGGAAATGTTTTCGAATATGAGAATATGTCAGTGATGCTTTCGTTTTGTTTGACTTTTGGGAGCCAAAAATTTCGGCGGTGGAACGGTCAAAGCAAACAAAAGGTTTTTGGCGGTTTCCTGTTTGCCACCCATAATTGCGTCTGTGTATTTTATTGGGATAAAGAGCGAGTCGTTCTTCATGGCAATACCTTCTATTAAAATCGTCAAAATTACCGTTTAGTATCTATTAGGGTGAAAATCAAGTTTATCACGAGTTGCTTGATATTAGAGTTTTAACAAACTCGTTCGAAATTCAAGTTGTTTATTAATGAGCCGAGTTTGAGCTAATATTTGATTAATTTGTGAGACTTGCGAGCCAGTTTGACTCGGTAGCTTGTTGAGCACAACTCGTAAACTGACTTGATAGGTGGGCTAGCGAGTCAGTTCGACTAGCAACTTTTAGCTAATCAGTCTATAACTCATGAGTTCTCTTGTTGATGGTAGGGCTGGGAATCCGGATCCGATTTTCCGTTCAAACCGGAAACCGGACGGTTTTAACCGTTCCGGTTACAACCGGAAACCGAATTCGCAATAACCCAATCCAATTGTCGGTCACTGGCTGTCTGGGAAAAACCGGCCCGGTTTAAAACCGGAAAACTGTTTAAAACTGAATGGGCCGAGTAAATTATAACTAATTGACTAGGCCCAACAAAATATTAACTTATTGAACAGGCCCAACAAAATATTACTCAACCCACTAAATCAATAACCCAACAAAATATTACCCATTACCCAACCCAACAAAAGACCTAATTGACGAAACCCTGTTTGCCTAATGCAGATTGCGAATCCGCCGTTCCTCTTCCTCCCCTTCCATCTCCATCTGCGCAGCTGACTCTGAGGAACCGAGCTATTGCCTGCCGCCTGGTTGCTCTCACTCGGCTGCGACTACTACGAGGCAAACAGCGGGCGACGATCGACGAGCGACGATTCGAACACGACGGCGCCATCATCTCCCTTCGATCTCCGTTCGCTCGAGAGCAGTCTCCCTCGTCTCGGCGTCTCCTGTACATCTCCCTTCGAGGCTCGAGCGTCGATCTCCTGTACATCTCCCTTCGAGCGCCATCATCTACCAACTTTGCCCTTTCTCCCGTCGAGCATCGATCTCCTCCGTCACTAGACGCAATCGTCGGTCAACCAGCCGGTCGTTTGGTGAGGTTTCCGGTCAAAACCGGACCAAACCGTATCTCATCCAATCCGGTTTGGTTTAAACCGTGTCCCAGTCCAATCCCGTCTACGGTTGGGCATAAGTCCAATCCGGTCATAAAACCCGGGTCAATCCGGTCCGGTTTAAACCGAACCGGACTGTTTTCCAGCCCTAGTTGATAGTTCATCGGTTTGCTAAATTATTTATTTTCACAACTTATGATGGTTTAAGACTTTGAGTATGTGACTAGATATGTTGCATTTATAATTTGAAACCGAATTTATTTATTAGAGATTGCTTAAGTTTGTTAAATAACACCAACTAATTAGCCTTTATAAACTAACTATGGTACTAACAGAGTGTACAAACGTGATATCAATTAGTCATGAGAAATTTACTATTATTATCATTCATAAATATATTAACCAAATATATCATGTATGCTATACGGATAAAGTTATCTAATTTATAACTTATTTTAGAGTTTGTGTTAGAGATTTAATCATTTAGAATTATAAATGAGATGAGTTTGAACCGAACTCAAGTAGAAGAAGTTATGAGCCCGATTTGAGTAGAACTTGAGCCGAGCTTGAGTTAAGATTTTAATAGACGAACGAAGCTCGATTCATTTATCAATGAGCTGGCCCTAAACTAGATTAAAACTCGAATCACTGACTGGTTTGCAGCTCTAGTAGTTTCTAATTTGGAATCTATACTTGATTAATGCATGACAAATATACTTCAAAAAATTATATTTGCTACCTAAATCTTTAAGAATGGCATATTGATACTTTAACTTTTCAAAAAAATTATAATCATCAAACCGTTAGACATCGCTTAGATTCGTGAATTCAATCTAATCGATTAATCCCCATTTTAACATCTACAAATTCAATTCATTTGTCACCTCTAACTGTAACTAACAAATGGTGAAGGTAACCCTGTATTATCATGATTTTCATATTTGGGACCTTGTGATTTTGGATTGGAGATGTTTCCACCAACTCTATCCTAGACCTCCCTGAAGCAACAACCCATTTCTAAGATGCTACTGAATCGTGTTTCAACAACCCATTTCTAAGATGCTACTGAATCGTGTTTCAAACTAGCTTCACAGTCGATTACACCAACTCTACCCTGTACGAGTTAAACTGCAACGTGAAACACATGGCAAAGGTATTAGGTGCATTGTGCAGTAACACGTTAATTGGCAGAACTTGCACCTTTTCAACGTGCAACCTCGGCGTGAATTCGAGGCCCTCGTTAGTGTGTAGAAAGGCAATCAAAACACTCGCTTCTATTGTTTTCACTTCCATGTCGCCTATTAAAACAAAGGAAAAATGGACCGAATTGGAGCGAATAAGTGTGTTCTCCTCCTAATTCTGGTCCTCGTTTACCTTCATCTTCAATTGATTCCTAATACTTATTCAGGCCGGTTCTGAACCAAAATCAGACATTACCCACTCTAAGACATGTTCGTCTTAGGATCACCATTCACCGCGGGTTTTCCTGCCATGTTTTACCGTCTCATGTAACTAATTTCACTCGTTGCATCATGAAACCTTTGCTTCAGTGATCTGAAGCTGCTCGAGCCTTTATCTCCCCAGCCAAGCGAGGCCTTCTCGCCCCAACGCATTGAGGCACTGCGCAATGATGCACTCCTCTTCAGGATATCCGTTATAAGAGGTGACTTGGTAGCTGGCTCCTGTGCTGATGATGATGCTTCATCATAATCTGCCAGGAAAAAAAAAAGGAAAGCCTTGTGAAATTTTACAGCAGGGTAACTTGAGGAAGTCTTGAACTGGGTTCATGGTGGTTCTCAATTGAGAAAATGGAAGATTCACTCACCTGAAGACATGGGAAGTTCATATTGCCTCTTCAAAAACTTAGAGGCCTCCCTGTCTTTCTTGTGGCACAAGACTCGAACCAGAGTTTGAGCATCCAAAGACGTGTGATTATGATTCGGTTGTTTATAATGTACATCTGACCTTAGCGAGATGTGTTCACTAGCATTCATCAACATTTGTATCACGTCCTCTGTCTGCCAAACAGACACCATTAGATATTTTCTTAAATAACGATTCATGTTCATAGACGGGTTTATTCTCAAGTCATGCAAACCTGAAGGGAGAACAAGTTGACTATCTGTTCTGCGTATTTTGCTTCTCGCTCCACCACCGAACGAGGGAGGCCATCTCCACTGGCTATAAAGAATTCCTGAAGAATGAAAATGAATTTCTCAGCAACGAAACCAGCACTGTATCTTTTGACACAGAATTTCGGCCATGACTATTGATGAACCAAACACAGACATAATTATTACACATGCATTGGATAGAGAGGGGGGGGGGGGGGGGGGGGGGGGGGGAGGGGAGAGAGAGAGAGGGGAAATGATGGACCTTCAAGATATTGAAGTCTTCTTCCATCATAACGACATCTGAATCAGAGAATGCACGAGAGGGGCCTCCATTAAGCAACACCCAAACATATCCCTCCTGTAGCAGGATAATGTGTACAAATTACATACAAGCTATACTGGAAGGTTTGCAAATTCAAAGTACAAAAGACAGTTTAAAGACCTACCAACGATGCTCGGCAAACGCTTAACACCACCGAGTCTCTGAGTTTATCATCAATCAATCGGCATATCTCATCAAGAACCTGAAAAATAGTACAAGTTCAGCTAAGAGAAGCGAAAGTATAGCATTTGAAGTCCCGAAGAAGCAAGACAAACAAAGAGGAGGGTCCACTGCAGTTGACAGTCTTACATTATCTATTTGAGGAAGGAAACTTTCCAAGCGAGAAGATCCAACATCACCATGGTATAAACCAAACAAGAATCTCTCTCTGAGATCCCAAAAGATTACTCTGGCACCTGCCAAGTGACATTTGAAAAGAAACAGATCAGGGAGGTCAGTTCTACAAAAAGAAGGCAGAATGAGAGAACACATACAAGATTGATAATAATATAAACTTGAATGAAAGCTAGCAACAACTTAAGCCATCACATTATTCAGAATTGTGTAAATAGTGAAGTACAAACTACAGCCACATATTATACATGTGCAAAAAGAACCCAGCTCACCAGAAAATTCACAAATTTTTTTGATGCCATCAGTTGCAGTGTCACAGATGATTTTTAGGGTGGTGCTAAATAGTGCGTCCAGCGCTTCATTTGAACCATTCTCTTCCAGCGGTTCTTCTTCGTCTGTATTGTAAGCAAAGCCTTTTAAACACTAGCTTAAATTCAAACAACTTTTTTGCAACAGCCCTCCAAGAGGAAGGAAGAAGGAAAAAGACCAGATGAAAGAATATAAAAACCAGATATATAGCATAACAAATAATTATGAGTGAACAACGAATGATAATGCCTTCTTTGAAGGGTCACTACAGGCCCATAATAAGCACTGTGTGTGACTAATAAATAATAATACGCATGGGGTACCAACAGAAAAATAACTCTACTTACTGACCATGAGAAAAGAAGGCAACCTATTTGATGGTAAGTCTTAGGAGAGAGCTAAGTGATTTTCTGTTAAAAGAGCTTCCCAGAAGAGTTAGTTAAGCTTTATAGATGTAAGCTATCAGTTTAAGTCCCTAACTCACCATTGCTTTTAGATGGGCTCACAGCTGCCCAAGACTTTCTAATTCCGTCTTCCAGTACTCCGGTTTGCTTCTGAATATACTGAACAAGGGAATAAAAAAGAGGCAAGAATTAAGTTATACGAGGAACAGTAATGAAACATTTTCTTTACCAGAAAAAGTTAATGCAGGGGACCAAAAAGAGAACTTTAAAAAATGTTAACCAAAGTTCAAGAAATAACGGAAGGAAAAAAATATAATAGGAGACAAACGCATAACTAGTGCATCTCAATGCAACATTTCTTCGGTCAAAAGGTGAGCAGAACAACATGCAGGCACAAACAAACTTAAGCTATAAATCACCAGCATAAGCACCTCAAAGGCTAAAACTACTTTGTGGATTGGGGGACTTCAGTACCCAAACATAAAACACAGATTAATTTTCAGGCATCCTCACATTTCAGCGACATAACTTTACAGAGAAGATGAGCCGAATCGCCATAAAATCTTAAGTTAGAAAAGCCAGAGGTAGGGTTACTTCAGTGTGGGGAAAGGAAGGGCTCTGGATCTAGTACGTAGAATTTCAGTTATTTAAGGATCACAAATGTCAAGAAAGTTGCTTAGATTGTTTATGCTTGAATAAAATAGCCAAACTATCACTTCATCATGCTGCAGGACTAGCAAGCAATTGGTACTAGTGGGGACAATTGAAAAAACTAATAGAATGACGAGGCTGAAATAGAGGGAATCGATTATTGGAAGAATTTGGGAATGGAAAAACAGTAAACAAAAGGTTTTATTAGATGAAGAATGTATGCTAGTATCTCTTTCAATCTTCAGAAGCAGAAGGCAGTTCTTTCAGTAGTTATTCATTATAGAGATATCAAGCCTTCCGAGGAGTGAGTTCTTCACATCTACGGTTCCAGTTGTTCGCAAGTCAATAAAAAACCAATCTTTCACAAAAGTCAACCATGCTCTGAGTCTCGGAAGACGACGAAGTATCACTATCACTATCATGCTAACCTTATGCACAAAAATGATGTTTCACCACAAAACATTATTATACAATTGTACAATACAGCATGTGCATATGGACTTACTTGGAGTGTGTTTAACCTCACACAGAGCTTTGGAGTTGTCAATCCATTCAAGTTGCAGCCCAAGTTGTCATCCACAAGAGTACACTCTGACAATTTTTTCTTGATCACTGGCATAACAGATTCTGCATAGCGAGTTAACGGAGGAATGGGGGGATATAGATGATTCTTCGGAACTGCCAATGCAACATGAGAGCAGCAGAATTATGACGTAAACTATGTAAGAAACAAAGGGAAAGTAGTCTAATCAGCATTGGCAGGGTTCAACTCCTCTTCCTGTCCAGTTAGTGGTCAAGTAGCATACTAAAGCAAGTTGACTGTTCTATCAGGTGTAGCATAATACCTAACTGACTCAGCAGTTTCTGCAGATAGGAATCCAGGCTGTGAAAAATTATAGACAGCAGTGCCTGCAGATGTGTAATATCAAGAGGGAGATTGAACCCAAAGAATTGATCCACAGCCTGAAAGATAAGAACAACTATGTGAGAAAGAGCAAGAAAATAATAAACACGAGATGATGGCCCTGGTTCTGACCAAGAAAATAAGGAAGCAGACTCCAACAAATAAACTCAAGCGTTTTCAACAACAAAACTTTCAGACATTCGACGGTTCAATATATGTTATAATGATGCATACCTCCTCTATTATTCTAAAGACTTCAACTATCGATGCCGCTTGCCTCTTCTGCAAGGACAAAGGTTCCCAGTCCTGCACAAACCACAAGAAACACAAATCAATTACCCCAGCTACTATTTTCAAATTCAAATGTTTCGCAAATTACCCTACCGTGGTTGTTCATATTTAATTCAGTGCGTTTAAGAATTGCATAATAAAGCTTTCAGTGATCAAGGTGAATCTGATTGAGGCTTGCACTAGAAATCATCCACCACAACTACGGACTAACCTCAAGATCAAAAGCACGACCAGTCCATTCCAAAATGTGATCATGCTGAGAGATCACCCAGTCAATAATGAAGGGTTTAGAAACTTCTGCAATCTGTACATGGGGAAAGGGAGACAGTGAATATTAATATGTTATTGCTACCAATGAAATTAGCCATCCCATAAACATTCAAAGCAAATTTAAAAGACAAATTTGACCTAGTACAACTTCTACATCTGCAATTTCAACTAAGCCCCATTATTCATACCTATCAAAGTTAACATCTTTATTGTCATTTCTGGCCGCATGCAATAAGAGTTCCAAAACTGAAGATATGCTAACCTGATAATGCTCCAAATCTTGGATCGAGAATCGAATCGAAGTATTTGCTTTGGACGCAGATTTATACAGCTGAGTTAGGTAATAATCTAGTTGGTTGGCAGCAGCAAGCACTGATCTAATGTTTTCAGAAATAGATGAAACTCCCACCAGGAAAGGTTTCTGAAAATTGGCCACAAGAAACATATAGCCAGTAAGACATTCAAGACGTTATGGAAGCCATAATTTCTATTTCAGATGATCTCACTTAAGTAGATCCGACTAACCAGTTGTTCTCCAAATAATTGGTGCAACGACGATACTGAGATCATCAGGGCTTCAGGACACCATTGACTGAGAACTGGAGAAAAGACTTTGGACTCTTTCTCAGCAATTGACTTCAGTCCATCAGCTAGGAGAGCTAAAGGATGTCTCTTCTCTGATTTAGATTCAACATATATCTTACTTGCTACCTAAAGAAAAATAAACCATGCAGATCAACTTAACATAGGAAAGTGGAAAGAAAATTCACACACAGAATGCACCCAAAAAAATGGAGTGGCTAGAAAGATGAGAAGAAGCAATAAATATTAACAAGTCTCACCCGCCTGCATGCAGCTTCAGTTGAGCCTTTGACGTAAGACTTCAATTTTCTAGCAGCATAATCATTCGAAGCACTCAGTTTTATTAACTGCAGACATAGCAGCTTTTTGCTCAGACGACAATAACAGAAAATACATACTCCAATGGAGGAAAAAGGTATGCTTAGTGTGGGAGAAGTACCATCTAAAACTGAGAGCTTTATGCTCAGATATGAATTTTGAGTGAAACAAAGCTATGCAATGCATACAAAATTACTCTTCTGAGTTCTAGAAAAAAAACTTTCTAGTTAAAGAAGATATTGCAATGGTGAAAGTCAAAGAGCACTACAATTATGCTTAGACACACATCTTGAATACAGCCTAACATAGGCCAGAGTTCATCTTCCCAACAGTGATCAAGAGTTCAAGACAAGAAAGGATAAAACACATATGCAAAGCTCTTCAAAAAAGGTGTTGGTCGAATGACCTAAATTCTACCATTATATCATAGATCTCAGTTCATAAAAGGAATTAACTATCAAGAGATTGGGAATAGAGAATAAAACTATATCTCCCAACATGGCTTCGGAACCAGGAGTACTTATTACGAGGCTTCTCATCCAGAACATTGATGTTAACACATCAAGATCATACCTTAAGTTCACCACTATCTTTACAAGTTGGAACTCCAACCATTGACAACAAGTTCACCATGAATCTGAAGCTAGATGGTTGCTGCAAAGCAAACAAGAAAAACTAATGAGGTGTGATAGAAACAGCAGTTTCCTGAAAAATAACAGAAAAGGGGAAATTATAGAAAGAGGTTCCAGGGACAAGTTCATAAACTTTTCACAAAACAACCGAGTGCCAGGTTTGCATAGATAGTATCATGGGTTATATCATCCATTTATTTCTTTCATGCGCACGATCAAAATCTCTAAAGATAAGTGCAAATCAGTAATTATGGTATGCCCAACTTGAATCACTGCCTGGAAGATATCAACAAGGAGTTCAGCACAAGGAAACTTGGGACTAGTGAAGACTATACCTGGCTGAAATTCAGATGATAATCTTTCAGTTTGCTGTCACAGCAAATGCTAATTGAGAAAACAACATCTAACACCAGATTCAGCTTCATTTTGCTCCCGTTGTGTCTTCTTGAACATGCTAGGCTATTAATATATTGTAGTTCCAACTCATTTTCCCCTTCGGCAGATATAACTTTCTGCAACTCAACAACCACGTTCTCTAGCAGCAAGGCGTTCCCCGTACTAACAAACTTCAACACGAGACGAATTAAAATAAGAATAACAATTCTGTTGACCAATGATATTGACCTCAGTTCTTCAACTATGAAAACAATCTCAGTTGAAGAAAACATACCTGCTGAAACAAGGTCCAACAGTAGAGAGCATTGTGTATTCTTTGAGTGATGCCTAAAGTAGACCATGTCGATTTTATAAACGGCAGCAATTCGTCAACTTCCTGGTAAATGAAAATTGTAGAAAGAAGAAAAAGAAAATCATTTGGAGCGATACAAGTATCAGACATCAGTGGATGTAGTATGCAGAACAATTTCTACCTCTATGAGCTGACCTTCCTCAAGAACATCAAACAATCCAAGCAACAATTTCTGATAAATCCGGATGTTCAAGTGATAACCAGCAGTCCAATAAAAGGTTTCACCTTGCACGCCAAATTGAACAGCCGAAGAAGATAATCTAAGAGCCACCTGTCTAAGAGACGCTAGAACTGCTACACGTTCAGAAGGAGACATCACAATGTCCCACTCCTAAAACATCCAAATAATAGCATAGACATCAGCAAAGCTTCAAAACTACCGACTTCACTCTCCTGAGAATATTTCATGACCCGATTGTACCTCAGTGTCTTTAATCTTCGCAATGTGACTTTTGATAGTTGGATCTTTGGACGTACACAGAAGCTCCTCGAGTATATTTGCCTGCAATTACCCAAAATAATACTGTAGGGGAAGGAAAAAATATTGCACTATGAAATGATCCAAGAGGCTACATTATAAGAAACCGGTAAATTGAACTGATTGTTTGCCAGTCCAATGTAAAGAGTCTATGGCATTTCTTGCCACCCGTCAGTTATGACCAGAGATTTTCACACAACTACACAGCTTATGGAGGAGAAATGGGAAAGGATGTTCAGAACTCTATTTTAACTTCTTTTCTAGCTTTCTCTTCTATTGGACCATTTTTATGCTTGTATGAGAGGTATTAGATCTATTCATATTCACACTATTCTATGCACCAATCTGAACGGAAGTCTGGAGGATTCTTCAATATTTTTCTATTCATGGGAATTATGGTTCTATAGATGTAGATTGTCAGAGGGTTCACCATGCTGTAGGCAGACTGTGTCGTCTGGATATCATGATACCTGCATTTATCTGATGACTTTTTAAAAGGACTTGGAGACAACAAATAAGCTCAGCTTTACCTGCCTATTTTTCCACTGCCGATAAGATTTTTCATGAGTGAAATCAGACTTGAATATTCCATTCAAAAGGCCCAGCACTATGTGAGGAAGATCCATTTCTCTCCGTGCCATTCTCACTGACAACTGCCGCAAGTTTCGCCTGACACATGCATCCATGGTTTCTGAAATCTAGCGAATATGCACTGTTTTACTTGGGAGATTGAAATAAGCAATTGCACGATAAATACGCAACAGAAACATCATTGAGCTGGCAATATTTAGGAGCAAATAAGTGCAGTATGAATATAATTACCCGAAAGCACTCACACACACAAGTAGTATATATCAGTATCACACTGTAAATGGGAAGGATGAGGTATTGTGGCTTGCCTGCATTTGAGTGCGGGCAATATCCATGACCGTTGCATGCCTCGAGAAAGATTGAGATTGTGTCTGCATCTTGTCCCTCTTGTTCTTTAGTCCAGACAAAAACTTGGAACTCTTCTCTCTTTTTCTATCATCAACTGGATGTGTTTCAATCCTAGTATGCATAAGATTAAGAACAGAAAAAGGAAATTCAAACTTAGAAAGCACCAGATACAAAATAAGACAAGAAACAAATTTGTATTCAGATCCTGATACCACTTCTATGAAACACAGTGACAATTTACATACAAAAAAAGGCCGGGAGAGAGATTACCCAGAAAGAAACATGGATGCAAGCAGTAACTCATAGGCTGCTTCCCTCAAGTCATCGTCAGATAATCCTTCAAAAATCCTGAGGTTATGTACCAGCTTATTCAAAAGTACAATGGCCAAGTAATCAAACTATTCTCAATAGCACAATTAAACATAAAAATTTCATTTCCTTGTTTCCACTTCCACATATACATACTAATTTATGTAGAAATGTGCATTCCCAAACCGTACCTGTTCTCAAACTAGGTAATCCAAGTTGAGGAATGTCCAGAACTCTTGAAGGACTAACAGGAGCATCAGGTTCTGCGATTTTAAATGTAGAACTACATTCATTTCCAGAAGTTGTCGCGTCAGTATGTGAGGCACTCGAGCGACAAGATGCGCGTGAGACATCAGGAGTCTGTCTGAAACTTTTCGGAGGAGGTGTTCGCGTAGGAGGAGATCCAGCTAAATCTGGATCAGCAACTAGGTAAAATGAGCTTCCCCTTCTTGAATCAATCTGTGATTTGATACAAAGAAGAAACTAACAGTTATGCAATGCTGAATGCAGTACAGGGTCTTATAATTTCTTCAAATCTGATAAGATATGTTGAATTATGGACGTCAATGTCTGCCTGAGGTTTCAAATCGAAGGGTTATCCATATCTCCTCCTAACCAACACTAGTTTTTCGAACATTATGACTAGAAGGCCACAATTACGTTGTAATTACATGACTGAACAACATCCAGATAAGACTAGCAAATTTAATGGATCAGGAAGCAATGCACCCATCAAAAGGATTACCATGACAGGATAAGCAGATTCCTCTGTGTACTTCTTAGAGGCTTCAGCAACATCAATAACACCGCCTGAGAACAACCAATATGATTGCAAGTTACATTCCAGGGCCGGGATCCAACAGAAAATGATGAAGCGTATATTAAAGCCGAATACAAATACATTCCACAGTTGGAGAATAATCGATAATTCGAAAACCCAAAAGCAGAACAGAAGAGCTGAGAATTGCAGAAAGTGCTCCACTCTTGACTTTCTCGTCAACCAAACAACGCGTTGAAACTCTAAACTCTAAATTGGAAAAATGAAAAAAGGATCAGGAAGCGGCAGCTACAGTGAGTACCTGACTGGAGGCATTGGAGGACGTAATCGGCGCTGAGAGAGTCCAAATCGACGCCGGAGAGGGAATTCGTAGAACCAGAAGGAGTTCGGAGCTCTTTGATAAGTCCGGAAGATAGTAGGAACTCCAATAGCTTCCGCCGATCGCGGCGGTAGCGCTCCAACAAAGCCTCCGCCGCCGGCTCCATATTAAAAAGCGAGAAGTCCTAGGATGACTCCAACCGAACCGAGCTAGGTTTCTCAACGAGAAGCAACGACCAACAAGAGTGACTAAGTGGGCAGCAGCAGGCCGGTATTAAAGGGAAGACAATGAAGTCTGAAAGCAGCTGTGGGGTTTTGCTCTTCTTTTGTTTCTTCCCTTTTGTGAAGAAAAAAGAAATGACTGGTTTTCGAGAAGCGCGAAAAGCCGACGGCAAAGGGATGTGTTCTTTTCTTTTCAGACCCTTTTTTAACCCTGTTAATACCTTAAAATTCTTTTTTGTTAGATAATTTTTCACTCTCTAAAGAGTATCATACCAAGGATTGTAGGTAGGTCGTACGAGATGAATTATCGGGGGAAAAGTTGTGTTTGGATGTTATTTCCGATAAATTAATAATTGTAGGTAGGTCGTACGAGATGAATTATCGGGGGAAAAGTTGTATTTGGATGTTATTCCCGATAAATTAATAATAGGGTATTTTGTACTAAAATAAAATTGTGGTTTAAATATTTTATATCATTAGAATTATTTATTCGTTTGAGATCTAGTATCGGATATTTATCATACAAATGAGCAATAGGATACGTTTTTATAAAAGACGGTTTCATGACCATACACGTTTTATAATTAAATACGATTGTTAACCATACTATTAGTCTATCATGACATAATATTTAGCACATATCAATATCAATATGTACATGTGTCAAATTTTACTAGGATCCGTAGTGTCGCTAATTCGCTATTTACTGCTTAAAATTTAGTTTACAGGCGGACTTCATCGGAGTGTTCAATTTTCTGGGATTTGGTTGATTGAACAATCCGCCCGCCGGTGGACCGAGTTCAAGATGCGCGCTTTCTCTTTCTTGCTTGCTCTCCCTGTCAGTCTGTTGTTAGCATCTCGGCAGGGGCCGGTCAGTACTCTTTGGGGAAGAACAAATCAAAGCAAGAAAGCCAGCCAAACGGCAATTTTATTTAGCAGGCGCTACAGTTTCCCTTATCCCTACAACAGGGTAGCGTATATATATATCTCTTTAATAAGCAGCCGCAGGCGCTTGAATGAAGTGCAATTGTGAATTGTGCTTTGGTTAGGGACTTAGGGTGTAGCATCCAGCGGCTGAACCATTACAGTGGCCTTATTCACAGCAATATCGCCACATTCGATCTAATCTAACGGCTAGAGATGCACAAGAAGCAAGCCAATAGCACCATAGCTAAATCGCCAGTTGCTGCTTTCTTGCACGCTCCTTCCGTTGTTTAGCAACTTGGCTCTTCATCAGAAGTTTCGGTTTAATCACAGAAACTTATCCTTTCTAAAGCCTAACAGAGTAAACTAAGGGAAGTAAAGATGTGAAAGTTCATTCCTGCAAGAAAAGATCCAGCTGTATACAACAACAATAGTTAATTCATTATTTTAAAGTAATTGTTATGGTATTTGTTGATTATTATATTGGCGATAATTAGTTAATATGTATTTTTTATCAAGTCGTATTAGTGTATTGTTGTGTATTTTTTTCATATCTTAGAAGAAATTTGTGGACTTTTTATTGTCGGATATGAATTTGGAGTTGGAAGGAAATATATGTCATCTAGAATTGGTAGGAATTGAAGGTATATTGAAAAATCAAGAGAATAACGAAAAGATTATACTTAGAAATCTAAAATATGGAAGAACACGAAAATTAATTTTTATTGTATAAATTATTACAATTTAGTGTATAGGCTTGTTTGAATAATAAGTGGCGATTGTTAAATGTTTGATGCTATTGCACGTACAAAAGTTAAGAAAATCCAAACAATATAAAATCTTAAATTCTACTCTACCAATACGATCTTTGACTTTTATGTGGAGTTAATAACATAAATTGTCACTCTATAATCCATTTTTCTCAAATCTATCCCTCTACTATTTTTCACATCAAACATGTTCGCATACTATATAGTATATACGTATTAACAAATTAAATTTACCCTCATTTTATGACTTATCTTCTCCGTCTGCAACTCTCAATAATTAATGGCCACAATCCTATCATCCATCTATTCCGCTTTCTCTTTCTTCGACCCAACAATAAATAAACGCAAAAACTTGTCTGTCACAAAATAACCTTGAAGACCTGCTTTTGAATTTAAGTCTTCAATTATTGATAGATTTGACTCAATCATCAGATTTGAAATACAAAAATTTTAGAATATATGAAATTCAAGTATCAAAGGTTGTCAACCCGGTTTAGCTCGTTAGCTCGATTAATTAAGTGGGTTGAGCGTTCATGGTCCAATCGTTTTAGTCCGCTTTTGCCCGGATTTATGAAAAAGTCATTATATTGTTTATATATTTATAAATTATATAAAATCTCATCTACATATGGATAATATTCTTCCTCGCCCGGACTACCTACATTTGTTTTTCTATCTGTTGATTTCCACTATCCTCCTCCGAGCTCCTAAAAAACACTCCAACAACATCTATTCATCACGCGATGAAGGTCGCGCTCCTATGGCGGCAGTGTGTGTCAGATGTGGAATTAATGAGGAACGGCCAAGTGGGAATGAACGTGGGGATGTTTGCGAGGGAAGACAATATGTGATGGTAGTCGAGTTCTGTCAATAGTCTCTTTGTCTGCAAAATTGACTTGACGGATTTAACTTACCAATTCGCGGAGAGGGAGTCAGAACGGGAGTGTAAGAGTGTATATTTTTCGAGAATTATAATTTGAATGGGCTGAAAGAGTGTGAATATTATATTAATTTAATTAATATATCATTTAACTTACTAATGGATCCCTTTATCAAATTTCTATGTGTAATCATAATCGGGCGACAACCAATCTGACATTTTCCTAAAATTACAATATAACACATCAATATTTATGTGAATCTAAATGCTAAATTCAACTCCTAAAAGCTAAATTCTACTCCTAAACTCTAAATTCAACTCTTACAGACCGTTTGGTACCAAATGAATTGAGAATTCATTTCATTGTAAAATGAATTACTGTGTAGAATTCATTATCAAATGAAATATTGTGTTTGGTATGTCATATTCAAATCTTTAGAAATAAATGAATTGCCATGAAGAATTCATTATCAAATGAATTCATGTGTTTGGTATGTCATATGTATAAGTAATTTAGTTAATAAAAAAAGATAATTATGTCATTTTATTATAATTAATAAATACTTGTGGAATTCATTTAGAAATTCCATTTCAATTACTCGGAATTGCTATAACTAGTTTCAATTTCATAGAATTTAAAATTTAGAATTGGAAATGAATTTTTTTAAATACCAAATACAAAAATATTTCATTTCAAAGTGAATTCCTCAAAATTTATAAAGTCAATTCCTAAACTCTTAATTCAACTTTTAAACGCTCAATTCAACCCTTCGTAAAGGTTTTGAACCTTTTTTCCCTCGGTCCCCTTTCACTCTTCCCGCACTCTTCCAAGTCAAGCTCTCGTCGAAAGGGCGACAGCCGACAAACAATCAATGGCTTCGTCTTCCTCCTCCGCTGGCAGTAGCTACGACATCCCATGGGTGGAGAAGTACCGGCCGAGCAAAGTGGCCAATATCGTCGGCAATGAGGACGCCATCTCCCGACTCCAAGTCATCGCCACCCAGGGCAACCTACCTAATTTGATTTTATCTGTACGTATTCACCTTCTTCTTCTGCTCGGTCTTCTGTTCTGATTCAGTTTAGAAATTTGCTTATGCCCGTTTATGGGATTTCCTTAACAATTGTCAATTGGAAGTGAGTGAGAGTTTTCGCTCTTCGCAGTGATGTAGTTCTGGTTTTGTAATCTTGTTTGCTTGGGAAATTTCACATTGCGATGTCGGCACTTTGAACGTTGCCAGGGTCCTCCTGGAACTGGGAAAACTACGAGTATACTCGCTCTAGCGCACGAGCTTCTTGGGCCTAGCTATAAAGATGCTGTTTTAGAGTTAAATGCATCCGATGAAAGGTGAGTAAGCATGATTCGTTCCCTTTTGTGCTTGGTCACATTGAAGGCTGTCGTTGAGCCTTCTGTATCTGTTAGTTAATTCTAGTCCCTGTGTTTTCAATGTGCAGAGGAATAGATGTAGTGAGGAACAAAATAAAAATGTTTGCACAGATGAAGTTAACACTTCCACCTGGGAGGCACAAAATCGTGATTCTCGATGAAGCTGACAGGTGAGCTGAATTATAATCCCATAACCCTGGAACTTGCAATCATTCAAGTATTTACGTGAAAGCATTCAATGGTTGAAGTCATTTAACCCATCTATCATCGATGATGAATATTCAGCATGACATCAGGAGCGCAGCAAGCCCTGAGACGGACAATGGAAATATACTCCCAGACCACCCGCTTTGCTCTTGCTTGCAATACTTCTTCTAAAGTGATTGAGCCTATTCAGAGTAGATGTGCTCTTGTTCGATTTTCAAGACTGTCTGATCAGGAGATTCTTGGTCGTCTAATGGTGGTAGTGGAAGCAGAAAAGGTTTGTAGTCTTTGACTTTCGACTTGATACTTTCCTATAGCACAATATTAAGCAGTGCCAATCTTGGAATTGATATATAATCTTTGACGTCTATTCTTCTGTGTGGTTTCTTAAGATCCCATATGACCTTTAGTTCACTGGGCCATGTCAGCATTGTAGTTTTTGAAAGCATCATCTGTGAAATAGTAAATGTGAGCTGACCATAGAGTAGGAAGAAGTGATGATGGATATGTACAGTTAATCCAGTGTAGTCAGATGGCCACCAGAATAATCACAGATTCAGGAACAATAATAAAACACTACTCAGACATCAGTATGGTGTGGCTTAGTAATGACTAATGACATTTGGAATTTGGTTATCGATTATTATCCATCTTAAGGAGGAGAGTTAGGGATGTGGGTTGAGCTCTCTGTGAAATTGTGAGTTTTACCTCTTGGCAGTGGTTTCTTCATATGTAATTAATCCTTATATGATAATGTCATGATATGGTAGCTTAATAAGGGAGTAGCATCATCATTCGTTTTCTTTTTTGTTTAATCTATGAAGGTTCCATACGTCCCTGAAGGGCTCGAAGCCATCATTTTTACAGCTGATGGGGATATGAGGCAGGCACTCAATAACTTGCAAGCTACGTACAGTGGATTCCGATTTGTCAACCAGGAGAATGTTTTCAAGGTAAGAACTTCCAGATTTTGCTCAAACAAATGGTGCCTCTATAATGAACAACAATATGTTTCTGTAATCTAACAGTGGGTTGTCACCATATCAGGTATGTGACCAGCCTCATCCTCTGCACGTGAAGAATATGGTGCGCCAAGTCCTTGAGGGAAAGTTTGATGATGCTTGCTCTGGTTTGAAGCAGCTTTATGACCTTGGTTATTCCCCAACTGATATCATTACAACTCTCTTCCGGATCATAAAAACTTACGACATGGCCGAGTATCTGAAGCTAGAATTCATGAAGGTAAAGTGATGATTTTCATCCCTAAGACCACCACCTTCTAGGCTTCAGGCGATGTCTTTGTAACATTCTTCTCTTCCATTGCTTTTATCAAAAGTGCAGGAAACAGGGTTTGCCCACATGAGAATCTGTGATGGAGTTGGTTCCTATCTTCAGCTGTGTGGCCTATTGGCTAAACTTGCTCTGGTTCGTGACACGGCCAAGGCAGTATGAGCAGAAAGCTCGGTGTACAGTTCTGGCGGGCTTCTGATGTGGAAATGGCGGTGATTTTGATGCTTCGGAACCTGTTGTTTTGAAGTGTGGAAGTGCATTGTATGTTTCCAAGGAAGCCTATCTTATTACATGTAATTGAGTTCCTTAGGTTAGACATTAGCAAGTAGAGACGCCTGTGTCCCATTGTCAATGTGGTGGAAGAGTTGTGCTTTCTTTAAGGGCGGCACTGTAATTTTTAATCAACTCGAGCGCTGACCTAATTTTGTGGGCAATTTCATGAATATAAGGTCTGGTAGTTACAAAGTTGAGCGTGTGCGCCTTCTTTAGTTCTTTACTTTAGCAGTTTTAGCAACCAATCAAGTTCCCAACAGGGCTCCAGAAGTTTGAGGATCTAGAAGTAGATTAGCTAAATTGTTTAATCCTCCTAATTGAACTACCATATGCGTAAGTCAGTTGAATCGTGAATGTCAAGTGGTACGAGAAGCTAACCTAGCCACTTGACGGATAGTAAGGCCCGCTGGTCTCTTCTATCGGGCTTTAGATTTTCTTGGCCCAGCTAAGTTTAAGAGAAACCCTTAGCCCATCTCCACTGTTCTTTTTCTCTCGAAGGGGTTAAATTTGAGAGCGGAGACAGAGCTAGGGTTTTCGGAGTTCAGAGAACCACAGCAGCAGCAACAGGAGGAGCAAAGCGGCGACGCCAACATCTCATCGCCATGGTTCTCAAGTTCGTCTCCTCCCTTTCCCTGTCTCGCTCCTTCTCTGAGCCATTCTTTCCTGTTCTGCGGAACATTCAGATTGTTGATTTTGATTCGTATGTTTTTGTTGACTGATTCGGACCGAGAGCAATGCGACTTTGAATCGGATTCAGGAATTTCGAATCGGTCTTCTTGTTCGTTTATGCTTCCCTGAAATTGGAATTTCGTCCATATATTCGATAATAACTTTGCAGAACATAGTTCCACTGTTTTCTGTTCCATCGCTCTATGCGCTGCTTAGGTTTCTTTTCCATTTCTTCTTTCTCTCGCTTTCTCAGCTTCCATTTGCTGATGTCGCCATGTGCATGTGGTTTTTGTTTTATTACAGAACCGAGCTATGCCGCTTCAGCGGGCAAAAGATTTACCCGGGCAGGGGCATCAGATTCATCCGTGCTGATTCTCAGGTCAGTCGTCGTATACTGTGCCATATCGCCCTAGTTTGATTCCCGTAGAAGAACGATTGGAAATTGATTTGTTGTTCTCTTTTGTTGACTTGGGTGTAAAGGTTTTCCTCTTTGCAAACTCCAAATGCAAGAGGTACTTCCACAACCGCCTGAAGCCTTCCAAGCTTACCTGGACAGCTGTGTTCAGGAAGCAGCACAAGAAGGTAACATCCTTTTTGCGTTTTACCATTTGGGTTTCTGTTTATGCTAGAAAAGTCTCAAATCTCAATCCATTTGATTGCTTACCATGCCGATAATCGTTTGTGTACTTTAGGATATTGCTGCCGAATCTGTGAAGAAGAAGAGAAGGACCAACAAGAAGCCTTACTCAAGGTCCATTGTTGGTGCTTCTTTGGAGGTCATCCAGAAGAGGAGGGCTGAGAAACCTGAAGTTCGAGATGCCGCTCGTGAAGCTGCCATTCGGTATGTGTGCATCGTACCATCTACTCCTTTTGACCATGGGATTGTAAATGGAGTTTCTTCTTCAACTGAATTTATTTTTCTTTTCCTGTTGGTTTGAATGTTTGTAGTGAGATCAAGGAGAGGATTAAGAAAACCAAGGACGAGAAGAAGGCTAAGAAGGCGGAAGTGACCAAGAGTCAGAAGTCCCAAGGCAGTAAGATGCCGAGAGGTGCTGCACCTAAGGGTGGACCCAAGCTTGGTGGTGGTGGTGGAAAGCGATGAATATGATGTTCACCAACATTTTCCCCTGGTGACTTTTATGTACTAGTTAGTAGAAACGACTTTGAGATGTGTTTCTATATTTTCGATGTGTTTCATCAAACATCAGTCTTCCTTTTTAAGGGATTTTCCATATGAATATTGAGTTCATTTCAACCAAAGGGTTTCACTATGTTCTTTGCTATGGTTTGCTTAACTTACTTTTGTTCTTGGATAGCACATGAGCAGGCTGGCATAGCTTTGGTTTGTGGCTTTGTCCATGAGGTTAGATAGGTATTACCAGTATTGGATGTGTTCCTAGTCCCTAAATGGTTTGTTCATCAGCTATAGAACTGCAGTAATATTTTCCATTACCATTATGTTATCAGGTTGGGATGACTAAGTGAAAGATTATAGTAGAGCATCCCTTTCTTGTGCAGCTATTTGACAGGCTAAGCTTATTATTATGAATCAAAGAGAGACGACCATTTTTAGGATTTCACAACTCTTTAGGGGTCGTTTGGATTGAGTATTTGATAAACTTGTTGTTTGGGGCCAATTACCACACAAATACCACATAATATAAAACTTGTTATTTGGTATGTGATATTTGGTCTCAAACTTGTTATTTGGGAAATACCTGCCCCCTCCCAAGTATTTGGCAAACAACACTTTTTGTGTTATTTGGTCTCAAACCTATTATTTGGCAAAACACTACATCCAAATAACACATCCCACTTTTTGTCACCCAAACATATTATTTGGGGTTAAATAACAGATTTTGTGTTATTTGACCTCAAATAACACCCCCAAATACTCAATCCAAACAACCCCTTATTGTTCTTCTACTTACCTGTGGTAGCATGCGATTGACAAACTATCAAGTGGTGTCAATGTGGCTTCATTGGAACAATGTGTGCGAGAGAGTTTTTGTGCTGGCTAGTGATGGTACCAAAGTAGCTACAAATTAACAAAACACAGCGATACTTTGTTTTATACACGCCGGTTACAGATGTAAATGTTAGAAAATTTCAATGGTGGGATGCTTGCTTCTTGCACTGATGTACACCATTTTGTTTCGCTCTCCTAAATGGCTCTAAATAAAAATATGAACCTAATTATTATTCAAGTATAATTTTTCTATAACCAATAATTTGTCTTTTGCTATGATGATTAACAAAGACATCTATGTACAAGCTGAAGTGGCCCACTCCTCTGCCAAACCTATCAATGCTGCTATCTGAGGCTTCTTTCAACTGCAGCAGAGCATAACTATCTTACTAATTGAGACCCAGCTCAAGGGCTCAACCAAACAATCCTCAGATATAGGATATGTACAGGGTGCAAAAAATCCCTGCAGCCAACTACCTGCCTCGACAACTCATCTCCGATAACTAAGAAAATGCAGAATGATGAACAACCCCTCGTATTCCATTTGCGTCCATCATCCCCTAACCTCACCATTGAGTACAACATGGTCGCCAAGCTTAGCATTGCCGATAATCCTCACTCCTCAGAAGCTCCAGCGATCGAGCTGCTGCCTTGCTTCAGTAATGTCTTTCTGTACTTTCTTCCGCCGGTAGAATATAGGGCAATCACGACTGCTCCTCCCCATTGTGAAAATCAAGAGTAAATCCAACCATCACTCTAGAGAAAGAAAGCATAATGTGACATAGTTTGACAACGACAGGTTTTACCTTGTGCACAGCACATCTTGATGAAGGGAGCCTTGACATTCCTGGCACTGTGTCCATAACCTCCCGAAAAGGGACTCTAGATCAGCCACTGCATTAAAAAGAAGAGTCCTGTGAGAAAGCAAAAAAAGAAAAGGGCTTTCAATCTCACGAAACATGAACAAGCAAGAAATCATTTTTTGTGCCCCTGCCTTGAGAAACACTCTTGGAATACAGCTCGGCTTCTCTTCCTTTGCAATGTGAGCAAAGAGTCCGTTCTGAATCCCTGGTTCAACATAGTAATTGGAGAAAGTATGTTATTTGAAAACTCCTGAAACCATATATGATATCCACGCCATAAGGAATGAAAAGTATCCAAAAACTGTATACTTAATCAACGCTTTGCAGCCAAGGCAAGTGAGTTGTTTCCTTGCAAATCTCATAATACCGCCACTTGAAGGAATGGGCTTGGATATGTTCCTGGTGTGGGCCCCACTGAGTAGCTCGTCTTTTGCATTCTTCAAAATAGGCTCGAAGATTCGTAGAAGTGGCTGGAAATGCAAAAAACTTGACATTAGTTTCGTCCAGCAAATCGCTGCAGAAACACATTACACTTACCTTTTCCAGGTGATTTGTGAGGTAGTATTTACTGTCTATTGGAATGTTATTCTCTAGCACATATATGGGATCCTCGGATTTCTCATAAGCCTGACCAAAATAGCAGATCACAGTTGGTTTAGTTAAAGAAACGGCCTTTGAATAAAAATCCTGACATTCTACTTATCTCTCACGGAACATAAGTTGGGTTCTCCATAAAAAAGTGGAACATCGAGAGAAACCATACCTTTGCTCCTTTTGCAGATTCTATCATGACATAAGAAACTCGGTCCCCAACGTTTGGAGCAGTGGCAGCATCTCTCTGTTAATCAGAAAGCAAGCAGTGTTGGAGGATCTGAAGAGAGTACAGATCTCATTCAGAATGAGAAATAAAAGGCAGAGAAATTAAGCATGAGTTAAGTAAATCGGAAATCCTATAATCCAATTGAACAATTAGCTGCTAAATCGATAAAGAAAAGTTTAAGTTGTACTGGAAAATCATCGGAGGCACAAGTACTACAAAACTAAGCCTGGACAAATGCAAAACAATGAAAAAATAACTAAAATTTCAATGACTTAAATACTAAAGCGAAACGGTAGAAAATTTTGAAAGAACCTTGCGCATGCGTTCAGCAAGCTCAACATGAGCAGCCTTTACTTCATAGTCATCTCCTGTCTTGGTAAGACCCTGATGAAACCAAACCCATCAAACCAGATAAAGGCAGTAATGCGAGATATTCCTAACAATTCAGTTCAAAGTGAGCATGCAAAAAGAAAACACAAAAGGAGATTGTCACCTTAGTAATAACAAGGAGTGATAAGTCCAAACGATTCATGAGAAGATCTGAAATAATATTCTTCACATATTGAACTGCACCAGGGACATCTCTGTCCATTAGTATCTTATGCAGACACTCAGTTACCAAGTTTTTTACCATAAGGCAGTTGTCTCTTCGAACAGTCTCAATTCCTGTCCATGAATTTAAATTGAAGTCAGTAAGCCAGGAGAAAATTTCAAAGCGCAAACAAATTGCTTGTTTTATTTCAGGCTTTACCTTTAGTATCCATTTTGTCATATTTTGCTGGAGTCGTCCAGTATAAGCCAGCATATTTCTTCTTGCTTATCAATAGGTATGGAAAATAAACCTTCTCAAACTCTAGCTTGATGGGCTTCAGAAAACAGAATTTCCCCCACACAAAAAACAAATGGAATTTACTCATAAAGTCGGCTCAAGACCTTAATGTTCATATCATGGTAAATAAGTGGAATTATATAAATTTAGAGAAACCACAAGACATGCTATTGCATATGTAACACATAATTATAGACCTGATATATTCAGCAGCTTGTGACAGTGCTAGAACTTACTTTGATGAAAGTTTCAGTAATATATTCAGCAGCTTCTGTTCCTAATCTCATTGTTTCTTCTACTGTAGGCACCCCAAATTGTACCATAACAGAATCTGTGTCACCGTATATAACCTGAAACAGAGCTCAGAAAGATAGGGTAAATCTACAAATACACCAGGTTCAAACGAGTAACATAGTCTAAACATTGGTTCAACTTTGAACATTTACTATAGTTTAGGTATGATTAGATACAATAATGTGGTTCAAGTGATAATTGTACATTCCAGTTCAAGGTTATATACCTCAGCATTGAACTCATAGCCTTCCCTCATAGTAAATTTGTCTTCGACAAGTTTCCTTGTATGCTCAATCATTTGGCGACCTTTCCATTGTGAGAAATCCGTTAACCACAGTACACAAGTCAAAGGACAACAGCTTTTATTTCATTAAAATTCAGAGGCTGCAACAGATACCCGCTAAATAGGTAAGGGAAAAAGAAGTGCACAGAAACTCATTGGAGCCAAATTGACTCTGCACAAGTTTAGCAGGGAGATTGCAATACCATAGCTCGTCACACTTGAGGATATCTCTAGGCATGGTAATTGGCCAATTGTTGCTCCTGTAAAGCCATACACTGAATTCGCACTTATCTGAAAAGTACAAGAAACAAAGCAGGAAAGTGAGTAAAGAAGTCAATCTCATTGTTAAAAACCTGGACCATCTGGCTCCTATATTGACAATGATCTTACCTTGAGGGCTAGTTGGCGGCCATCTAGAACAGCCTTCTCAAATGGATCCTTCGCTTCCTATTATCAAATAACACCATAACAAGGTAATCAAGGTCAGTTAGAAACCAAAGGCACAATATGAGCAATCAGTGAAAGTTGAACATAAAAACAAATGAACCTTTAAATCTGCTTTTGCTCTTTTACGTGCAGCAATAAGTTCTTCAAGAATTTCAGGAAGAATTCCCTGCAAAAGGATAATGAAAGACATCACGCTTCATGAGTGACAAGTTTGGCATTTAGGGGAGAGTCTCCTGCTTTTGCCAGTTTTAGTGTCAAAACTAACGAATTCATTTCATAGCCTATGTTTTGACCTTTTGCAAACTGGGTTTGACAAATGTTTCACCCAAAGGAGTTTTGTTGACACATTCTGGAGGCAGGTTGAGTTTTTTAACATCTTCAGGAGTCACCTTCAAAAGCACAAAGGTGAAAGATTAGAACAACCTTATAATGTCAAAATAAATGAATTATGGACATGAGGAATCAGCGCAGTCATACAAGCAATAAAACAATTAGCAAAATGAGAAAGACAGCTCACAATTCATCATTTGACTAATTACCAGAGTGCAGTAGCACAAGTTATATGCCATCATTATCGATGGATACAAAGAAGCAAAATCCAATGTTGCAATTGGCTTCTCGTAAAATCCCTTTTTAGCATCCAAAACCTGAATTTTGCAAAACATTAATTAGAAAACGGCAAGTAAAAACAAGAAATAATCTGCAAAACTTCATCTGGATAGCTTAGACAAAAAAAGAAAGCATCGTCAAAATACAGCGAATGAAAAAACAGGACAGAGAGTCTACAAAGCTACAGATTATATGACCATCTGCAGAAGGAAAATAAAGGAAGAAAAAGAGAAAGGGAAAAAGTAATGGAATGGCGGTTTGTTTAAAAAGAGAGAGATATGAGTACAATGCAAGTAGAAAAGGGAAATTCAATTAGTATTTTTGGAATGGAAAACAAGAATTTATGGTTGAACAACACCGACAATAAGGATCATCAAAGAACGGAACGTAATAATGCATTTGATGTAATTTCCACTATAATAGGTCCACTGATCTGGGAAACTATAATAATTTGAACATAATTTCAATCCGGGAAATTAGAAAATATGTAACCGATAACACTCACAGTTGCACCTTCATATGTTGTTCCTTGATCTGATCCTGCCAGCTTAACATATGGAAGAACAAGACCCTTTTCCTTGGACTTCCTCAGAAGTTGAGAAAGTACCTGATAGCCAGGTAAAATCCACTACCAATTCAGATATCTAGCTCAATCTAAGCATCAATTGCTACTAATTAGCATGTCAACATACCTTGATACTCTGTCCCCTGGAAAGAAGCAAAGATATAGGCACACCAGTTACACGAGCCATTTCTACGTAATTGTATATGTACATCAGTTTGTCCAGAAGTCTCTGTGGGAGGTAAGCATCCTACACATAGACCATTCATAAATGCATTATTGTCTGCCAGATATACAGTCTGTTAATCCTTACTAAACAAACTGGGGGAAGGTTGAATATAGCAGGTTCATATCAGAGGCAGAAGTTCTATCTTAAACTGCCAAAAAACATCACAAACATGCACCAAAGAGTTTTGCAAATCTAGAATGTTGCTCTGATGGTAATATCAGGACCAGAAATCTTGAGCTAAAAGTTTGCGCTCACTGTGTGTTTACTGCACATCTTGACAGAAACTATCCATCAGGATATCATAAAAGGAAAAATTAATCATCCACAAAGAGAAACAGAAAGAAAGCTACTATTAGATGTGAAACAAAAGATAAGTGTTGAGGATTTGCTAAGGCTAAACCAGCACCTTCAAGCAATAAACAGCAAGGCGCCTCCTTGTTTCTGAATTGCCATTTTGAAGGTCAGATATTATTGAATGGTGAACATCCTCTTTCTGCAAGAGAATAGTTGGTCAGTGACATCAGTCCAATCATCCAAGGTGCATTTCTTCCATTCATCTCAAAGAGAAACTCAACCATTACCTGCTCAGAAAGAAAGTGTGCTGAAACAGAGTTTAATGAATAAGAGCTCAATTTATGGTCCCTTTGAATAGCCTGCAAGTAACATAAACAATCCAGTTAAGGGACGACCAAACTGAGTTTATTAAATTTAACCATATATTAAAGAGACAGAACCTGAAGTAAATCAAACTGAACTCGCCCTTTTAGAGCAATTTCTTTACTTTGCCGCGTTCCATACTGCCTGTAAGAAGAAAACAATTACTTAAGAAACCCGATGCAGGCTACTAAAAATAGTAAATGCAAAGGTGACTGACCAATGTCTGTAATCTACTCTGCAGTCTCTACAGAGCAAAAAAAATTATGTATTTAGAATGAAAAGAGCAAGTCTGAATCAACTAAGAGGACGCACCACCTAACCTAAACCATATTATTAAATTAAATAACTTTAGGTAGATGCGGCACTCCATGAAGTGCATATATATATCAAGAAAGAATTCATCATCTGACATTTTCTGGACTAGCAAGTAGCAACAGTTAATTTCTATAATACCCTACCTTGATGAAAAAGTCGTATCTTTGACCGTGACCCTGGTGTTTCTAATGCGTCCCAAGACTGCAAATTCCAATATGCCCAAGCTTTGAGCTCTCTACAGCAGAAAAGAGTTCACTAAAATCCTCACATGCAAAACTAAGCACAAACCACTACTTTCCCATAGTGCAAAGTGATCAAAATAGGAAAACTTGTGCAGCAAATATGCATTAGTCAAGCTTTTTACCTCGATGAGATATGGCAAATCAAAATTACAGATATTATATCCAATAATAATATCCGGATCCACTTCAAGGATAAAATCCTGCAAGAAAAAACCTATTAGACTTCCAGTGTGAAAGCAATAGATCAAAGAACAAATCAGGCAGTATATCTAATGTAAGCAAGAGCAGTTTAGAAAAGCCTAATACCCTCCAAGCTAGCAGTACTTCTCTTTCCGTTTCAAAAGACATCACATCCGCGCCAACTATAGGAGAGCATGATTTAAGTGTCATAACATTACGCACTAATGGTCGGCTCTCCCCTTGCAAGGTAACTAGGTTGGCCACCTACAAGGAGGCAAAATATTTACTTTGGACACGAACATACACAAACATTAATAAAATTAATATTTTCCAGCAAACTATGCAGATAAGAGAGTAGTATTGAGAACCTGAATAACAGGATCATGAGTAGGCTCAGGAAAATGACCTTTACGTCCAGCACATTCAATATCAAAACTCAATATGCGGAAGGGAGCCATCTTTGAGAACTCTCCTTCTGGGGCATGGCTAACCAAAGCAGAATACCTAGACGTGGTAGTAAGAAGCAAAACCAATCTAGAAGATTTCTATACAAAGAAGGTATTGTAGATATTCCAAAAGGCAGGAAATTGCCAACAGCAAGGATACAAGCAGTCAACCTCTAATTGACAATAGGAGATATTTTTGACTGCCTTTTGATACTTTCCAGCAGGAACTTCAATCCAATTTCCACCAACAATCCCGCAATCAACCATGAAACGGAGAGCGAACCCAACATTGCTTTCATAGGTCATGAAGCTCTTCATACCAAGGCCATCTATCTGGATCCCTTTGTCAAGAATACCTACATGTGCAGACCCAGAATTCAAACACATCCATCAAAGCTCATTCTGATTGCTGGCCTCCTCAATTGTGTAGCACAAGTTTGAAAAGCATCCACAGATGAACGCAGCAATGGCGGCGGTCATACCAACAATTAAAAACAGGAATCAAGAAGCAACCTGGAAAGGAAAAGAATGAACGAAGTGCTCTATACATAGTGGGAGTCTCTTACCACGACAACTGGAAACCATTGTTGGCAAAGCAAGAACAATCTTAAGAAAGGGATTGGATTCCTGTTGTTGATAGTACATGATGCTCTTTTTATGTACCAGTTCGATTCTCTTGATGATCTTTGACACTTTACTATCCCGGTTTAGGTCCCGCATTCTCCGCTGAAACAGATAAGCATGTATTACACACCGAGTGAATCAGAGAAACTTATCAACCCATAACAAATCTAACATTCCCATATCCCCATACCTCAAGGGTCTGATGAAACCGGGATATGTCATCGGGGCCCATTCCAGAAGGGCAACTAATGTAGAAATAGGGCTCGAATCCGTGAACTTTGCAGCACACACTATGACCTAACGAGCATTGCAACTGATCAAGTTAAGCAGATGGACCAACACACATTAAACAGCTCATCACACACTAAATCAAATTCACTATTCTTCATTCCAAAAATAATACAACCTTCTGCTGTAACCCCGAAAATCCTGATAATTGGGGCATGACCCGACGAATCGCCCAACAGTTCCTCGTGGCTCTCCGAAACTACATAATCCAGCTCTAACTGCTGAAACGCTGCTCACATTAGCCGAAATGAAATAATTCAGCGATGGAATCTTCGCCAATTTCCTTTAACTTCTCTCGGAGAGGAAAAAATACTGCACAGGAATGGGGCAAAGGAAAAGAGTAATACTCAGTTACTCACTGATGCTTTTGGACTGGGAAACGTAGTCGGGAGAAAGCGAAGGGCGCTTCCACTTAGCCAGGTTAGAGGCGAGCGACTCCTGAGCCCACTCACGGTTGCTGTTCATTTCGTCTTCTGCTATGAGGATTTCCTCAAGGAACGCATCCTCATCCACGAATTCGTCCTCCGGTCCCCTCGCCTGGACCTTCGCCGCGGGGGGCGGTTGCCCCGGCGGCGGTCGCTTCTTGGCGTTTCTGGCGAGGTTCATAATTTAGTGATTGATAGTAGAGATCAGGAAACTACTTTCTACTTCTTCTTCCCGATTTCCGAACAAGCAAACGAATTGGAAAGAAGAGAGCGGAAGAGGGATTGACTGAGAAATCGTTTTCCCGCCTTTTCTTTTCCTGGCTCTTTCGGGTTCACTACCGGATTTAGGGTTTTTTAATTGTTTGATTAAACGTCGCCTCGGGCCCGGGGAGATCCAATAATAAATTGCTTAATTTACGGGATTCTTGCCATAACAAACAAGATTGCTGGATTGAATTATGTCCAATTGTCCATAATCCTTCGCATCGCATGTTTCGAAAGTCGCAACTTTCTTCCTTTTCCTATAAAACAAGCCTACTTTACGTAAATGGACATTGAATTATGGCAATTGGCAAATCAATCACCTTTATTCATCAACCAATAATCAGAATTACGACAACCATTTTTTTTACGGTTACGACAACCATATTAATTACGATATAAATAATCAAGATTTTTAGCATTGATAAAATAAGATAAATCACGTAAATCCTAGCGTAGCTTATTTATTCTTTTTATGATTATCTTTGAGTTGTGAGATGTTTTCTTTGTTTAAGAATGGGTTAATTGTATGGTTGGTTACTGAGATTACAAAAAACGTTCAAATTTGGTCACTCGAAATATTTAAATCTATTGGTGGTACTTCACTTTACTGAACCGTTCACGTTTGGTCACTCTCCGTCCAACTCCATTAACTTTAGCTGATGTGGCAGTCAACTCTCAAAGTTGCCCGTTAACTTAGTGACGTGGCAATTAAGAAACAATAAATAAAATAAATTTAATCTATTTGAATGTCCAACTCATTTTCACTATATAAATAAATAAATAAAATAATTATTATAATTATTAATTACCAAATTAAAAGAGGCGCCGAACACCACGTCCCTTCCCCGCAATCACTTCTTCTCCGCTCTTCCTCCTCCAATTCCCTCTGCCATAAAATTGAAGAACAATGTTTTTTTCCTGCGATGAATCAATTAACAATGCTTCTATCCTTTTCCATTTTCTCTGCTTCATACAGAGTTGGTAATTTTGGTTATTGTCATAAATGGCCAAATGGATGGGAATGGTCGAAGAAGAGTAATGCTCTGTTACTCAATTTTTGCCGGCACCGTCGACATCATCATAATCAGCGCTACAGCATAAGATTAATCAAACGGCAGCCGGCAGTTCGAATGCGGAGACTCCCGAATTGGCTATTCTTCCTCTGCTACCCTCCGCGAAACACCACCTTGGATCCGAGTTTCTTCGATTTTGCGCCGGACACTCAATTTGCTCTGCTCTACTACTATTGCCCGCCGCCGCAAGCCGATGTTCGACTCCCGCCGAGCATCGGCCAGTTCAATTACAGCAGCGGTCCAGGGGGTTACTTTCTGCCGAGCGAGTACCTGCTTGGGGAATTCGAAGATTTCGTCAGAAGTTGGTCGAGATCGTGCGTGATTATAGTTAGGATGTCGACGGATCGGACGGAACTGGGGATGCCGGCGAATCAGACGGAGCAGGGGATCCGGCGGCGCCAGAGGAGTGGGGATTACGAGGACGCTTGCCGCAATTGTAAGGGATCCGGTGGGAAGTGCGGTTTCGACGAGATGGCGACGCGTTCGTTCGTTTGCTATTGCTCCGATCAAGCTTACGCCTCCGACTGTTTGTCGCTTGCCAGTGCTTCGCCGCCGGAGAAAGCGCTCGATGAATTGACTTACCGCGGAGGAGGATTTGATTCGACAGGGTAAAAACATTGTTCTTCAATTTTATGGCGGAGGGAATTTGAGGAGGAAGAGCGGAGAAGTAGTGATTGTGTGGAAGGGGTGTGGCGACTTTTTTTTTTTTTTTTTAGGAAGTGTGGCGACTCTTTTAATTTGGTAATTAATAATTATAATATTTTTCTATTATATTTACTTATTGTATGATAAAAATGAGTTGGACATTAAAATAGATTAAAATTTATTTTATTTATTATTTCTTAAATTACCACGTCACTAAGTTAACGGACAACTTTGAGAGTTGACTGCCACATCAGTCAAAGTTAACGGAGTTGGACGGAGAGTGACCAAACGTGAACGGTTTCAGTAAAGTGAAGTACCACCAATGGATTTAAATATCTCGAGTGACCAAACTTGAACATTTTTTTGTAATTTCAGTGACCAACCATGCAATTAACCCGATTTGTCTTGTTGTTATAGTTAGTTACCTTTGTTGTTATATTTAGTTACCTTTGTCGAATGAAATCATTTGTCGTTGATTTCAGTTCTTGAGAATTGGCCGAAACTTACTAGGTTCTGAAAATAGAGTTATTGATTCTTATGGAATTCTGCTATCATTCTTCCCCACCACTCCCTCTGATGCTTCTGTAAACAAAAACCTCTCCACTTTGTTATGGGAATTGGGAGAAAGAAAAAGGACGAAGAAGATGTGAATTGGAAGAGAAGGAAGATGAAGCCACAAATTGGGAAGCCTTGATTTTTTTTTTTTTTTTTGTAATTTCTCTCCTTTTCATAAATAATAAGAGCTTGAGAAACTTTTGGTCCTGTTCCGAGCTTCTTCTGATTTTTTGTAATAAATTTCTTTGAATAGCTAAATCAATAATTTAGTCTTGTGGATTCGACATTAATTCTCTCGTATTTACTAATTGTTGTAAGCACGGAAAAGCTTTTTCACCTTCTTAATATATCAACGAACGAATTGTTTTTAATCTCTAATTTTTCATGAAAAATAATATTATGATACCATTATAAATACAAAATTACCGAGATATATGACAACTCTTTTAAAAATAAATAGTAAAACAATTTTATAATACATGTCTTTCCATTCAATATAGAGACAAAAAGAAAATTTTATATTTTCGGGTTCCCGTTAAAAAACTAAATTTAATTTCAAACACGTTATTTGACCAAGAACTCATTTTTAAAATGTTTTGAGTTTCTAAATTAGAAGTTTTGATCTACATTATTCCTCACTAATCAAATCTATCATCTAAACGACTCCTTTGATTTCCTTATACTTGAATTTCCTTTATAGCTCATTATCATTCATTATGCGAATATGTGTGTTGTTGTAAGAGTTTTTACTTGTGCTTAATAGATAGAAAACACTATTGCCCAAAGAAATGGATGAATAAGAACATTCCTCTTCTATTTTCCTAATTTGCCCTTGTATTCGTCCACTAATTAACCCTCACTTTTTATAACAATTGACTATACAATTGTCTTGGTGATAATATACTAATTAATACACGATTTTCTGTCTTCTGACCACTGAATTTTCTCTCTCTTGCGGACAGCTTAGCCATGTTGGCCAGGCCATTCCTAGATGAAGGGGTGGATACTATGCTAACCCCTAAAGGGGTAGTGATTTTCAACACCCCCTTTATGATTGGCCAATTTTATTTTCAATCATTGGCAAGTATTAATTAAACTGGTTTTTTATTTTTTTTAATCTTGTAATTTGGGGTCTCTCACCCACATTGGAAATGGAAAGAATATGGGGAATCAGAAAAAAGCTCTCCCCCAAATGTGCAATTAATTGCCTTTTTTTCTTCCTTTCGTCTTCTTCTCTCTCCATTTGGGCCCTCTTTCCATTTTGATTTCATTTTAACCAGAACCCTCCTCTACTCTGAAACGACCAAAACCCTCCAGCGCCTTCCCCCACCACCATCCTCCTATCTCCAGCTGCCGCCATCCTGGGATCGCCTCTGACCTACCTTGTGGATTGCTCGCACCAGTGGAGTGGTACGTGTACCAGTGGAGTGGTACGTGTACCAGTGGAGTGGTATTTGTATCATTGAAGTGGTACTGCATTGTTGCTCCGTTATTGTTTATCATTGTTATGAAAAATATCATTGCACTGGTATTGTTCTCACTCTAACCTACCTTGTGGATTGCTCGCACCAGTGGAGTGGTACGTGTACCAGTGGAGTGGTACGTGTACCAGTGGAGTGGTACGTGTAATTAATGTACCAGTGAGAGAAATTAATTATGTAATTAATGGGGGTGATTTCGTTTTTCCCCAGATTCTTTCTCTTTTTCAATGTGGTGAGAGACCCCAAATTACAAGATTAAAAAAAAATAAAAAACCAGTTTAATTAATACTTGCCAATGATTGGAAATAAAATTGGCCAATCATAAAGGGAGTGTCAAAAATCACTACCCCTTTAGGGGTAGTCAAGCTAACCGATCCCCTAGATGAAGAATCATCTTCGTTACTACTAATGATTAACGAATAATGATGGTATCAATGCGAACGTTACATACAAATTTCGATGATGGAAAGTTAGAAACTATAAATTAATAAACAAGAAAACAATTATTTTATTGATAAACATAGACTGACATACATATATATGCGTATAATGTTATTTGGAATGTTGGATGATCGGAAATATGAACGAGCTAGGCAACCCTTGCACGATCATTTTGTTTCACTCCCCCTCTGAATCTACTTTACAATTAGTGTTTCAAATTAGGGTACGTATTTATGTATATTATACCTATCATTTTAACAAATCTATACCGGGAGATTGTCTAATGAATGGAGTATAATATATAACAAAGTTCTTAGCTCTAATCAATATATGGAATGGCAATAATAATCATATTGATATGCCACTAAAAACTAATAATATTATAAATTTGTACATAGCTCTCCTCATATTATATATCATGTGTGTTAAATTTTAATGTGTGACTTCTTAATTAAACTCTTTCACGACTCCTCTCGATTTTATATCATATTGTCATTTACAATTCAGTGTCATCAAATTAGCAAATGCTATCAAACAAAGGCTGAAAGAAAGAGATATATCATACCCAGGACATTGTGAGCCACTAAATAACATATTTCCTAAGAAACTCATTTAGATCAAATGTCTAACACCCCCACTAGAAAACAAATAAATCCATCATAATGCTAATTATTTGAGTAACCTAAGAATTAAAGATATCACACGACATTGTAATTCTGCCTATCTCCACCGTTTGGTTAGATTCAAGCACAAGAGAAGTACTATTAATTAGAGATCTCAAGGATGAAGATGGGGTTAAAACTCGGGATGTTGATCAAATGGTTCAGATTGCTGTCAAGTTCTATGAAAACTTGTTGGGGGAACCTGATTCTGAAGTTGAACCTCAGACTATTGACTATTATAGGAGATTATTGAAGAGGATACTCACAGATGAACAAACTGAGGGGATCTGTGCTCCTTTTACAAAAATGCATATAAAAGAAATCTTATTTGCAATGGATGGTGATAAGAGCCCGGTTCAAGATGGATTTACAACTTCTTTTTTTCGGGTATGCTTGGCCTACTATTGGCCACAAGGTAACCCTTGTCATTCAATACTACTTTGAGCAAGGTAGTATCCCTAAAGCTGTTAATGCTATCATTCTTACTTTAATCCCTAAAGTCCCCAATCCAGATGAAATGAAAAAAAAAATCCACCTTATTTCTTGCTGTAACATACTATATAAATGCATTTCCAAGTTAATTTCAAGTAGGCTTAGCTCTCTGCTCCCCTCTCTGATTAGTAAGAACCATACTTTTAGCTCATGAACTTGTTAGCAAGTATTCTAAGGATACTTGGAGAGAACATACTTTTAGCTCATGAACTTGTTAGCAAGTATTCTAAGGAGAACGTTTCCTCTAGATGTGCTATTAAGATAGATCTCATGAAAGCCTTTGATTCACTAGACTGGAGATTTATTTTCCAGGTTGTCAAAAGTATGGGTTTCCCTTACAGATTTGTGACATGGATTAGAATGTGTGTTGGTACTCCTAGTCCTATGCTTAGTATTTGCTTTAATGGACGACATCTTGTAGGTTATTTTCAAACTAGTAAGGGATTCAGGCAATAGATCCTCTTTCCCCCTACCCATTTTTCAGTAGTTATGGAAATTTTTACCTGTCTTTTGGATAAGTATGCTACTGTTGGGATCTTTTCATTTCATCCATAGTGCAAAAAAGTTCAATTGACTCATTTATACTTTGCGGATGACCTTATGGTATTTTATGATGCTTCAAACTTTGGAATTCAAGAGTTACAGAGAGTCATTGAGCAGTTTAGGAAGATTTCAGGACTTAAGTCAAATCCCAGTAAATGTGAAATCTTCTTTGGTGGGTTGGATCAAGAAGAGAGAGTCAAGAGGGCTGCTAGGTATGGTTATCAACTTGGGAGTTTCCTTGTAAGATACTTGGAGGTTCCTCTCATCTCTGGTAAACTTAGTTTAACAGCCTGCAAGCCCCTCATTGTCAATCCCAAGGAATAGAGTTGTCACTTGGATGGTATTTAAAGGGTGCATAAACACGAGGAAAAAGATGTTGAAGTGGGGCTATTCAGGGTATACGAGATGTTGTCTTTGTGATGCAGGAATTGAAGATAGGGAGCATTTATTCACTAAATGTCCCTTCTCAAAACTGTTATTTGATGCAGTGCTCAACAGGTTCTTGCAGCATCAACTGAGACCTGGCCGATGAGGTGAAATGTCAATTTGGATTGACAAATTATTTGTTGCTAGTGAGGTTGCGGGGTCTGGGATTTGGGTGAAAATTAGGCGTCAACACCTCCTTGCTATAAAATTTCAGATTTGGTCACTCGAATTGGTTTATTCCATTCGTAGTCACTTATATTAGTTTAACAGTCCAACTTTGGTCACTCTCCGTTAACCTGTTAGTGGAGGAAGACCTCCTATGGATAAGAGACATAAGGCTAAAGAGAGAGCAAAAAAAGGAAATCGTTAGACTCCGTTAGTACCGTCAGTTAAATGCTGACGTGGCTAACAGAGGTGCTTAGTCATCCTATTTTAACCAAAATAAAAACAAAAAGACATGGCACGTCATTAACCCTTCCATATCAGAAACTCAACCCAAACCCAATCAACCCCTGAAACATCCCATTCACTCCTTCCCCCTCTCCTTCCCCCTCTTCTTCCCTAGCTCCGACCCCATTCAATCTCCTCTGAAAAAGTGAAAAGTCTCTCAAAGCATCGCAGTCACACGCAAACCAAAGGCAACTTTCATACTCCAAAAACCCCTTCGCTACGACAAACCCCGAAAGAAACGTTTACAAATCCCTAACTATCTTCTCCTTTCCCTTCCCAACTTTCCCCTCTTCAAGATCTGTGCTTTGAATAAACTTCCTGTAGTCGATCAGCATTAGCCCACCGTACCGGACAGCGTCGGAGCAAAGAAAGGAAGCTGAAAAATGGCGTACGTCGACCACGCATTCTCGATTACCGACGACGATCTAATGATGGATGGATCGTACACCAACACCAACCGTCCTTCCATCAAGGAGATCGGACTCGCCGTCTCCCTCCTCGTCTTTGGCGTCATCGGTACCGTCGTCGGCTTCTTCATGACCTCCAACAGAGTCGACGGCGACAGAGCTCATGGTAAGATCCTTCCGTCCTTTCGTATCTCTAATCACTTCATCCTCGTTTTTGGACTTGATTTTTTTTTTGGGGAGGGGGGGGGGGGTTAATTAGGGTTTGGATTTCTACCACTCGGGTTTTAATTATGGCCATCGAAGTGCTGGGGATCGGTGTTCGTCTGGGAGTGGAGCAGCCGATGATGGTGGATTGGGAGGAGGTCGAAGCGGCGGCGGCGGTTAAGAGGGAGGATGTGGTGAGGGTAGTGTAGAGAGTGGTGGGCGGCGGCGAGGAGTGTGAAGTGATGAGGAAGAGAGCGACGGAGCTCGCCGGGATGGCTCAGCAAGCGGTGGAGAGCGGCAGATCTTCTTATGAGAATGCTACGAATGATGGCGGTGCTCTATGGGGAGTTGAGAGACAGGGAGGAGCAAGCTCGGAGGCGGCCTTGTAGGGCTTCGACAGCGACGAAGAACAAAGGGGTATGGGATTTGGGTGAAAATTAGGCGGTCAATAATAGGGTTTGGGAGATTGAATGGGGTCGGAGTTGGGGAAGAAGAGGGGGAACGAGTGAATGGGTTGGTTTAGGGGTTGATTGGATTTGGGTTGAGTTTATGATATGGAGGGGTTAATGACGTGGTATATCTTTTTTATTTTTTTTTTGGTTAAAATAGGATGACTAAGCACCTCTGTTAGTCACATCAGCAGTTAACTGACGGTACTAATGGAGGTTAACGGAGAGTGATCAAAATTGGACTGTTCAACTAATTTAAATGACTACGAATGGAACAAACCAATTCGAATGACCAAACATGAAATTTTGTAGCAATTCGAGTGAACAAACTTGCAATTTAGCCAACTCTTCATTAACGCGCCGAAAAGAAAAGCTGAAGAATTACCAAAACCACCCTCGCACGAGAAAAGCAATAGCGATAGGGAATAGCGGCGAGCAATGTCGACGCGCCAACCGGCGATCTCTCCAACCACCGCCATTGTCCACTGCCACCACACGCTTACCTCACTCTTCCAAGAAAGAGATAGAGACGGAGAGAGGGAGAGAGGGAGAGAGAGAAAGCGGAACAGAAATCTTCTTCGACCCACCACACCAACGCCATTTCCTTACGCCTAAGTACCCACGACCTAAACCACTTCCCCCACCTAAATCTTCCCTGGAAAAGCAATCTTTCCCCTTTTCCCCCATTTCGTCTGGACTCTCTGAATTCCGCGTTTCTTAACATCTTCTCCCTTCCAAGCCACTTCTTGGGTTCCTGTCAATTCTATATACAGCGGCTGCTCTGATTCCGCAATTCCCACTTCTTGAAACTCTGTCTCGTGCTCTGCGATTACTGGAGAGGGGAATTTTCAGGGGGGAAGTATGCCGTCGGAGGATCTAGAGCGAGGGAGGAAGAACGGTGGAGGAGGGAATGGTACCAGTTTGGCTCCTTACTCTGTCGATACTTCCGAGAAGCATTGGACTTCATGGCTGGTGCCCATGTTTGTGTTTGCAAATGTTGCTGTGTTCATTGTGGCGATGTATGTCAACAATTGTCCTCGCAACAATATTGGGTTTGAAGGGAAGTGCGTGGCTAGGTTCCTGGGGAGGTTATCGTTTCAGCCTCTGAGGGAGAATCCTCTTTTTGGACCATCTTCTTCAACGTGAGTTCCTGAGATTCCACTTTTCCACATCGTTTACTTTTTCCTCCACTTTCCGTTGAATGTTAGTTGCGGAGTTTTGATGCTTTTTTCTTCTTTGATTTGGGTTTGTTCTGCTTGAGTATTGACTTTATTGGGTTTGCTTTGCGTAATTGAGAATGATGATGTTGGAATTGGTTTGTGGAAAGTTCATGATTGATCTGGTCTTTGTTTTAATGGTGGTTGTGATGCTTTGATACACTGATCGGTGAGGAAGTTCGGTTGATCCAACGAGGATGCTTTCTTCATAATCAAGTATATAGAACTTACAGATTCATAGGATTGAGTGTCACTGAGGAACGGAATTACTAGACCGTTTGTTTAACAGGCACCAATGGTTCTATGGTCAGATCATCTGATGGAGTTACAGACACTATTTAATTGAGTTTGAATTTGCTCTCATAGATGAGTATCATTAAGTAACTTAGTTGCTCTTTATGGAGTTGAAGTGAGCGGGAACACTGTAATGGAGTTAGTATTTTTTTATGTTTGCATCTTCTACTGTTTTCTTGTTTCATCTCACAAAGGTGTTCAACATGTAATAAGGTGTTCTTTGGGTTTGAAGAACTGGCCCTGTTGCTTGTTCTCTTTGATTCACTCAGCAGTGTTTGAGGTCGGATGTATTTGTGTCCACTTTGGCAACGTGATATGTAAGATAGACACTTCAACTGTAGAGAGTGTCCTTTCCGTGTGTGTGTTTTTATCAGCTTTTGAATGAGTATTTGTTTTGGTTCCTGAAATACAAACTGTTACTTATAGTCCTTCCCTTTGCTGGGAGTCATTTTTTTCTTCTTCTTTCTATGCTATTATCGGGTACATGAATAACACTGTCAGATAATAGCTATCATGCCAAAACGTTGAGACATTTTCAAAATGCTGAATGCTTAAGATACTTAATATGACTTTTGCAGACTTGAAAAGATGGGAGCTTTGGAATGGGATAGAGTAGTGCATAAGCATCAAGGATGGAGACTTGTTACTTGCATGTGGTTGCATGCTGGAGTCATTCATCTTCTTGCCAATATGTTGAGCTTGGTCTTTATTGGAATTCGGCTCGAGCAGCAATTCGGATTCGGTATGTGATGTTCCTCTTTATGCAATTACTGTTCTTTTCGTTCCTGCAGTCAGAATATTCTTAAAGGAGATGTTCGCCTTGACTTTTGGTAGTAACTTAGTGAATATTGGGTTAGTGTGCCTCAGCATGTGTATATAGAGGCAAAGCAACTCAAAGCCACTTATTACTTGTGTCGTATTGGAGCATCCACCACCAAAAAGGGTGTACTCCTCTTTTCTTTGCACTTTGAATTCAAGCATTTTAACTACTTCAGTTATCATATGGCAGTGCGAGTTGGGATAATCTACCTGCTAGCGGGACTTGGGGGTAGTATATTATCGGCCTTGTTCATTCAGAAGAACATCTCAGTTGGTGCCTCGGGTGCTCTGTTTGGACTTCTGGGAGCCATGTTATCCGAGCTTCTTACCAATTGGACTATCTATAGCAACAAGGTTTATGCTCCTTAATCTTGAAAATGAATTCATCAATTGATTGAAGCTTCGACCCCTACTAATTCTCTCTTCCTCTCACAGATTGCTGCTCTGCTGACTCTACTTGTCATCATTGTCATCAACTTAGCAGTGGGAATTCTTCCACACGTGGACAACTTTGCCCACATCGGTGGCTTCCTGGCCGGTTTCCTTCTTGGGTTTGTGTTTCTGATCCGCCCACAGTTCGGTTGGGTCGAAAGCCGGCACCTGCCACCTGGCGCCCGTGTTAAATCCAAGCACAAGGCTTACCAATATGCGTTGTGGCTGATCTCTGCAGTGCTCCTGATCGTTGTGTAAGTTCTAAACCACCCCAAGGCTTCTTCCTCCTTCATTATCCAAACGCTCAAAGAAGCTGACTTTGGTTCCATTTCTCGTGCTTTTTGACAGCTTCGTCCTTGGATTGGTGATGTTATTCAAAGGAGAGAATGGAAACGACCACTGCAGCTGGTGCCATTACCTGAGCTGCGTGCCTACTTCACGATGGAACTGTCAGCGCTGAGAGCATCTCGGTCCATGTTTCCGTGTCTTTAAGTATCAGTCTATATAATCTTTTTCTCCCAGTGTTTAATTCTTTTGTTTCATTCCCTCCCCACTTTGTTGCTTCCAACTTGTTTACGGTTTGTGTACATGCCTTGTGCATATAGTTTTTCTTTCAATGAACACGTATAAACAGCGTAGTATTATGTACAGAACGGTTTTCCACCGGAATTTCCTTCCAATTTCCGTAGTACATTACTACATTTAGCTGATTGGTCCTACAAGTTGGTTAGATTTGATTACAGCATCCTTGGTTTGTTCAATCGTGTTGAAATGGCATTGATACTTGCTTGTTGGATATGAAAATGAAGATTTTAGGTACTGAAATACTTTGGATTTATGATAATTTGGTGTATTATGGATTTCAAAAAATTCAATATGTTTTTGGTTGATTTTTTGTCATGAATTTGAAGGTTTTTGTACTATTGTCTCAAAAAATGTCTTTCATAATCAAATACCATATAAAATGTGGTTTCTACAAATTCACGAGATCCACGAATTTGGAGCTAACAAATTTTCAAATTGGTAATGCAATTATATCGATAACACTTGCCTCATCGTCATGGTTTAAATTTCACTTTTATGGTTAAGAGAATCTAATAGAACTGAAATGAATTTTTTTTTTTGAACAATATGAAGGTCAAAGCAAAATGCCATTTTCTTTTAAGTTCTACAAAATTCAAGTTAACACACATTTTCCTTCAATCGAAAACCAAATTGTTTTCTACATCTACGGTCCACTGATACTATACATACGATTATACAGATGCTTGTAGTGGATCCCCATTTGCTACCCATTATTATTGGAAGCACTAGCACAGTAGCACTACACTACTAAGAAGTAAATGTAATGACAATTGACAAGTGGTGGTTCCAACGTGGGGGCCATAGCTGAAATCAAATCCGAAGCTTCTTCAATCACCAAGTCCCATGACATGTCTCCTAATCAATGTTTTTGTTATCAGATCTGCTCGATAGAGTTGCATCCGTTTCAGCAAAAATAAACATGGCACCTTCCTCAGTTATCACTTCGTCGACACAACCACCGACAGATAGTCACTTGACCCCATTACTTCATTGTACATACTTCCCAAATCCCCCATCTCTTGGATCTAGACCTGTAGACAAATGCCTTTCAACTTGAAGACAAAAGCATGTTAATAACATTAGAGAGATTTCTTGGTCCCGTGACAGAAAACAATCCCCTACAGATCACAACCTAAGTTAGCCTAAGGCTACACATTCTACTGCTAAAGCTAGCTAGCATCTTTGCCACATGGGCATTCCCATCTGGTCCAGCCTACCCGAACCAGGGTAACCTTTACTCGAGAAGCTTGCTTTCACAGCAGAAGCCCTCTGCGCGCTGCTCGATCTCGGTTCCCCAAACCTCTTGCCAGAACCTGACCTCTCGTACTGTGGTGGCCTCTGCTTCGGAGCACTCAACGATCTGGCTTTGGCCCTTGCAGACTCGGTATAAGACATGTAGTTAGGGTGGTCTGCGAATGCACTCAGAAAACTGCTTCTTGACCCGTCGCTCCTCGTGGGGGTGAAGGGGCTCCTCCTCGCACCACGCGAAGATGCAGCAGAGAACACCTGCGGGCTGTTCTCTGCGGTGCAGAACACCTCCTGATCGACCTCTGGAGGGTACATTGTGGATTGGACTTCGCCGGAGGTGGGGCTCGGGCATGTGTCCTTTGATGTAGTGAAGCTCTGGCTGTACTGGTCGTAGAAGAAGCTTAGGTTGGCTGAGTGGAACATGTTCCTTCGTTTATCCTGGCCATGATGGTGGTGGTATTGGTACCTCCCTCCGGCATTGTCGATTTCCAGGATCTTGTCGCTGTTGTTCTTCACATCCTCCTCCATTGCCACTGCTCGAGGGTCCCAGGACCGGCGGTCTGATCGAGTTTCTGACCTTCTTAGGGAGGAATGTGGCTTGTTGTCGTTGGATCTTGACCCGGTCCTCTGCTATTCAAATTAAATGCAATCAGAGAAGAACCCACACGATGAACACAACTATCTGCAGTATGAAAGCAAAAAGGACCTTTTTTTTTTTTTACCTTGAGCAATGATGAAGGTTCATATTTACCACTCTTGGTACGGTTTCCATGTTCAAATTTTTCAGGGGTAGCTGGACCCTGCAGTCCGCTCAAAATTTAATTCAGCATCATCAATCAAAACCATTATTCATTGCAAAAACTGTGGTAGAAAGATCAAAAAAGTGAAAAGGCTGAAACTTTAAAAGACAGCACAACTTTTCTATATGTTAATGGATTTGGCTGCTGTCTAGAGCTCCGAAATAAAGGAGCTTCCCCGCACTTAGATAAAATCCATTCATAAAAGTAGCAAAAGGTCTCAACTTTTCTTCTTTAACGCTGTTTTAGAAGGGGCGGAAAGGTAAAGCATGGAGAAAGTGGGATTAGTAATTAATTCTTTTTACCTGGTGATGGTGTTGGTGATGAGAATGAGAATGAGAATGAGAAGATTTGCCGCCGCTAGACTGAGATGACTCGGAGACTTGCAATCGTCCAACGCGGGCTCGTGCCTGTGCGAGCAACACTGCCTGCATCTGCTGCAGCCAAGCTGCCGTTCTCTTCCGCTCAATATGGCCTCTTACCAATGCCTGTAGCCTGACCAGTGCTCTTAATGCCTTCAGAGCTCTCCTTGCCTTCACAAAGCAAGTCAAAGTTCAATCATAATAAGTTACATTATTGAATGAGATCCAAGCTTCAATTAGGTTTACAGGACTAATCATTATTGAAATGTTTGATTATTTTGATCCAACTTGCTGCTGGGTTTCAAATTCTGGCGCCAGATGAATATTGGGTGGAGGGAAATAGCACAGGAGGCAGCCATTAAATTAAATAAGGTAGATAGCAAAAATGATGCTAGAAAATGACGTCTCACTAGCCGCCCACTCTACAAGATAGAGAAAAGATAAAAAGTGATATGAAGAAGATGATGATGAAATTTTGCAGGCAGGTTAGATTCGACAGACTCTCTCTGTGTAACTGCCTGCAAAAAGCACTCTACTCTGCACCACGACTCGACTCGTCAATCAGTCATCAAAAACCTAACCCCCCCACCGCCTCAGCCTTTTAGTACATTGGAAAAGGTCGTTCATCACCACCAAACTACTACACAAAAGCAACCAAATCCCACCACAAGACGAAGAAACTTCTACTACTTCTTCTTCTTCTTTCCCATTTGGGTCCCCACGGTCAACTATGGCCCAATAATCTCCCCCTAATTAGATGCAGAAATTTCCAAGGATTCAGTGGGTCCTGGAAGATTAAACCAAAACTCAACGGTGATTACGATGGGATTATGAGAAGTTCATCATGAGACTCCTTTTCCGCATGATAACAAAAAACCATAATCTCATGACATTTTAATAACAACCCACATGAATATACCTCATTATTATTATTATTATTATTATTATGAATTACAGTTTATCATTCCCTAGAAATAAACCCAAAGTTCCCATGGTTTGGTTAATCCTATATCAATGTGCTGGCTATATACCTAAATTACAGTAATACCCAAACAACTATGGCTACCTACTGAGGAATTATTGGGAAAAGAACAGAAGGAAACAAAGTACAAGGCAGCCATTAATTTCTTCCTTCCCCCATCGAAACGGCCAACCTCATAGAGGAAGGGAAACACCAAAAATAGAAATTATCGGAAGCGCAATTAACCATGGTAATAATTAATAATAATAAATAGCAGCGAAATTTTCGATAAGAGTCCACCCACCGGGCCGGCGCAGGATAGCGACGACGACGACAGACGACCGGTGATGCCGTGTGGCGTGTAAAACTCAATAATGGGAGTTGAAATAGGTAAAAAAATTAAATAGGGAAGTGAAAACTTTGGGGTAAAGCTCCAAGTAGCAGAGAATTTGGACGTTTTCAGGAAAACGACACGGGAGTAACAGCTCATACGACACCCGTAGGGGAAGGCGGAAAAAGAGCAGTAGAGTGTGGCAGTGTGTGTAGGGAGAGAAGGAAAACGACGCCGTCGCACGGCTGCCAGATTCGAGAATCTGGCGATCTTGAATTACAGATCAGGTGAACTGAAGAGGAAGGAAAGAAGACGACGACGGGAATAGCGACACGTGGCGGATGCGGTGGCAATTAGATTAACTCTGAACGGGAAATGGGGGGAACGGAAGAATGAAAATAGGGATTTGAGAAATTTCAGGAATGATTTATGAACATGTATATATTTTATTCAAAATTTATAAATTAAATTAAATTAAATGCAAGAGGAGGGGATTAATGTTTGTCTATTTACTCACCAAATAGCCTCGGAAAGCTGCTTGGATCTTAAGCGCGGCGAAATCCTCACGGAGCCCGAGGCTCCCGCTGACGTACGCCGACGAGCAACCACCACCGCTCCCGGGGACGACGCTACATTCTCCGGCGGACCTCCCGCTGCTGGTGAGCCGTACGACCACCGCTGCCGCATTTGCGGCGGCCACCGCGGCCTCCGCCACCTTCGCCGTGGCCGCCGCGACGGCCATAGCTCTCTCATTTGGATCCTCCTCTTCCTCGCGGCAGCGCTCGTCCTCGTCGGCGTCGTAGTCCTCCGCGACCGCATTCCGTCGGGGCATCACGGCGGCGGAAGAGTGACCGTCGCGAGCTCCCTGCAGTACCCTGGCCGAGGCCGCGGCGGAGGCGCTGCCGTGGTTGTCCTTCTCTCGGTAGGACTTGACGAAGCTCCACCGCCGCTTCTCCTTGGGACGAGCGGCGGCTGTCGCGGCGTGCTGTTGTTGGGGGAGTGGTTGATCGGAGGGCTTTTTGAGTCCGAGGACGGAGCGGAACCACCGCGAGGCCTTGCCCATTGTTTTTTGACGGTGGAGGAGATAGTTGGTGGTTTTGGCGGGATCGGGTTGAGTGAAGCTAAGGAGAGAGAGAGTGTGAGGGGAAGTGGAAAGGAAATAGAGAAGAGAAGGTGAGTGAAGAAGATGAAGGAGAAGAGAGAGAGAGAGAGGATGTAAATACGGGAATCATAGGGTTGGGAATTGGGAAAGAAAGGAAGAAAGAAGAGTGTTTTGTGGGTGTGAAAGCGGAAAGCAGAGCGAAGCAGTAAGCTGAATTTGTGCGGCTCCTTACTATTTTTCCACATTATTTCTTTTTTTCCACTATTTTTCTCCCTTGGTCCCGATGATTTATACACTAAATTGAAAGAAAAAATATTTAGCTTACAACATTAAGTGCAAAATTAATCCGTTGGATTAGGAACAAATTGCATTTGCATAACTACTATTTAAATTTTTGTTAAACGGTAAGAAATAATTGTATATGGCCTGGAATCAG